GCCTTGCGGTAGGGCAGGCTGCGGATTCTGGTGAGCGGAATTTGGAGTTGACGGCATCATGTTGGAGTGGATGTGATAGGTCTTGTTATCGATATCGAGTGCCGTGGGGATAAACCCTGCTGGGGGCACGTCCTTGTCCTGCGATTGCGTAGGACCTGCTTCAGAGGCCAGAGAAGATAACGGTACGGCACCTGGTACAGCAGTACGCACGGACCTTGCAGGCCATAGCAGGGAGAGGGCTGGGTTCGGTTCACCGGCCTCCGTGGGAATATGGTATGGGATGCAGGGCTTCAGGAAATCCAATGCAAGCAGCTCGTGGGCAGAAGGCCGTGTCGAGGCATCATGGTCCAGACAGTGAGTTATGAAACCCTTGATCTCTGGGTCCTGGATATGGTCGAGCGCTTGCGGCTTGATGCCCTGCGTAACCTTCCGATATATTTGGGCCTGATTCGTGCACTCTGCGTAGGGATAATCCTTGGTGACCTGGCGAAGCACATATACGTCGGTTTAGGATTAGTCATACGTAAAATTACCCACGCAGACCATATGCGAGCACCACCAAGATGGCATCCCAACAAGTGCTTACCATTTCGAGGACGCACATGCCAAAGGCATAGATGTCGACCTTTTCGTTGTACTTTTCGTCATAGAGTTCCGGAGCCATGAACTCAGGTGTCCCCAGGACCGACGACACATGTGTGCGATGGCGGACGACGGCCAGGCCGAGGTCTCCGATCTTGAGCTGTCCGTTGTTGCCATTGATGAAGATGTTATCACACTTGAGGTCGCGATGGATGATTGGTGGGTCGTGGGTGTGCAGATAGGCGAGTCCCTGGAGGATCTGCCTACACCAAGACTTCGCGACCTTTGGCTTAGGCACCCCCTTGAGTGTCTTCCTCAGATACTGCTTCAGCGTGCCTGAGGACATGAGTTCAGTGATAAAGACGATCCGCTCGCCACCGTTGCTCGTTGGGGTCGACCAAGACGCATAAAAATTGATGATGTGCTCATTGCGGATGGACTGCAGGATCTTGATTTCAGACAGGATCTTTAGAGCCTCGCGCTTGGAGAGATGATCGAACCGCAGCTGGTTCCAAGCAACCTCATTGCCCTCCTCGAGGTCGCAGGCTTTGTAGACCAATTTATAGGCACCTTCACCTAGGATTTCGTCGCAGCGCTGGTACCGATTCGATGGGTCCGTCTCCACTGGCCCCTCGTTCTCTGAGTCGCCTTCAAGATCACCATGTGCTGTTGGTACACCCATGCTGCCGTCTTGGCCTTGGAGAAATGCGCGCTTGTTCTGTGGGTGTCCGGAGTGTTGAGAATCAGAGGATGGGATTCAATTGCTGCAATGACAGGAGGATCGACATGCCTTGGCTGGCACTGTCGCGGTTGCAAGATCAGGGAAGCGTTTCGGCGCAAGATGAAGAAAGGCGATGAAGGATGGATTTGAAATGCATCAATTACAGCGCATGTGCTATGGGCTCAGTAGACCAGGTCAGTAGGGTTGTTTTATTGCTTTGGCAGCTGCATTAGCAAGCTAACTGTACGACCAGAGTTCGCAGTCGACGCAGCCCTCCTCGGGTTTACATGTGGGTACAGGCTTGACCTTGAGCACGCCCTCGATAGTATCAAATAGCCGATGGGTGCGGATGTCGACCTTCCAGTTGTCCTCCTTCACAGGGTCGTAAACGCATGTACGTCCCGTGTGGCATTTGCTACAATAAAAAGAACATCAAGTTCAGGAACGCAAGCAAAGCAGTTCCATCAACAAAACGCGTTTTTAACGAAAAAGGCTTCCTTTTCCAACAAAGTGCACAGCTGCCTTACCTCTCCATCGCAAAGCCAGAGTAGTAACAGGCGCTCGAAGGACCGTTGCACACGCCCTGGAAGATTGGGTCTGCGGTGTGGCCAATATGAAAGAGCGGTAAGTCGTTCCAATCGATCGCCGGGGGCATAGGCAGATGCAGTCTCTGTGCCGCTAGCCTGTCGCCCGGCGTTTGGAACGTCACCGTGGGCACTCCAAACGTCAATCCGAGAAGAGCAGCGAGGGCTCCTCCTAGACTGTGTCCCGTCAGCCAAACATTGGCGCCCGGGTACATGTCCTGGACGGCCCACAATATGGCCTGCATTCAAGAAAGAAATCCGTCAGCGGTGCTCTTACAATTTACGCCTCAGGCACGGGCAGGAATTATCAGCTTACCATTGCAATGTTATAATAAACATCATCACTGTTAACGCTGTTCTCAATACACGTTTGATCACACTGATATCCGCCCGTATTGCAGTCACAGACACCCCTCCATGTGCGATCCACTTTGGCACAGCAGCATGAAAACAAAAGATTGTCCTATACACGTCAATCGCAAGGTCAGACTGGCTCAGCATACCAAGCCATGATGTAAAGGGCTTGCACACAGGTGTCACGTCTGAAGCAAACGCCATCAAGTCTCACATTGATTTTGTCGCGCGTGGAGGTACCTCCTCCTCCTCCTAGAATCGCGGCGCTTGTTCCTTTGATGGCAATGATAAGAGTGCTATTGTCCGCAGACGCAAACACATGTCCTCGAACGCCATCCTCCTCCCAACCAAACGTGGAATTCTGCCGTATCAGCATAATTCAGAGAGGAAGTGTTAGCGATTACAGCCTACAGGAAAAAAAGAGGGAAGGCAATATTAGCCGAGGTAGCACTTACGACGCTCCAATGTCCCTCTAGGTCGTACCAGCCAGGGCTGGCCACTTCGGTGTATGAGTTATAATTCATTTTGGATAGTTCGAGAATCGTGTCCTTGTCCGTTATATCCGGCCCGACGACGGCCTCTACGGTCCAAAATTCCGGTGTGGCAGATGTATCAATGAAGCGAAATCCTTGATTGCGGTATGATTGATCATGGGGCTTCAGTGTGGTCATCGCCTTGACCTTGATACGGTGGCTGAGAGACTTTCCAGTCAGCAACTCTGAAAGAGCAATGTCCTCGCGGTTGACGTCCATCTTTTTAAATAAATTCGGGTAGCGAACACCACCATGGTGCAGCAGGTGCCTCAAAGTTACTGCTTCGTACGGCAAGTCCTGACCGGACACAAGGCCCATCTTATCAGTAATATGGCGTGGAGACTGCGGCATTTCCAGATTGAAAGGTATTTGGGTGGTTCCTTGTCCTAAGGGCAATAGCTGTTGTTGATTTGGCTGATACCGCTCAGAAGCAGGCAGCAGTTGCTTCGGAAGTGGAAATGGGTGCGCTTGAACATGGGCGAGGTAAATGGAAGGTGATAGAAATGCTAGGGCCAGAACGGAAAGTGCAAAGAGTGACAAATACACGGGCTGACGCTGTCGAGACATGTGGTTCCGGGCAGTGTGTTCAGAGAGTTGTGTGAAATGGCAGGAGAGCGCTGCTTTGAATGATGGTGAGCAGTTAGATGGTGATGGCAGTGATGGCGGTTGTTTCGAAAGGAGCTTGTTGAGCACAGCAGGGGACCAAGGCATCCAGGTTGATGCACGTGACAGTCTTCTGCCATTCGCCCCCAGCTTGCGTCAGAATCATAATCAACTCACATGGACAACGGACATGGATCGCGATCCTGATCAATGCGGAAGATCCTCTCCGACAATCCCACTAGGCTCAACAGAATCGTCCTTGCAACAATATCTACATCGCGAAACCGCTGCTGGCAACAGCTTGGAAAAGCGTTCAGGAGAGGACAGCATGATATCCACCACCAAGGCCCTTCAAAGCCAAGCGCAGGTGCAACTGCCATCCTTACCACCAACGTCGTCTTCAACAACCGCACTGAATGATCCCGATGGAGAAATACCAGAGGCGCCTTCAGCTACAGCCGCTGAACACACTGAGGTAGATCAACAACCCATGGCTCCAAGGCCTCTCGCTGTCAAGCCGGCCTACAAGAAGAGAGTCGTCATATCTTCGTCCTCTCCTGATGAGACTACAAAGAGAAGCGGATTGATAGAGGCCACGGAGAGGTGCATGCTGGGAAGGCACCATTTTGAAAAGCGGATGCGGCTGGGAGGCAGCATCTACGACCGGCCTCCTATTGTAGCAGCCATACCGCCTCAGGAACAGCAGCAGCAAAAGCTGATAATGAAACCAAAAGTACCACGCCCCCCGAAGCCACCATCAAAAAAGAAGATGACAAGACCACCACAGATATGGCGACCTACGGAATTCAAGGAATCCGGCACGCGCGCAAGGTCAAGGTCCATAATCAGGCCTGTCATGAGAGAAGGGTCGATTGAGTCCCTAGTCAAGCTAACGAAGTTTCATAAGGATAGACTTGCCCAACTATCCACCCGACCTCTACCACTTCAAGATTTGCAGACTCTAATTCATGCAGAGCAGGAGCAGGAGCACTTAGTATTAACGGATCTCGCAGTTAGGCTGCACAAGGAGTTATTGAAGTTGCAGTTGGAGGAGGGTGTTTTGCTCAAGATGCTACAACTTTCAGAGTCAGGATTATTGGACGCCTCAGATCTGGAGCGCGTGCGCCCACGCAAGCGACGGAAATCAAAAGAGCTCGAAGCTCAGACAAGGGCCAGATTGCGAGCAATAAACCGACCCGTGTCCACGGCCTTCAGTTCTACAGCCATGGATGGATCAGGATTAGCGTCGGATGGGCATACTCAGATGAGGGCGCAGGATTTGTCTAGATCATTGCTTTCTCCGCCCATAGGCTGTGGTGTGCACAGGGATATCACAGCCATATCATCGGGAAGTCCACTCGCAGATCTGACTGATGTTGCAGTCAACGAGAGTGAGCGTGGGGGGACATGGGGAAGCGCCTATCAAGAGGCCGCAGAGGAGAGAGCTTTCCATGATAGCCGTGATGAACCTGAGAGAGGAAACAGGCATCAGGATGTCTATATCGAGGGCAGATACAGCAATGAAGATAACGACGACAGCGAGGACTGTGATGACGATGACGATGACGATGACGACGACGACAATGACGATGACAGCGACGATATTTGCGATGTGTATGACGGCGATGAACACGAGAATGAGTATATTGGACCGAATGGTTTAGACTATCAGCCATCTGAAGACCCTTACTCTTCACGGCGCATTAACGTCGGTGCTGTGTCTTTGCCAGACCAGTCTTCAGGTTACCAAGGAGAAACAACCCAAGGCCTGCGTAGTTCTTTCGGTGAGTACAGTGACCCAGAAGTAGTGAGGGCAACAGTGGATCGACTTGAATGTGTCAACATGTCATAACCTTTACTTTTCAATCAACATTGCAGATGAGGTCAGGGGGCTGCTTGACGGCAAAGGCAAAAAGCGGACGGCAGAGCAAGCTATTTCTGAAGAAGATAGAGCGATCGAGGAGGATCTGTACGAGCTGGACTACGATGGTAGTGTAGGTAACATTGGGGATAATGCGGAGGAGAATATCGAGAGCGAGGCGGAGGGCATTGTTGAGGATAGAGAGGAGGGCGGTGTTGAGGATGATGTTGTGCGTAGCATTGAAGACGAGGATGAGGCGGTGTACTCTGGCAGCGAGGAAGAATCCGAGAATGCAGATAGCGGGGTGGATGAAGAGGACGACGGAAGGGCAAGGCAGGCCCTCCAGCGGATGCTGGAGCAGTATGGGCTGTAGCGCGCCGCACCGCACAGCTTTATGCACATAATAGGCACACAATGCACACCATGCACACCATGCATCGACACCACATCGCACAGCATACCGCAACAGAGTATACAAACCAAACACACACACACACACAGTCCGCCTGGTTTTTTGAGTTTCGACTTAAGGTTGGATTGGTTAGCGTCCCCGCCATTGGGCTGTGCATGTTCAGCCAGGAGCTGCTCTCGTGTCTTGTCGTGTCTTGACCTGACACCGACGCTGGCTGTTTCATCCGCAGCGTGTGCTGGGCGAGAGAGGAGCAAGAAGGAGGTGGATAGGACAAGAGGCATACAAAGACGTGTGTGTGTGTGTGTGTGTGTGAGAGAGAGAGAGGTGCTCTGCTTCTTTCGCTTTCGCCCTTCTGCATCCATCCATCCATCCATTCCATCCATCCATCCATTCCATCCATTCCATCCATTCCATCCTTCTCCATCCTCCCTACTCCTTCACCAGCCAATGCACGCCCTCTCCATCGCCCTCTCTTCCCCCGACATCCTCCACCACATCCTCACACTCGATCTCCTAGCCCAGTCCGATCTCAGAGCCTGCTGTCTTGTCAATTCCGAATGGGCGGCTGCAGGCTTGATCCTCCTTTGGCGTCATCCAAAATGCCACTCTCTCTACAGCTTCAGTCTGCTGCTCGATACCCTGCGCCATGAAGTCGACCTCTACGGTCCTATTTCCCCAGCAACCTCGATAGCAGATGCCGTCGTTGCTGCCTCTACCTCCTCCGCCCTCCGTCGGTCTCTTACCATGCGCGAAAAGTCCTCTCCCTCACACCCCTTGTTCCACTCGTCCTCGTGCGCCTTGCTGGTCCCCACGCCATATCGCCCGCATCAGCAGCGCAAAGAATATGGAATCCCCTTTCATGGCCAAAGGATCTATCATCGCGCACAGTTTATCCGGAGCATCGACTTTGGAGCCCTGGTCAGCGTCCTCTCGACTCACCACTTTGAAATCTTGGCGCGGTCTACCAAGCTCGGCTTTCGGACTTTGGATCTACGCCGCATTCGACTGCCCTTTTCAAACCACCTGCTCTCGATCCTCATGAACTCCAAAGCGCTGAGACAACTTACTCTAGGCCACTTGGACATCCCGCTCGAGGCTCTAGTTTATCTGGAGCCGTGTTTTTCGGGATTGAAAGAACTTCGCCTGGTTGACTGCCCCGATACCATGGGCGACGCACAGCTAAGCATGGTCCTCCGACATTGCTCTCAACTCACAGTCCTAGAACTTCAGGGCAACTCTTTCACGGACGAATCGCTCTGCTGGATCGGCAAGGCATGTGTTGAGCTTGAGGTACTGGTTATCGGGGCACCCAAGATGTCAGATGCCGTGGTCGAGCAGATCGCAGCCGCTTGTACACGTCTAAGATCCTGGACTTTTGTGGACTGCACGTCCTTACAGGACGCTACGGTGGAGGCGCTAGAACAAAAGTATGGTATACTTGCAAACGGACACTGGACAACAAGCGGCGTCAGCTTCAGCGTTAACGGGAGCAGCAATAACAATAACAATAGCAACAACAACAACAACAATCAACACATCAAAAGCGTAATGGCGCCTCTCATGGAGAATACGCGCTGGATAGAAACTGCAACAACAACCCTAAGCAGCTCGTCATCCTCGACCCTAATGACTACCTTATCGGCCTCATCATCAGCAGTTTCTTCACCCTCTACCTCGTCCATGTTCACTCATTCCGACATGGAGCTACAATTGTCGTCCTCGTCATCATCCGGCCGCTTTGACCACAGTCCCCCCTTTGCGCTGACCCGCTATGCGTCGACTCTTAGAAACTCGGCAGCAACGCTGGGAAAGCTATCGACGATCCATTTTCGCAACTGCAGCGGTATCCGTCCGCAACTGATCAGCTCCTTTTTACGCTCTCAACCGGGATTGGAGTATTTGGTCTTGGGCGGGTCTTCTATCACGGATGAAGCGCTGGAATCTTTGACAGAGACCCCGTTGGCGCAGCTCGACAGTCTTAGTTTGATCGATTGCGGCGAGATTTCGGACGAATCCATGGTGGCAGTGATGTTTAACTGTAATAGGGTGAAGAAGCTGACCATCTTTGGGTCCCATTTCACCCTGAGGACGTTTTCGTCCATCTCCCTGCACTTAACCCAGCTGGAAGAGCTGCATCTAGAGCACGTTCCCTTGGTGATGAATGAGTCCCTGCAGGATATACTAGTCAGGTGTAGGGGCCTCCGAGCCTTGAGGTTGTGGCACTGCAGAAATGTGACACAGGACTTGTTCGCTGATCATGCTAGTCCATGCGCAAGTTTGGAAGTGTTAGAGTACATGGACAAGTTCCCTCGGCCTTATGCGGACGATGGGTGTGATACACAGGTCCGGTTCCTGCAGAGCCTGGTCATTCAGTGCGAGAGGTTGCGGGTCCTCAGGCTGGCCAAGTTAGCCGATACTTGGGTTCCAGTGGTAAGCATTCATCTATGCATCTTGGAAGAGCGTGAGGCTCATAGAATTTGATCCGCAAGCAAAGAAGGGCACTTTTACTGACTTTGATCCACTGCTCTTATTTTCCATTTTCCGCTGTTGTGGGTCTCGCTTAAATAGAATCTCGTCTCGTATCTGTGCCAACTCGATCGACTCGAAAAGTTTACCATTCTGCAGAACCCCGGCTTGGATCTTATTGATCTCAAGGAGCTCAAGGCACGTCTGCCCACACTCGTCCATATTGGTGTTGGCGTGTCGGATAGCCTCTCGAAGGAGGATTTGGTCACTTTTGCTCAGTCTCACCATCGGCCAGGGGTCCAAATGTATGACCGAATGCTCGAATCCAGCGACGACCTGCAGTCATACGGCAGTTAGGGCGCATATATTCACAAATTCACTAAACAAACTATACCAAAATGTGTAGAGGTGTTGTTGTAACGTGCATTGCAAATTTATTCCGGCAGTTTGCAGAGCAGTTAGTTTTGTTACAGGATGCATATCATACATGTGTAGTCTCATTCAAGTATTTGTCGGCTCAAATATTGGCAGCGTGGACGAAGGAATGTCGACACTCTCGATGCTTTGATTGCTCTGCCATCCAGACATCACTGAAGTGTCTCGAGGTATACTCCGCGTGCCATCCAGTCTGGGCCTACCAGTGCTACTTTCCTCATTCATCTCGTCCTCCTCCTCTTTTCCTTCATCTTCATTCCCGTTCTCAGCGTCCTCTGTGTCCGACGAGGTAGAACTACTCGATTCCCGGTCATTTAACGCACATCCTACAACGTCTCCACTGATTGATATGAGTGCATATCCCTGATTTTTCACACTCTCCTGGAAGAAACTCTCGTCCACTCGAAGACCAACAATCGCATCTCCACCCAGCGCCGCCACGTGCGACCTTGCCACAGCCTGAATCTCCATCAGAAAAACGTGTACGAATCCGCCCATACCACTCGAAACTGTCGCATCGTGTAAAATATGCGTTTCCTTGACAAAGTGAAGAGACAGCTTGCCCAAGTACCGTGTCGGTGTTCGCCCAGGGATGAATGACAGCGGCGTCACCTCAATGAAGGGCCGATCTGCTGGCATCATCGGTAGAAACGCCACTCTGCCGGACTCTTCCATCTGACCCTGTCGTGTGAGCGTGGATGAGATGGATGACTGTCGTGCATGGCGGTTGTGCTGCTGCTCCGGTTTTGTGGTTCCTGTTCCCACTGTATTCTCGCTGGCGTCACTGTTGTTGAATGAGATCGACCGATAGGTTGGGCTTGACGGGGGGGCCAAGTTCGAGCTCATGGCAAGCGGTATTTGATCTTGGCTATCATGCGATTTTACGGCCGTCTGAATATTACTTGGCCCCTCTATTGGTGTGCTGGGTCCGCTGTCAGTGACAGGCAAGGGAGCGAAGCACTCTTGCGCAGGAGTGGTGGGAGCAGTGGCAGAGGTTGATCCAAGAATAGTATGGCGTGACGGCTGCGTCGCCAGCTGATGAACCGCGCCTGATCGGGTGCTAAGGTCCGTAAGAGCGCTGATTGGCGTGTTCGACTGACTGGAAGGCGACGTTTCCCGTGGAGAGTCCGATGTTTGGCACTCATCCATCTGGAAGACCATCGAGTCCTCAACAGATGCGATCAGTGGCCGACCGGAAGATACGCTCGAAGGCCGGGGTCCGTTCTCGGACCCTGATCTAGAATGATTGGCGGATAAAGCAGTCGATCCAGGCACGGACCTCCATGGAGAAAGAGTGATCGGCACTCCCAGTGGCTCCAGGGCGTCTGTCTGGCGCTGCTGCCCAAGAGCTACGGCTGTGAGTTGGATTTGAACCTCGTTAGACCTTGGCAATTGAATGTTGTATGTGATGCCCGCCAACACACAGTCCGTGAAGTAGGACAGCCGGAAGCGAAGGTCCTCGTAAATGGATCGGAAGAGGGCTGCCAGCTGTCGATTGGGATGGTGAGAGATCATGTTGATATGGCCCTGCTTGACTGTCGTGATCAGATGAGCGTTGTCTGGGATCATCGGGTCCGTGCTGACAAAGTACGGATGGTTGGGGAGGGTCTCAGTGCTGCAAAGCAAAAATCCATCCGTAAATACTGGGTCCAGCAGCACAGCCATCAAGTCTTCATCAGCGTCGTCGTCAATCTGAATAACCACGTTGGTCTGATAGTTATCTTTCTCGTTCTCGTCCTCAGAGTCCGAGCTCGATCCGGAGCTGTCGTCCTCAGGCTGACCTGTCGAGGCTCCGTCCGCAAGGGTCGACGGCGCCCCTGGCTCACCATCCTCCTGCTCCCGCAGCTTAGCAGCCTCTAGGTTCTGTCGGTTCGTCTCTGAAAGGTCCATGATCTTGCGCTGCATTTCCAGCAGCTTCTTGTCCTCCTCATCAATCACATCGAGGTTTCTGGAGATTCTGAGTGCTGGCGGTGTTGGTAGAGCGGATAGGTACATCGCCGTACCGGAGGCGACAGCGACAATGAGAGAGTCTCCCACCGTTACCTGGAACCGCAGGCCGAAAATGGCATTCAGACCGTGAATCTTAAGCTTGTACATAAGCTGTCGATGCAAGTCGTATTCCACGAATGGTATAGCATCGCTCACAATAGTCGCATTCGACTCCCCGTCCTTTCTTTTCTTGGCCCGACAGACGTGTGCCTCCACAAAGGCGCTCTGTCCTACCACGCCCAGCTCCGCCGGCGGCTCTACAGTGCTAAGCAGGATCTCAGGAACGTACTTCTTCTTGCACTTCTGACACTTGACCAGACTCATAGGAAATGGTGATGACTTGCGATAGAATGGGATATGACACATTCTGCAGGCTGTTGGGAGTACAGTGGGTTAAAAGTCAGCATTAGAATATCTACCATGGGTGGTCATTAAAAAAGTAAGTGTTTGCTATAGTCTTACCAGACGGCTGTTTCCTCTTGCTTTTGCGCTTGGCTAGCATCTCCATCCATTGCTGCTCCTTGAGAGAATTCTGGAAGCTGGCCTTGGTGGTGATCGGTGTGGGAAGACTGTCCACCGGGTTATCAGCGTACGACCGACTAATGCTTCCCGAGCGTGACAGGTTCTTGGCGACCTCGAAGAATCCAGGTGTGAATGCGGTCATATCCAGATTGGCGGCTGTGCCAATTGCAGAAAGCACAATGAGCTCGTCGTTGATGGTCGCTGCCTCTTGATAGCCAATGATGTGGGAGCAGCCCAGTACTCGCGCGTGCGACTTGATTTCGTCCCGCAACTCGTTCCACCAAGCGTCGCGTGTTTCGACATCATCATTCTCAATCAGTTTTACAGATCGCGCGCTCACAATGCCACCCAAGTTGAATACAGTGCCTGGCGGGAATTCGTGGAGCGTAAATATTTGTTGCTCCAGATACTTGTAATTATTGATGCTGTTCCTGGCCCCACTGGCGACCGATGGTGCAGAATCCGTGCTACTACTGCTATCGCTTGAAAGTGACGAACCGCGTCTCCTCTGTACCAATGCAGGTAACATGCTGTCGGGACTGGGCCCAGCACTGATGGCGCCAGAACCCTGCTCGGCTTCCCGTGTCGATGAAAGGATATCATCCGCGTGAAGATCGTTCAGGGTGACCGGTTGCAGCTTGTCGATGAACTGAGGCGACGAACTGGAAACCATGGCGATTTTAACGGCAGTACCAACAGCACGGGCCGTGATGGCATGTTCCTCGCTCTCCAAGTCGAAACATTGCTGATAGCCTAGAACGGCGTTTCCGCCCATATCCAATGTCTCCTTGCCCAGCAATCGACGGAGTTGCCCCGAAAGTCGGAAGAGAAGTCTCTGACGGGCTTCGTTTGACGATCGCTGTGTACGAAAGCTATCGCTCCAATGATATTCAGGGTCGTCCTCGTTCACAATGGCGTCCACAAAGCCGTGCATGGCTACTATCTGGTATCCAGCAGGCAAGGATGTCGTTGAGAAAAACATGATTCCTGCTGAAGAGTCCTTAAAGGGGTTGACATCGCCGAAGAACTGAAGCTTGACTTGGACGTTGACCTCGCCTCGCACGCCACGAATAGTGTCATAAATTGGGAACCATCCAGCGATCTGCCAGGGCGAATTGACCGGCAATAGGGGATTTAAATCAATAAAGACAGAGCCGACAGAATCGTTTGCAGTGATGGCGTCGTAGTCGAGCACCTTGAGCTCCAGAGGTTCGTTCTGAAGATCAGCATCGTCAGTGACCTCAAATCTGAAGTCCTATGGATATGTCAATGCGTGCGATACAAGATTATTAGTTTTCAGCATTGAGGATCTAGGTGGAAATTCTGTGGCATCGTTATATGTAGGTGATGAGTGCGAATACGTCGAGTTCGTCATTGACACCGCGAATGCATTACCTCGTTCCACACAGGGTTGAGTGTCTTGCGACAGACAGTAGTCCGCTGAGCCTCGAAATCGGCAAAGCGCACCTCTACGTAGGCGTCCGTCAGGTCCGAGGCCTTGTCCATGACGGGCAGATCCCTTGCTCCGACGACCCTGATTTTCAAGATGCAGGGCATGCTCGGTGGTACATGAAAGAGAATGATGAGGAAAGAGAGGGAATGAGTGAGAATAAGAGTTAATTTTTATATTTTCTCGTATCATCCTGTTCGCGATGGTCGTATGCCTCTGGCTCCTGTCTCCACCATAACATCACATGCTGTTTTGCAGATCTGAGGCATCAAGCGATGGCGACCGTTCGAATATCATCTCAGCCTGCCGGATAAGCACCCATCGAAGCCCTTTCAGCTTTATTATGTATGTATACCATTGTCTCCCTTGGTTTCTGGTGTTTGATCCCAACACCTCCCGGTGTTGCACCTTTGACAATGCCGAGCTCACTACCGCTCGTCATCAAAGGCTTCCTGAATAGTATGAACAGCCCTAGTCCAGTGTCCCGCAATAGCGGTGGCAGTTCTGGCCCGCCGGCGATGAAGCCTGCCAAATGATCTTCCAGGTCCGTTTATCTTCATCGCGCATCCGAGGTTCTTGTCGGCGAACGTAGGATCGTTCTTTCCTATTGTTTTTCGCGCGCTTTTGGATAAATTGGTGTTCCTCGTCAACTTTGGTACTCTTGTTGGCTGAAGTATGTCCTGGCGCCGCATAGAGGTTACCGGTAGGCGGATTGTCTTTCTGTTATCACCTTTTGCAGGGGCGGATGGTAATGACGAGGCATCAGAGACTCGCAGTACGTGGTGTAGTTTAGTTAGTGCAGCTGCCCTTGTGTTCGCAGTAGCAAAGCCAGGGCCTCAGAGCTCGTCTCGATAGCAAGTAGGTCGTGTCGGATGATATTTAAACTCTTACAGGAAGTATCCGAATGCACGTTCAATGGTTGTACATTTGCCGATATTTTTGGTGCAAGCAAGAAGGAAGCTACACAAATAGGTTGCTGATGGGCCCTGGAAGGGTTTTTTGCAGTAGGTGCGGATCAGCAAAGATAAAGTAGTTGAGCAACAAAGTAAATTTGACACTGTAACCACCACCACGCACATCCTGTCTTCATCTTTTTGCTTGCGGTTGCAGCCCTGACAATAATCGACGCCAGAACTAACAAATCAATGCCGCCGACGGCAAGTTACACCTGCAGGGTGCCACGCCGACGATACGCTCTTCATATCGTCGGCATCATCTTCCTAAGCTATCTCTTTCTGAACTGGCACAGTGTCTGGATCGAAGTTACTGCAGGATTCTCAGATGAACGACGCTATCTCTTCGATATTCAAGCAGCAGATCCTGAAGTCAGCCAGTCAAGGACAGAGCATCGTACTCTCAGCCTAAGCCCCATACATTCGTATACGCTTCCCGGGGCTAGGGAAGACCTTACGCCGACGGCATACGTTCTTATCCTGACACCACTTATGGATGCTGCGTCATATTTTAACAGCTACTTCAGCAACCTGTCGAGTTTGGAATACCCCAAGGAGTTGATTTCTCTCGGATTTCTTGTGTCCACCACGACGGACGATGGTCAACAGGATTCAACCCTATTGGCGCTTCAACCGTACATCTCGTTCTTGAAAGCCACTTCGTCATATAGGAGGATTACCGTCCTGCAGCAGGCATCCCAGCCCCTTGGTTACACGCAGGATGGGAGGCACGCGTATGAGGTGCAGGAATCCCGAAGGAAAGTGCTTGCCCAATGTCGAAACGCGCTTTTGAGCTCGACTTTGATGGATGAATCATGGGTGCTGTGGCTTGATGTGGATGTAATCGAATATTCTCCGGATCTGCTGCTCAATCTTATGCGGTTAGACAAGGACGTAGTTGCGCCGAACTGCTTTCGATCTGAGCATGGTTGGCTAACTACTAGGAGCGTACCATATGACCGCAACAACTGGTTTGAGACCACAGAATCCATGGCAATCCAGCGCGTCCTAGATGGGGATGAATTTCTCTTTGAGGGTTCGTTGCATGAAACGATAATTCATACCGCAAATCTGAACATTATACAAAGTTAAAAGGCTGATTGATTGCATTTATTTGTGCATACATGACCCTAGGCTACGGTGGCGATCACAGCACGTATCGCCAATCTATGGCCGATTTGGACTCACACGTCCACACGCTGGTGCCTCTCGATGGAGTCGGGGGAACCTTCACGCTGGTCAAGGCAGTAGTCCACCGGGCAGGCATCAACTTCCCCACTCATCCCGTGGACCACGCGATCGAGACTGAAGGTTTTGCCAAGTGGGCGAAGCAGGAAGGCTTCTCTGTGTTTGGTGCACCAAACCTTATTGTTCGACATGCTTGAATTCGCAAGCCACGCCACAAAAAAATAATAAAGGAAAGAGCTGTAGATGTCATGCTCCATGAACGCCCACGTAAACCGAGGATGCCACCGAAGCTAAAAAAGCAAAAGATTAGTAAGGAAGACCTGAATCATACTCATCGATCAGCATAAGCTCATAGATGCTGAACTCTTGTTCACTAAGCTCACTGTGCAACACTCTAGCGCGCTCAACGGTCTCGACATCCGTAACAGTTATATCTTCGACGACGATCCCAGTGACAACACCAGTCAGCGCGGTCGCCGTACGGAGGCAGCAATTGAACGATGCAGCAAGAAAAACATCGACGCCGGAGGTGGAGGAGCATGTGCAAGTTGACAATATTGAGGACGAGGGGGATGAGAAGGCCTCCCTAATTAGCGACACAGGCAGTGACAGCGATAGCCGTGTCAGCGTAGATCCGGAGGATGGGGATGGAGAGGCCAAATCCAAGTTATCAGCGAAGGACATGGCATCTGTGCCTCAGTATGAGAAACGCGACCGCAAGTAAGGTTTACCCGATCGTACTCGGCATGGTGCCTTGGCACGAACTTGGCACTAACGACAACGCACCGCCATTCGACTTTGATCCCTCTAGACTTTTCATTGATCCTCAGTCAGTGTCAAGCTTCAAACCGACGCACACCAACGTCGCCTACCTACCTGATTTTTCAGGTTTGGAATTGTTGGTTATAGGGATGAAAAGAGGAGAGGTAAGCCCTTCTGAATGGACTTGCATAGGCTCATTTCGCGTTTTATGTATTCATTCCTTTGCTCTTCCTTTGTATCTCTTGCATGGACAGACGCTTGTATTTCAAGGATGTGCAAAGGTCATACCTCTGATCGGACATGCAGCAGCCATGGGATATATTATGTCAGGAACGGCGGAGATGAGGCGGTCAAACTCAAGAAAAATATCTAGAAGTTCAGCACCAAAGGAGCTGGACTTTTCATTCATATCGACCTTCACTGTTTTCTCGCCACGTACCCATGCCCTCGCAGTCATCGAAGCAGTCAGCCTGGCTGGCTCCCAGCGAGACCAAATGATTGGACAAAACACTACACCTACACCCAAAGAGCTGAGACAGCACCTGGAATCAATGACAGCTCAACTTGCGCTAACCGAATTCGATACAGTGCTCGCAATTCAATCGGCCCAAGACTGCGGGATTTTTGGAATCGAAAAAGTAGTTCCGCTGTTTAAGGGTGTCCTTTCAGTCAAGCCGACAACGCGTTCACGCGTGAAGGAAGAGGAGGAAAAACAGGCGCACATCCGTTTTGAGACTTATTTGAATGGATTTCATCCGATTCTCGACCCAACAGACGGTATTATAGCACTCAAGATCCCGAGTACATGGAGAGATGCTGTGCAGGTACTGGTTGATGCCACTTTAAATGAAAACGGAGGACGTGTCAAGCAGCCACCAGTTTCCGTTGTGTGCGGTGGAAAGAAGATGGGGAAGTCGACATTTTCACGTCTGATCTTGAACCGTATGCTGAATAGGTGAGGCGCGAAAGCGAAATTGTGGCTAGCAATTCATAGAGCCGAATAATATTCTCATCTATCGTCATTCTTTATCATAGGTATCGGAGAGTTGCATTTATCGAATGCGATATCGGTCAGTCCGAGTTCACGCCGGTTGGGATGGTGGCGCTTCATATTATCGAGACACCGGCGTTAGGAGCACCCTTCACCCATCCGCGACAGCCTTATCGTGCGTTCTTTCTAGGAAACAGCACCCCGAGGGACGATCCTGATTACTACATGGCCTGTATCAAGGAATTAGTCAAAACCTACTATGGTGAGGTCTCACACACGCGTTCCTGGGTGGATACCGAGGACGATTACCACAGTGATGACGAGGAGGATGAGCATATACCATTAATCGTTAATACTCAAGGCTGGATCAAGGGCATGGGATACGACCTACTGTTGCAGTTGCTTGACTACACTGCGCCCTCGCACATTTTTGGCTTCCACTCTCCGTCGGTGGGGGACTCTAATTTGCCGCAGTCCTTTTTTGCCACGCTGAAGGAGCAAGCCTTGGCTGCTGGACGCCCATGCCCCTTCTTCTGGTATGTCGCAGCAGTAGCAATCGGCGACGACAGCAACCTCTCTCCGTTTACGAAATACCACCCGGCCGATCACCGTGCGCTCGCCTTGCTGTCGTATTTTTACCTGAGACCTGAGGGAGACGAGAGACTAGGGTTGAGCGGTGGCGATAACTTGATTTGGGACTTCACTCAGGCGTTAATGGCGAGACGGCCATGGTGCTGGGACTGGAGTTTAGCCAAAGGAGTCTGGATTCTGTTCGACCAAGTCCCGCGTAGCCAAATTTTGCATGTCCTCAACGCGAGCCTAGTGGCATTAACAGGCGATAGGGAGAACCCCCAAGCCGTCGATGACCACGATGAGGACTCAGCCCCATCGTTAAATCATCATGGACAGCCTAATCCAGTTCCTCATATCCTTCCTGGACAGATAGCGCCGCCAAACTACTTCCCTTTGGGACAGTACCCACCCCCGCCTCCTGAACACACAACCTGTCATGGATTAGCGATCATCCGCAGTATTCAGCCTTCAACGCGCACGCTTCACATCCTCACGCCTATACCATTGGCAAAACTGAAAAAGTGCAGTGGTATAGTCAAGGGAGCGATCCATATGCCGATGCACGCCAACCTAGACCACAACGAAGACGGCAACAGCATGGTCCCCGGTGTCGCTGGCATTCCCTGGAAAAAGGTGCCTTATCTGAACTACGAATCGCCTCTAGGAAGTTATGGCTCCCAATCACCGTCCATTGGGAGCCAGTCTTCACGGCCGAACTTTACACCACCAGTTAAGATCATTGGTTCAGACGCGAAAGTGACGCGGAAGAACCTTGGACGTAAGCGCTTGCAGTGATTGCCAAATAAAAAATCATTCTTTCTCGAATGATCTTCATTCGCGCGCTGTGATCACCATCCATGTTTCATTTGAATTCCTTCAAGGCTGACCTTGCTCTAAATCAGGACGCAGAACGCGGTGGAGAAGAAATTCATGTTAGTGTATCCAAATCTGAGCATGGCCATCAACAGCAAAGTCTTGGCCACACTTTTCTAGTCCTGTTCCAGGCGAGCCGTTCGGCTCTCAGAAAGGCCATTGAAAATATCGAAGGAGAAAGCAAGTCAGCAACATGGGAAGCTGTTGCCATGATGATAGTGTAGCAGGACGGATAGTGATTTCATGTTTTCTGGCATAGACCTTTGCTGATCATCCACATGATCTGTATTTCTTGGCCCTACATAGGCGTTCTTTCTCATTCTTTGCGAAGGCTCATCTCTTACGTAGAGGCGACAGGGGACACAGAACACGATGATGCGTTGATATCGCGCATGGAGAACGTGTACCGGCCATTACTAGATAAGGTTGTTTTTTGTACATCTGCGCGCACTTCAGGCATACAGTCTGCGTGAAGCGGTTGACTGAAACAGCTTTCGTTAATCCTTACCTAGCTTCTAAAAAAGGCGGATGTTTCTGAGAAAAGGATTGCTTTTCTGCTTCTGGATTGGCTTATACTGGAATACCCATACAGGACGATCATGGCGCGCGCGTTAGATAGAGATCTAGCGCCATCGGCTGACAAAAAGCGAAAGCTGTCTGCACTCTTGGCTATCGAGCATGCCCTCCAGACATACGGCAACCCTAAATCGACAATGGACGACACCAAACCAAGTCGAAACAAAATAGATGCGTCACTTGAAAAGCCCAACGCTAGTAAGAGGACGCGTATGTGATACGTCGATACCTCACGTCCAGCAACTAGTCATTTTGACGTTTTTTTTCGTTAAATGCTTTTCAAAGTAGGGATTGCAGATCATGCATATCCTGATGGGCCGACACTTTTAGCATGGGTATCTTCGTTGTCTAGAATGGTCCGTGATGACGGGTGTGTAGCCATTTTACGAAAAAGCCGGTGAAATCACTTTCATCCTTTGTACGCGTGTGACTAACTAGCGTGATTAGAGCTGTCTTTAGCGACAGTAGTCGATCGATGACCCGCCTCATAAGTCTCGCACTAGATGTATCCATAGCGGTATCTCGTATCCTTGCGGATCAAACTCTGCAAGAGCTTCAATTCATGGAGGCTATTCGCAATGCTGCGCTGGTTATCGAGGTCGGCGCCAATGAAGGAGAGAGCTTGGCTGATCAGACAACCTATAGATGGTGCTTTTCACAGAGTATGCAGCGCATTCAAATGATGCTAACGGAGTATCAATCGGTATGTTCAGGTAGTGTTGAGGGGTGGAGCTGATAAGACTAAAAATGAGCTTGTAAGTTGCTAACAGGAATGAATTTACGGACTTAGTGGAACCTGAAGATATCTGCAATGGAATCCGCAGGGCTGGCGGATACACTAAAATTCATCCAGCTGTTCAACAATCATCGATTTACCGATGGAGACCTTCAATCGCATAAGGACCTGAGATCATTCGCCCAGTCCTGGGGCATTCTTTCTTCTGTCCTTTTTCAAAGGGGCACTGCCCTGGCATTAGCAGCAGCAATGGAGCAAATTCTGGAACTGATACCAAAAGTGAGCTTAAATGATGCATGTATGTAGGGAGAGATACCATGGGAAGCGCGCTAATGCAATCGCTCCTGCACAAACACTTAGAAAGGCATCTTATTGCAAGCAAGGTTGCTTGGCGTCTGCCTCTTGCTTGGATACTGTGATCCATCCATACCATCGGACGAAATCTATCAAAAACTAGGGGACATGAAATCAGATCTACTTTCTCTCTCGATCTCCACGGTAAAAAAAAAAAAAAAAAAAAAAAAAAAGATCGCGACAGCTTAAAAGGACCATTTTTAAAATCCGCTTCATTCGTAATATTTGCACTTGTAGGTTTCGCAAGAGTCCGTGGTCGGTAGGGATGTAGCAATGGCGCTTCACAAGCTCTTCGCCGCAGCCATGACAGAGCAAGACTTTGATCGGATAAAGTCCATGATCTCCATCATTGTGGATAATCCACTGGAGATTGCTACAGACTCTGCAGAACTAGTGGCGGGATTTGTCATTTTGTTCCCGAGATTTCTCCTCCCAGAACTTCTAAAACATGTCCAGTGCAACGATGACGACGGAAGCCTTACAACCGACGATTCGGCATTCGTGTCAAGGACATGGAATGCGGTTCGCGTTGTAGAAGAATTGGTGAAAGGAAACTTTTTTTGCAAGGCCCTCTCGAAAGCAGAAGGGGAACAAAGGTGAGTGCGTAGCCCCAAAATTTTGGATTTCGCCACACTGCTAAGCTATCTCCTGAGCCGCATCTAACCCAGAATGCATTTGAATAGAAAACTACTGGAGAGGGCGATGGTGGGGCAGCTGAGTAGTAAAAATGTCAAGATCCGTATGGCAACAACCCATTTTGTAGCCACGCTTGGTAAGTCAACAAGTACAAATCGATAAAAGGATGCTCTAGACCTCGCTCTGCGTGTTTAACACCCCTGTTTTCATTTCTCTCAGATCCGCTGAAAATTTTCCAAGTGTTCGGACCAGATCTGATGAGCAGTGGACAAAAGAGCTCCACAGCAGAGTTGGTTTTGATGGAATGCATGGTCTGTCGTACCAAAGATAGGATCCCAGAGGAGGGGTTTGCTTCTTTAATAGAGTACATTCGGTAGGCTATAACTGACGTGACGTTGCGTGACTCCTGTGAGATAATAGAGGAGACTGACAGCGGAACACTTAAACGTGTAATAGAACAACCTCATGTCGTATCTCATCTCCTAAGGGCGATAGTGGCAAAACAAAAAGCCCTGCACAACTTCTTTTAAAGACACAAAAAGCTTCCGTCCAGCTCGTGGACAAAGGTAATGACTTGGCAATCAGGTGCGCTATTCAACCGCTTTGCAGCTCTTATTCTTATCGTCCAACTTTGCCCATCCATTTCAAATAATGCCATTGCTCTCATAGACATCAACGAGGAGCTGTTAGAAGGCCTGCTTCATCTTGTGAGAAAATTTGGCGAGACCATCCCTTCGTTCTTGTGGGATAGCGCTATTCGTCACCTAGTCTCTAAAACGTATGCGTCGCCAGGAGACCAGCTTCTGATCCGCATTTGGAACAATCTGGCGCCCTCAGTTACAGACGCATCTGAGGCTATCATTGCTGTCTCAAGCGCTATACTTGACATTTTGGAGCATCAAGGGATTGTTACGGAGCAAATGCTGGAAGACGCATTGGAGGCAAGCGATGAAGCATTGGACGACCTTCGATTAGCTCGACTTTCACCGCTACTGGTGCTCAAGGTGAAAAAACATGGCTGTGTGCGAACTTAACTACGAATGTTGAGAGGCGCCTGGAATTCGCTTGCTTACAATGATAAGCATCTAATAGACGGTTCCGGCGCATGGATTCGCTCGCGAGTACAGGAAAATTAAGTCAACATATAAAGATGACAGGACTGGCTCGATACCTGACAGGATGCTATTAGCATTGAAGTCCAGGTGCGTAATCCAGCTAGTCGTAAACCTCCTGAGGCTATAATATGTCACTGAAATTGACAGACGCATGAATTGCATTCTCTCTAGAAGCGACAGTCAGCTGGAGTTTAGCCTGGTCAGGACACTAGCGACCGCTGTCCTTCATGGCATGTTCCCAGACTCTTCGCTCGAAGCTATATATACTGGTATGGCGAGACAATTTGCTGATAAACCCATCAGGATCGAACAATTGGATCTAGTCGACGCGCGGTCATGGCTGTTCACACTTTATGAGTGGGTGGCGAACTGGACGGTTGAGTCGAGCTCGCAAGGCCAGAGTGAACACGACATTGACTGGATATATCGTATCGTAAATACGTTCTTCTACGAGATCGTGACCCTCATGAACGTGAACAATGGTAGAGCACAGTTCTCTCTTTTGAGTATGATATTATCGTATATTTTTGAGTATAAAAGAATGCTCACCATTTTATTTTTCGTCTTTAATAGGTTCTGTTCAAGATGTCTACAGGCTGCAGCTCGGGGTCGTCGACGTTCTCTCGAAGATCCTTCTGGTGACTGTGTCGTTCTATGCTGAGCCAACCCATAACCTGTTCTTCAAAAACCTACAGCGGATCAGCGCCATGCACTCCCCTTCGATGACGGCCATGGTCGAAGTGATTGCAGAGGACGACTCTACAGAGCAGAATCATGCCGACAAACTATCTTTGGTTCCAAAGACTCCACAGGAACTTTTCTTAGCCGTACTAGGAGACGTCTTGAGGATTATTACCGGACCGCTTATGGAAGGAAAAATAGTAGACGTTCCATCTGCAACCTGCCTCGTCAACGTCTTTATCATGACAATGCAAAGGCTCGCAGCGCCTCCTCTAGGCATGAGCGACAGTAGCAGTACTGTCGCCGCCACCGCCATTATGAGATCCGCTAATAACTCAAGCAGTACTGCTTTACCACCAAAATGGACTAGCTGTGTCCTGATGGATCTAATAACACCAAGCCTCGGAGCTGCCGTGAGCTCCTTTCTGGCCGACAATGAAAAGTCTGGCGAAATGGAATGCGTACCCCTGATTCAAGGCTGCGTTCAAATCCTATACATGGGAGCGAGTGTAGCAGGAAGTGTGGATGGCCGTGCACTGTCAAGATCGACTGCTCAATGGGCCATGAAAGTTGCGGTCTTGGGAATTGAGAGCACAGAGACAACGATTGCTGTAGCGTCGTTGAAACTGCTGGCGACTATATCTGGCACTAGGATGATCACCACGGAGTTGCTGAATGAGGCCAATATTGTGGCTATCCGAAGGGGACTCGTTCGGTTGCATCAATCGAAGGACCTGAAAGAAGGAATATCACCGGAAATCGTCCCGTTGCTCGACAAGATGTGGGAGCTCCTTTCATAGGAGTTGCACACTACACAGAACACGTTTTGTCATGACAGCATGCCAACGAGCCGTGCGTGGAACAGCTGCGGAACGAGAGGGCGCTATGTAGGAAGCCAGATAACCTCGTGGCATATTTCGAATGGCTTTCTTTCATTTGTGCTTTCTTAATAAAGTTGCTCTTTGCGACAGTTCCAGTGCTGTCTCGCTGTTTAGGTGTAAGTACTGTTGACCATGTAAAGACAGATGCGAGTGGAAGGTATTTCCCCATATTTGGAAGAACAGGAGGTGGAGGCAGCGTCCATGAATGTGGCCTTGGTCCGGGATGGGAACATGGATATTCTCGGTGTGTATTTTTCCTACATCCGCAGATCGTGTATGAGACATTCCGACGCACCTCCCAGTCCGCAACTCCGCAATCACAATCGTGGCAGGGCTCGTCCGCGCGCTCCACAAGACGATGTCGCGGGCGTTTGCCCAAGCTCCAGCATCCATCCTGCGCTTTGATGGCCTGCCGATGCTCAGAAGGTGAGGGCACTGGAAAAGTGAAAGATCAGGAGCTGCAAGGATGCGGATGCCATGAACGATCAGGCTGAGAGGATTCAGAAGATAAAAGTCTCCAGGAAGACCAACTCATCCCCAAGGACTCACAAGCGCAAGCTTGCTCGATCGATCCAGAAAGAAAAGAAGAGCTGGGCCGCTACAGGGATTGATTCAGTGATAAAAAACGGTTTCTTTGCTGGGTTGGAGGAGCTGTGCTGGAACGTGTGTCGCTGCGCTGGAGAAACGGACGTCTATATTGGTCGCAAGGCGAAGCAACATCCTAGTCAGGCTATGGTTACTTCGTCGATTCAGATATACTCTTTTATGGCATGCAGGCGCTCCTCAGAAAGAACCTCCGTAATCACACCTTCTCGTCGTGGAAGGTGGAATATATAATTCAGAAGCTGGAAGTCAGCGAGGCTCAGTAGATTGTCGCTGCCGTCACTACGACCAACAACTGCACGAGCCGGGTGCCAGGCCGGTCGTTCGTAAAGGGCCTCGCCGTACTGCATGGATGTGATCCAGCCCACAAGCAGGGCGTCCTGGATCACTATTGCAGCCAGATGAGAGTAGGCTGCGGGATATCTGGCAAATTTCCTTTGACAAGGCCGAGACCTCGGAAGAGGAGTATAAAAGAAGTGAAGCTATTGACACGATGAAGGGGATCGTGGACAGTGTCATCAGATACCTCCAAGAGTAAGTATCTTTAGTTAACGTGGGGACCTTTTTTTTTTTATTAATATAAATCCACATGAGCACGAGACGCATAGTCCGCAAAGGCCTAAAAGCCCTAGATGCCTTCCATGTTAATGATATGGGAACCGGAGGGCTAATATATAAGGAACGGAGGCGAAGCGTTGAAAATATGATCGGAGACGTAATAAACAGACAGTAACGATGAGCGTTGGAACGATTGATCACCGCCTTCAACGCGGACTGCAGCGGAATTACGGCGCCGACGGCTATCTTCAAGCAAGCCAGTGTATCAGGTCGGCTATCCAGGGCCTCGTCAAGCTCAACACGGATTTACAGGACGCTCGTAAAAGAGATGTGCCATTGGGACGACGGCCTGAAGAGCAGCGGTGACAGGTTTGACTCAACGTTAGCGACACTCGAACCTTTCAAACCAATGCTCAGGAGCAAGGGCGCCGCGAGCCAGGGAGCTTTTTCGAAAGCTATTTTTTCCTGGCCAGAAAACCAACGCTAGAGGTCCACATGAATGAAATCCCAGGGTCCATGCCTGCAGTTGTGCCCAGAACCAGTCCAGCCCAGGCTCTTTTCCGCCGCAGAAAACTTAATCTTCCCGTCCTCTTCTCGGTCTCTTCCTCTCTGCACACCAGTAACAGCACACCCTTTCCTAGCTCGCATCCGGCCGCATCTTTTTCTTTTTAGCTTGCCTCGCCCTCCCCTTCCTTTCCTTTCAGGCAACATCTATCCTTCCCTATATCTGACAGAAATATATACAGCATTTACAATGATATCGCATCAAAGTTCAAGCGCCTGCACAATTGGCGCGCCTTTAGAACATGCACCACCAGCACCTGCACTTAGACAACAGGATCGCCCCACAGCTGGTACTCAATCCATAGCAGCGGCAGGAGGAACAGAAAAGCAAGAGTTGATTGAGGACGAAAAGGATGTAGCGGCAAGGGGACTGACGGACGAAAAGCATCGCTCGAATACGGCTGAGCTAGCAAACATCGCACCTGAGGACATGAGGGTCCTGAGGGATTACAAGGACGAGATCACAGAGGTCAAAGAGACTGAGCATGGTTCCGATGAACCAGGACACCACAGGACGCTAACAGATCAACTCCACGGACATCGACCCGACCGGCATCTGTTCCCATACCGCAGCCTCAGCGAAAACGTACACGCAGCAAAGACGTTTTTGCGGCATTTCTTCTTCCTCTTCTTGATTGTCCCTGCTTGGGTGATCCCCAATGTACTGATGGCCAAGGCGGAGCACGATCTGGCACTGTCACACGGTGGTGGTGAAGGGGCAGGAGGGGGAGTGGGCAATGAGACGGCATCCCACGTTGCGATTGGATATGGGGGATTGAAGTTTATGACATTGTCGGCGGCTGAAGAAGGTGGAGCAGAGGCCCACGGTCCAGAACTGAGCAAGGCGGCATACTGGGTGATTTTTGTGCTGAACTTGTTGGTGATGATGCACCTGGGCAAGGCAGCCGGCAGGGCACTGGAGGAACTGGTCCCCAAATTTGGGATGGTAAGTGGCAGGCCATCCCTTTCTTTTCCTCTCTGACACGCAAGTGGACATGCCTATGATCGTGAATATCCCGAGGAGAAATGGTGGTGTGTGAGTGGTTCATACTTCCCCCCTTGTTAAGAAAACCTGTAAATTGAATGCTTCCTGAGTTTCCACAAATCTGCTTCCGCCCTATTCTGCAGCTAATAATGGACACGTTCTTTTTTTATTTCCCGATAACTTTTTGGTTTGTTGGTCTGTCGTAATCGATAAATCGATAACAAAACCATGCGATGTAGCGGGTCGTCAGTGTGTTTGATGCCTTGACCAGCAGCACAGTCGAGCTCGCTGTTGCTAGCTTTGCCCTCCGCAAGGGGCTTGTCGTCGTTGTCCAGGCGGCCATGTTGGGCGCAATCTTGAACAATTTGCTCCTGGTAAGCCCATAGATTCGATCGATTTATTCACACAAGGAGTAACATTAAACGAAACAGGTCCTAATCATGTATTTGTTTATTCGCATATTGTATAGATGATGGGAATTGCCATCTTCGTGGGAGGTATATACAACCACCAGCAGAAGCTGAAAAAGGTGAACCTCATGTCCTGTTGGCAATGCTAGTGAATTTTCTCTTCCTCGCGTACTGACGCCTGTTTTTTTTGTCGTATTACTCCCATCTCATTCAGGAAACAACCCAGACCAGCGTCAACATCCTGATGATCACTTGTATTGCTTATGTGGTCCCCATCGGCCTCGAATCGACCCTACTTCAAGTCTACAAGAATATCTCGCCAGCTGGTGCCGATCAGACCGCGATCCGCCTTATAGTCGAGGCTGATATTCTGAAGCTCTCCAAAATCATGTCGGTCATCCTCCTGATTGTGTATCTGTCCTGTCTGTTCTTCCAGTTCCACCACGAAACGTTTATGATCACGCCCGAAGCCAAGCATGAGGGCTCCCATACACTCGAGCGCCGCTACGCTCATTTCTGGTTCGCAGGCCTGGCTTATGTAGCCTCAATGGCAGCTCAAATCTACTCGGCTAACTTGCTTGTTCACGCAGTCGAAGGACTCGGACGACTGCACCACCTCAACGACTCCTTCGTGGGATTTGTCCTGCTTCCGATTGTGCTGATCGCAGACTTGCAGGAAGAGGTCATCGCAATTCGAGAGTCAAAGGCAAATCGACTGGATAGGTCCGTAGCCCTCATGGTCGGCTCCTGCATGCAGATCGCACTACTAGTCACGCCCATATTGGTAATCCTGGGCTGGGTCATGGACGTGCCTATGACGTTCAAGTTCACTATCCTTGAGGTCGTTATCTTGGCAACCTCAGTCTTGCTGATCAACTATTTGATTCAGGATCATGAAACCAATTGGTTGGAGGGCGTCATGTTGCTGGCGGTCTTCATCATGTGTGCTATCGCGTTCTTCTACGACGATTCGCACGTTGAACTCATCTCCGGCGAGGGAACCACCATCAGTGGGGATGGTGTCGGTGGAGCGCCAGCAGCACTACACTAAGCCATCGTAGCCGTAGCTTTACACAAGTGCGCATGTTTATTATATATATTTATAGAGTTGCAAATCTACGCTGTTGGTGCAGAAGAAGACCCTGTAGAAGGTGATGATGGCGGTGATGGCGATGACAAGGAGGCAGCCGCAGTTTTGCGCTGTTCTTCCCCGCCGCCGTAGAGGATATCATGACGCTTTTGCTCTGCGATTCTGATCTGCATTTCCCGATCCCGTCGCTCAAAATTGGTGAATGTTGTGTCAGACCCGTTGCCAAATCCTCCCAAGAACGCTGCGACCATCAGCCATGCCTATCCACCATAATAGAGGCAAATTGTGTAAGGTCAGTATGGGTGTATCAAACGATTTTTTAATAAACAAAAAAATAAAAAAAACTACAGGTGTACCTTTTGTGGAGGTCGAACGGCTGCAAATTTGGGCCAGGTGGCCTGGAGGACGCCCCCGGCGAACAAGGCAACACTGCAGTACTTGAGGGCACCGATGGCACCTCCGCGCATAGCCTCCGCAGCGGCAGCATCGTCCATGTTCTGTTTGATCAGACGCATTTTCTGATTATATATATTCTTAAAGTTGTGATTAAGTGTCGAAGGAAGGGATCTGCCTGAACAGCGTGGGTATTAAAATGGAGAGAGAGCTGAGAGTTGCTGAGAGATGATCCTGAGGACGCTTGTTCTTGGGTGTGGTACGTAGTAAGTGTCGGATGGAGCGTATGTGTAAGCGAGTTCTTTTGTTTTAAAGGTGCATTCTCCCACAACGACAGTGCAGCTTCAATTTATATGAAAAATCGGACCCGGTATTTCAATCTAGATTTGCGCCCGATCCACTCCACGGGTGACGACGACGCGTGGATGTGCTCAATTTGGGAGTTCCGGATCGAAAGGTGGAGGAGCAGGATGCCGGCGAATATAGGCGGTTTCATTGTCAGTCCCCATTCCATGTATCTCTTCTAATGTCCTCTGCATTCATTATGGCGAACTGTTAGGTTGCTCCTGTCCTCTCATTGAAGAACGGATCAGGAACTATGTCGGCGCCAGGAACTATGTCGGCACCAGGGACTTTGCAGCCTACGGTCGCACCGGTTGATCGATACGATGCCACGACGCACAGCTCCTGAAGTATTCACGGTTTAGAGCATCTCCCAGCGGCCTAGTGATCAGCAGTGTGTTTTCATGGGCATGGGCTATGTGCGAACCACGACAAGAGTGCGAGTGCGCAGCTGCTCAAAATAAACGGGGTTTGCAAATTTTAAGCGTGAGTAAATAGGCTATCCCGCACCCGAAGAGCGCCGGCCTCGGCTTGCGTTTTAAACATTTCTGTCGATTCCGCCCTTGAAATGAAGGGAAAATTTTATGCAACCGGGCTTGACAATAAAGGTCAGCGCTGCCTCCCTTACGAAAGCGTCCCCACGACGCTGACTCCTAATGAATCTTATTGTGGGACTGGACGTCCGTCGACTGAAAAGCCTTGTTAGTCAGCTAACCATCCATACTCACACTACTCACACTCCACATTATTTCTTTACACGAAGGACTACGGGTTCGTAACAGGCAAATCGAGATTATTCTTGATCAAAAGGGCCGACAAGCTAGAAGCGAAAGCTGGCCGTGCAGGGATTCATACTTCATACTTCAATGGACCATGGTGTTGCCGCCAGTATACTCATATCTTATTTCATGGAAAGGAAGGGTATATATACTTGTATCTGCTTCATAAGGACCTTATGTGAGTGGATAATGTGCGAATAGAGAATCGATCGACGTGGGAGTAGCGGGTATCAACGGAAATGACAGCATGTATGGTGTTTGAAAAGAAATGCATAAAACATGTGGAATATGGATGGCGACGGCCGTTTTTAGGCCCGGCTCTCGGTGCCAGTAATCGCTTTGGTGTTGACCTGTGGCCTCATCATCTGTCGCATTCTCGTCACTTCCTCCCTTGCTGTAGCGACACGCTTTTCAACAGTGTCCTTGGCCTGATCAACCATCGTCTGCGCTTTCAGGGTCATTTCCCGCGATCGCTGTTGAATCTCTGCACTGGACTTTTCGATAATCTCGGTCGAGATTTTTTGGACTTCCTCCGCTCGGAACTGCAGGTAGCCAGTGGTCTGGTTGGCGGTATGCAAGAAACCTCCTGCGCTCGTAAGTACTGATCCAAGAACATTTCTAAAGCAGGGAGGTTAACGACCACACTGCGTTGTTAAAAAATCTCGTCCGTTGACGACATATCAAAAGAATGATTGCTGCAATCAGGCGCGTGCTGAATTTTCGAACTTACCGGACGACGTGGTCGTACCACCAACCAAGAAGTGGCATACTCTGCACAATACCCTCGAGGGTCCAGGAGTCCTGGTGACTGTAGATCATCGGTCCGATGGGCGAGTCGCGGAAGTGCAGTGTGGTCGTCGCGGGCACTTGAAGATGCAGCAGTGGAAAGAGTCGCGGTCGCAGGTTCTGAACCAAAGAGATTATAGCGGTGTGTCCACTATGGTAGAGAAATGTGGATCAATGCTTTGATCAGTATACTGGTAACAAGCATCATTTGGATACAAGAACTTTTGACATAGGAGAGGGGAAGAGCTTTGTCGTACACTATGATCTAAGCTCATTAAAAAGAATTGCTGGATCCAAGTTGGTCAAAGCGCCCTATGGATCCTATATTATTTTTTTTCCCCTGCCCGAAAACTTCAACACCGCCAGTGCATTGGACATCGTTGGGCGCCTTTAAACGATAGTTGATGAAGTATCCTGACTGTCAGTACAATCAAATCCAGTTGGATCCATGTCGTGTGTATTGATCATGTTCAGTCGCATGCCTCTTTGTGTGTCGCGAAAAGTTATAAGATGCAATATGAAGTCACATCCTTGCAATCCTCTTGCAGATCCAGGTACGGGGCCCTGCAACATGCTATGGAAACATATGCCTCCTGCTGTTGCGTGCTTCTTACGTTTGTTGCAATATCATTCCTCTCGCTAAAACAGATAATATTCGCTTTCGAACCATACGTTGGCGACTCCGAAATTATCGGCTCATGCTCTCGTTTTTGTCCTGCATTCTGCTCCAAGGATGTCTATCCCACATGCCAATTTTTTTTCTTTTTTTTTTTGTTAACTTACTCAAAGACGATATTGGTGACTTCGGGCTCATCCTTGTTTAATGAGGTCCACACCCGAAAGACTTTTCGAATGTTGTATTTGCCTTCAATGGTAAGCGCAGGATGGATATATCTATAGAAGCAAATGAATGAAGTTAGAAAAACCTGCTTTCACAATGCAAGAGTGACCCTACCAAACGAAAACTGCTGGCTCAATGATTTTGGCCTTTCGCCCGTGAAAGAGAGGCAGGTGAAGGAAGTGCACATGCAAAACCGCGTAATGTGGCACAGGCCAGAACACAGTATTATCCCCATCTTCCAAAAATCAAAGGCATACATGGCATGGCCGAAGGCCATCGTATGTATGCGGTGTGCTGTTAAAGTGAAAAGGAACGTGCCATAGAAGAAAAGAGACAATAGCGGTTATCAACGAACTAATGCACTTTCCACATGCTTCTGTGAACCATGCACACAAACCTGCCTTGGCAAGCCATGCTTTTTCCCTCCCTTTTCCAATGATGCTTTGTGTAGCAGCAACGAAAGACGGAGGGGACAAAAGAATAAGACCATGGCCGGAGAGGAACTTACTTGGCGTCATCGGTGAAGAAATCATCAAGGATTTCCTTGTGCATCTCTTCGTCGTAGCTGGTCAAGCGGTTGGCAATCCACCAGATAAACTCCATGTTCTTGTCTGCTCCAAACAGTCGAGCATCCAAGAAAAAAAACCCTTGTTAGTAACTGGCATATGAAACCATTTTATTTGCTTCCTTGTGGGGCGGATGGGTTGCTTGATTGGGGGTTGAGATAATAATCGTGCTTGCTTACCAGTGATTAAGTCGTGGTTGTTGCTGCTGATGTTGCTCATGCCACTGACGCTGCTCATCGAAGAGGACTCATAGCTTCGATCAGAAGATCCCATCGTGTATAGGTCTTTCATTTCTTTTGCCGCAGTGGAGGAATGTCCTGAGTGTCCAATGGGATGACTGTGTGGTAGACTGATTCGATTCCAATGAGCTCCGCCGAGTTTTTTTTTTTTTTTTTTTGCTCTTGTCCGATTACAGTGAGGATGCTGGTGGGGTTGAAGACTCGACAGAAAAAGCGATGAGAAGGATGGGAGAATGAAGGTATTTGCGAGTGAGGAAAAGGTGGAAAGGAAGAAAGGGGCGAAGAAATCCAGTCGAATGCACGACGAGCATCCGCAGTGATACAGGCACTAGTGGCCGCCCAGCATCCTTTCTGTGTCGTGAAGAACCGTCAGAGAAAGTGCCGCCGCGCATCTACCACTCTTTTCCAAGTCGTCTTTTCCCTATGAAAACCGTGCATATCTGCATGTAAGCCGACATGAGTTAGCATCGCCATCGATAGCGTCCTTTTGAATGCAATAGGCAGCATGTGGATGTGGATACAAGGCCTACAGCCCATAGCTGCGCCGTATAAATCCAAAAAAAAACTATCGACGCGACTTCCAAAAACAACGGTACTACACCTTGAAAGAGCATCGCTTTGAAATCCGCTCATTTCGTGTTCCTCGTCCCGAAAACATACATTTCTGTAAGCAAACATCTCTGCCGCGTATTTCTTACCCAGCGGACCCGATTGCCGTAGGCCTGCTTCAACAGCTTCCCTCGTAGCCCACTTTTAACATCTTTATTCCCATGCCGTCTACTGGAATTGCTGTAGTAAACCAGTGGTTGGAATAAACGTCGGTACAAGTATGTGCTTGAGCAAGGGAATGACCATATTCCGAGCTGGGTCTTGTAGTCGGACCTTGATTTCTCGTTTGCGACCAGAGCTCGTGAACAAAAGGAGAAGCACACTGAGAAAGAAGATCGGTGACAATTGCAGGAGGAAGTCCAGCTTTAGGCGCTGTCCGAGGACGTTGCGATTGATTTTGGCACGACCGCACCGGCGAAGGTCTTCTCTATGTCGGCTCTGGCGGGAGCACTAGAGAGCGAGTCCTCTACTGAAGAGATGTCCAGGAAACGCGTAAGGAAGGATGTCATATCCTCGATGGAGCTCTACGGTCCAATGACAGATTCAGAGCGGGACGCGTGGGACAGAGTGGAAAGACTACAATGAGAGGTGCATGAGAGAGAGCGGCAGTTAAAAGATTCATGGGGCCTGTTGAAGGGAGCGCAACGCCAGTTGCAGGAGTCGAGCCTTATACGAAGAGTTCATGAATGAATTCAATGTACCCACCAAGTCTATTGATTCGTATCGAGGAACACGACAAACAGCGAGGCAAGAGGCTCGCAATGGACAAACAGTGCGTTGTCAGCCATCGCCACGAGATCTGAATGAATACGTTGCAACGACACAACCCATACGTGGAATTAGCAATTATTCGGGGAGCTCGCCGAAGACTATTGTGGATGTTTTAAAGGACAGAATCCTCGAGGCCGGTACTCCCATACGAGCATTGCACGTATGTTTGCCTCTAATCCTCGACAATTTGCTCTCGGCATGAACTTGGCAGGCAGATGGCCTTGTGGCCCTCGAATTACGTCGTGCCAGGACACGGAATAAGCAGGATGATGGTTGCTATGGAGCTCCGTTACAAGAAGGTTGGCAACACGAGAAATCTCGTGGAAACTCTTGACATCAAGGCAAAGAGGCGTAATAATCTGGAGGAAAGGAACTCGGGCAAGTTCAAGGACGCGCTTATTGCGTAGTTTCCCGAGTCATGCTATATCCAACATCGCAATTGATCTCACTTAATTCTTTGTTTATTGTGCCTTTCAGCTAATTTCTAAGACCATAACTGCAATGCCAAACCATCTCCTCAAGTGTCTATCGTTGAACATTTTACTGAATATCGCAAAGAGTCGTTCCGGCCTCAATCATATCGCCCTCGCCAACATTCAGCTTCAATGTGCCGTCGTGGCGCGCATACAGGCGGACTTCGGTCTTCATGGACTCCATAGTCAGGATCGCCTGGTTCTTCTTCACGACCGTACCAGTTGGGACCAGGATCTTGAGAATCTTGCAAGGCATGGGTGCCGTATAGGGCGAGAAGACATCGTCCTCGCCCTCAGCTGCGCTCTTCAGTTTATCCTTGCGTGCAAACAGGATTTGCTTGCCACCAAAGTCCTTGGTGTGCACGTAAATCTCCGTGTTGTGGAGCTCAATCGATCCATTCGCAATGTTATAGTCGCGCGTAACCCCATCTATAGACAAAGCGATTAAACCATTAGTCCATCATCATGATTTTGGGCACAAAGCGCGACTCCTTCCCAGGGAGAACAATGCAGTGGAGCTTACCAATGGTGCAGCGAAGGACACCGCTGCGCTCGCCAAGATCATCCTCCTCCACAACCACCTTGCCCAATCCAACTTTGGCGGTGCGCCATGGGCCTGGTTCCTCGCCTGCCACAACAGCCCTATAGAGGACCTCGAACTTCTTCTCAGCCTGCTTCTGATTGGGAGGAACCCAAGCACCGGGCTTGACAATGTGTTCGTACTGAAGCTCGATCGTCCGCTCGGCGACCTCACCCACATAACCATCCTGCTGCTTCTTGTGCTTCACATATCTCCAACCGCTAGGAATATATCGAAGTTCTGAGCGAGCTTGCTCACGCAGATGCCATCCCCAGAGCATGGGCACGATCGCAAGACGATCTTCATCTGGATGAGGCGCATTGTTCTGCTTATGGATAGCCTCCTCATCAATGAATCGAGTCGACAGTCTTCCAGCCTGAAACCGTGGATGTTGCAGCACCTGGATCAAGAACTTGCGGTTCGTTGTCAGACCCAAGGCGACAGTCTCACGCATCGCCAGAGCCATCTTTTGGATAGCCTGATCACGCGTGGGTGCCCAGACGGAGATCTTGGAGATCATGGGATCGTAGAAGATGCTGATTTCGGAGCCTGTTTCGATGCCGCTGTCGTATCGAACGCTCTCAGCGGTGCACTGCTTCCAGCGTCTGATCTTGCCGGTGCAGGGCAGGAACTCGTTCTCTGGGTCTTCGGCATAAAGTCGGCACTCGATGGAGTGACCCTAATAAGGCAGAACGATATGGACAATGGATAAAATGAAAAGTCAGATATTTTCTTCGTCTTCTTCGCCTTCCTTAGTTCAGCTCTCTGTACTTCGCAGTCAACACATTCTTGTGCATCTTACATTCAGCTGAAGGTTGGGAAGCTGGGTCTTGGAGATATCGAATCCTTGGGCGACCAAGATCTGCAACTCCACCAAATCGAGACCGGTTACCAGCTCCGTGACAGGGTGCTCGACCTGGAGACGAGTATTCATCTCCAAAAAGTAGAACTTGCGGGTGGCATCATCCTACAAAGATGGGAAGTGGACATCAGGACATCATTGGTAAGAGAGAACAACATTAAGTGCGCTTGTATACTAATCGCGTTGTGATGTATTTAGTTACTTACCACAATAAATTCAATGGTTCCGGCTCCTTCGTACCGCAACAGTTTGCCGATCTTAACCGCAGCTGTGGTCATCTCATGGCGCAGCTTGTCGTCCATCATTGGTGAAGGGGTTTCTTCAATCACCTTTTGGTGTCTGCGCTGAATACTGCACTCGCGTTCGAAGCAATGGTACACATTGCCATGCTTATCACCCATGATCTGGATCTCAATGTGACGGGCGTTCGAGAAGTACTTTTCGATCAACAGGTTGTCACTTCCAAAGGATCGCAGCGCCTCGGATTTGGCCATCTCGATCTCGTCTTTGAGAGCTGAGGCCTCACGCACGATACGCATACCCTTTCCTCCGCCTCCGGCAGAGGCCTTCAAAAGGACGGGGAAGTCGATCTGGATTGCCTGTTGGATCAGATTGTCAATGCTTTGATCCGCACCGTTGTAACCTGGAATCAATGGAATCGACGGTTCCTTGGCAGCCAGCAAGTTCTTGGAGGCGATCTAGTGAAAGCCATAAAGCACCGAAAAAGGATGCTGCATTAGTCAAGACTCAGCTCAAGAGCCAATAGGTGGAGCAGCAACCAATGGGGCTTCAAGTCTTTTACCTTATCTCCAATGGCAAGAATCGACTCGGGTTGAGGTCCAATGAAGTTGATGCCAGCATCGGTACAAGCCTTTGCAAAGTCAGTGTTCTCAGACAAGAAGCCGTAACCTACAATATACGATGGCACGTTTTAGACCTACAAACGCAACGAGCTATGGAAAAATGAAGGGAACAGTTTGGGTCGTACCTGGGTGGATAGCATCCGCTCCAGTGAGACGACATGCCTCGAGGATCTTGTCGCCGCATAGATAGGACTCTGAGGAAGGCGAGGGTCCGATGAAGACGGACTCGTCAGCCATTCTGACGAACAGAGCATTCTGATCACTGTTATTGGAGAGTGTAGTAAAGAGACAAACGTCGCATTAAAATCAGGCGTGGAGAAATAAATCCATCCTCCGATGCATACACCCGCCCCGTTCGGCCGGCCCGATCGATGGATCGGTCTCTGCAGACAAACGCGTCCGCCAGGAACAGGCAGGACAAGAGCTGTGTAGGACATGTGTATTTGTTATATTTTTTTTTCTGTGTATGAAAACCAGGGTACTGGTCTTGCACATACGCCTCGGAGTATACGGCAACGGTGGCGATACCGAGCTTGCGGCAGGTCTTTATGACTCTGCAGGCAATCTCTCCACGGTTTGCGATCAGGACCTTGCGAATGGGCTGGGAGTGGGTCATTGTAGTGCGACTATGGAGGTTGAGGAGAGAGTGGGACAAGGTCGCTGGACTGTTTTATTCACCGAGAGATAGCAGAGAGGAAGAAGAAGAGTGGAGAGATAGAAAAAGAAGAGAAGGAAGAGCGAAGGTGTCGAGACGGATGAAAGAAAAAAGGATGGTTGGTGGTGAAATGAAATCGAGATGGAAGCGGATGGCTACCCCATTCCACGGACGAAGGGAAACCGAGGTTGAGTGCAGCATAAAGCGACAAGCACCCTCGCGTGCGAAGCGAACACATTTCATTTGCATGGATCGCAATAGGAAAGCGAGCCCAACAACGCGTACATGGCCATTGTCTCTTTCTTCTTCGTGCTGTGAGACAGTGTCCCTCTGCGCTCGAATGCAATCGCTATCCGTCGCGGATGGAGCCCTGCATGGGTCCTCCCCGACGAGCAAAGGCGGGTGTTCAGTTCCCAGATGCGTTGTGCTTTCCGAAAAGATTTCCCCACTTTCTCCACAAGTGAACAGAGAGCCGCGTGCAATTAAACTCTGCCTCAAGCCCTCCTCCACCACGTGAAGTTACACACCTACTTTTGTTAGTCTGACGACGCGTCTCGTCGTCCGCTGCCTAGGCCGCCAGTCATCTGGGCATTGCTTCAGAATACATGTACGAGTATATTTTAAACCGTGCTGGATGCCAGAAAGTATCTGCAATATGTATATCGAGGGCCAACAAGGGATACACCGTGCTTGCTGCCAAAGCACCACATGACTGACTATGTACAGTACACAACTCTTGATCGCCTAGGCTGGCATCTAAGTGACGAAGATAGAACTGAAACTTGTTGGACACTGTATTCAGGGACCAAAATGCAGTCTTCTGTGGTTGTTTTTGCCACATTAATAGGCGACGGACTTACCAATATTCCTCCTCGACCGATAACCTGGCCGTTGTCGTCCAAGGTAACAGAGCTCGGTCGCAGCATTGGAGAATGCGGAGGGGTCATGATCGCATTCCCCAGAGTTATGTCCGAGTCCCTTCTCGAGTCTCGCTTTCTGTTTTCCTCAAGGTCATATCCCAACCCAAATCCGGCATTGCGACCTTGTTGCACTGATCCAGGGTCCAACCCAGCGCCAGTGCCCACCTGGTTGGTCAGATTCGAAATGCTCCTGGTACGCGTCATCGGCAGTTCGCACCGAGTAGATAAACCTATCTTCTGGCTCGAGGAATTCGCAATAAAGACCTCCTCGGGCGGTGTTACTGAGTCGCACCCTGTCACCGTGGACTTGCTGTAGGCTCCGTGACCGTATGGAGGAAGGAAAGAGATAGAGGAAGCTGTAGAGTTGGCGTCGCGATAATGACTGTTGTTGTACTGATAGATCGACGGACCCGGACCTGAGACCTCAGCCATGTTGCGATATCCTATAGGACTGGATGGCTCTGGAACATACCCGCCTCGTCGCCGATTCCTGTGGTTATCCACATAGCAAAGACAAATACCCAGACCGATGAAAACAATGGCACTTGACAGCGAGATAACTATAACCTGGATCAAATGGGCGCGTCTCTCTTCCTGGGTGCTCTCTTGGGATTGTGCGGGATCCGTGAAAGTTTCTCCGGGGATATGGCTCTGCGATTGATCAATGTCGACCCATATTAAGCTCCGGGCACCATGCAAATTCTCCAGCAAGCCCTCGACGGAATACAGATAAGATCTGCATCCATCATCCCGATATAAGGCAAAGACAGACTGATTTGAGCTTGAAGAAAAAGAATATGCTAGGCTGGGGACCTCGACACAGGTGTTGACCTGCACGTTTATGGGACTTGCGTTCGGTACGGGATCGTTACTTACAGTGAAGAAGGAGAGAGTAACGGTGGTATTTGGATCAATGGGCTGTGCAGACGTGAACGAAAGACCGAGCGCAAGGAGCAAGACCAATGCTATGCTGGTTGTCGCTGGTGCAGCGGAGAATGAGATGATCATGTATATTCTAGGGGCTTTAAATGGAACTGAAGGGGTAGGGCGTAGTGATGTCTCTCACCTGAGAGAAGAATGAAGTGGGAAGTGGGAAGTGGGAAGTGGGAAATGGGATATTCTGGCTGCGGGCGCGAGGGAAACAAGGATCGAGAAGTGATATTTTGGGAAAAGAAAGGAAGAAAAAGAAGAAAAAAGAGATGTGAAGGTTCCTTGAAGAAAGATATCTCCATCTCGGATATCGTGTCAGCATGGATGCATGGCGGGATGCAATGCGCTGGGATGGTGCTTACAGTGTTGTTTAGAGCGATCCATTCAGAGGAGATTGGCTAACCGATTCGCATGCAAAGAAGCACAAAGGACGAAGGGTAAGGGCAAAGGACCAAGGGCGAGGTGCAGCAAAAAAAAAAAGTACTAAGTGGCGGCATTGCTGCTCCCAGATGCCCAGGCGGGGCAGAGAATGGCATGCTGCATGTATGGCAGTGCAAAGGACAAGAAGCGCCCGTTTCTGTGCTGTTTGCTGACGGCTGTGCCTGAATTCTCTCGGAATCAAACATCTGGGCGTCCTTTTCCTTACAGAACTGCAACAGTGTCTGTTATTTCTATTCTTGGCAGAGTTTGTGTGCGGCAGTGGCGAAGCAGCCAAAAATTTCTGTGGCAGGAGGTCGAACGCCATTGCCCAAGTCGCGCCCTTGGGCAGTCGATTATCTCCTATGAACACTGATCCCTATCACAGCGGTAGAGATCGCGATCGTGATTGTCAGTCGTCCTGAATGCATCTCGAAGCGTTAACTAGTCAGTAGGTTCTTTTTTTGGGGTCGCCGCCTTGAAAAAAAATGTCCTTGACTTTTAAACCACCTGTGTAGAACGTCTCTTTTTTTTTATGCTGGCTGGAATGTCTTTCCAAAGGAACTCTGCAGGGGGTTAACATGCGCCCATCCTGACCCTCAGATGCCTAGACTACGCTTGGAATCGCGCCTCTTCGTCTATCTTTCGCTACGTATTCCCATCGTATCTACCCACATCAAGCACAGGCATTATCTCCTTAGACTAAAAGAGTATTTCTTTATATGATGCTTGCAACGCGCGATGCCGCGCCCTCCAGGTGTATCAATGCCGAGAGGGCCGATGGTAACACGCCAGAGTCACCCAGCTTCCCAGGAGTCTCGACCAAGGAGGCAATACCAGTTGATTTAATGGCTTCCATAACAGCAATGCCATGACTGCCAGCATAACCACCAAGCGGCCCATGGGAGTCAAGACAACACCATTTATGCTCGGCGGCTACCTCTTTTGCTCAGTTGGTTCTATCTATTGGTCTTCCCGCTGATCCATATGTGTCAGCGGCAAACAAACATCGAATAGATCTTCCTAAAGTTGACCTCTGTACTTACTGTACGAAAGAATAGGAAAGTCTGAATGCGAGGTGACCGCAGAAGTATGTCAAAGCTGTTGCTGTTGCTGTTGCTGTTGCCAAGTATACTAGCAGAACACTGCATCAAACACCCGAGCATGTCTGAAATTGAACCTACACGGGGCCGATTGCTGGCGACCTCAGTTTCGCTCCGTTGTATAGGCCTCCAGCGCTGGTCAGGACGCTGCTCGGTCTCTATGGCACAAAGTGCACTTTCATCGGGATCTGGAAGCTGATTTGGGCCGCATGCATTTGCACTGTCACATACTAATCCCTGCGGATTTTGGGAACATTATTCATGCAGTACGCCTACCCCTGACACGCTTGAGCAGCTCAATCGCAGCCTACCGGTTCTATGGCCATTGCGCCGCCCGAGGGGCTCAAGTAAAATCTGTCGTGCATAATGAGCAACACGATCCAGCTGCGAAACATGAGGCGCCTGACATTACTCACTGACCCGTATATTGTCGTATTTCATGCAGGTGAAAGCATCAGTCTCGGTACTCATTTATCGTGGGACACTCGTTCTGGAGAGGATACGAGATGAATAGGAGATATAACCAATATCCTCATGAGAGATATAACTCATATTGTGGAAGCTGTTACGAATTCCATTTCCTCCGGTCAGCCATAGTCGAGACCATCCTCATCCTCGTTTTTGCATCCTCGACTGTAGATTAGGCCCCCGCCTTGACAGCTGCTGCGCTGGTGCTTGTGGTTCTTCTGATTCAAGAACATTTCGGACGATGAACTTCTGACGTCCATATCGAACAGACAGCTGTCAGCGCATAGCGCGTGCATCTCATGTAAGAGATTTTGACAGCTACCAAGCTGATCAAGTTCTATGGTTGGATGCGCCTTTTCAACATCAAGTGGAGGAGGCTGACAAAAGAAAGCTGGGCCCGTTCAAGCGAAATCTGCACATCAAGGCTGTCAACATGACTGCGGCCTTTGCGCTTCCTATAATGGTCTCTGTAGTCGCATTGGCTATCCATAATGACGAGAAATCATGGCCGATCGACAGTATTATGGTCTTTACAGCGCTGAGTGTCTCCAGTACTCTACGATATCCCTTTCTGATGCCCCCTATCGCTGTCAAGAGCACTTCTGGTGATAGAGACTAGCTGCGATCTGGGGTGTCGCCATGACCGAATAAACATGCTTGACTTCTCACAGTGAATACCTTGCAGCGCCCATGATGGGTGCAAGACTAGTCCTCCATCGTTTGGACAACCATCTAACGCGACCCAAGATGAAGCCTCTATAGGGATGTGCAATCTCAGATGGTGGATGGCTTGCGCTTGAGGTAAGAGATCGTGAGATCGCTTAGGACATCAACCTCAGCTAAGCGAGAAAGACTAGTGGTAATTGTGGGCTAGATCGGGTCTAGAAAGAGTCCCTTTATTACTACCTTGCAGGGCCGCTTGGCAAACAGGGAGTGGAGAGTCGGCACTAAGGATTGACAGCAAATCATCGTTCGTTCCTTAGGAAAACATCATCCTCGGTAAAGCCCTGAGCAGGAGCGGTACGATACTGTAGTAAAGATATGAATCCTTGAGCAGGACTGGACTTTGCTGAGCCACGGCGATATGACCGAGATTGGAGAACGCGGAAGCGACTTGTTAAGGGAGATGAGGTATCACGTTCAAACCTTGAAAAGCGCCATTGACATTTGCTTTATTGTTTAGATCCGGAAATTAGAAATAACGCGTGTCGCTTGCCAGGGCCGTGTGTCACAAATCTGATATGGCTGCTCCTATGAACGATCCGCTGGCAGCCATCAACCAGTGTATTCGCGGCTATCTCTCAGACTGGACCGTCATCATCATCACCCACCAGCTGCAGTACCTGCATCCATGCACAGAATTGCCATACTCCAGCCCGGAAAGATCGCGCACCAAGGCATATTTGCAAAGCTCATGTCTAACGAGCCTTCCTTCAACGCCTTGATCAATACACGCGTGCCAAACGAGGATGAGGGACTCTTTTCATCCGTGTTTACAATTTAGGGTTGAAGGATTATCCCTTCCTTCGCTTTTAGAGGACATAATTTAATTTAAGTTTGCCGAGGCGCCAGTACAATCACGGTTTATGAACGCGAAAAGGACCGTGCAGTCATGTCCGAGCCCTTTCTTGCCGCGAACGCGATGCTCTTCTTGGAGCCGGGGAGGAAATCTCACACGAAGACAATTTTCCGAAGTTCGATGCAGCGCATGATCGTTATGGTGCCATCTCAAATGAATTCACCTTATAGCAAGCATCCTTTGAGTCAACAAAAAAAATAATATAAAATCGACTAATATTGTAGCGCATACATACAATTCAATCAGATGAAAGTCCTTATATTCCTGAGCAAGAAGTACGTGGGAGGAAAGCAACGAGGGATCTGAAGAAGATCGTAGCAACCTGCAGGAACTAGAAGATCGGGGTGACGAGGAACTGAACCTTTTGGGCAAACAGAGAAACGACGAGGAGCAGGAGGAAGACGGGCCCCCCCCCCACAAGAAGCTGAACCACCCGGTTCTCTTCACATATGGCCTTGGGAAGTTTAGTCCAGGCACAGGGCTATTTCCGCTTCACTGGATCTTCAAAAGCTTTTTTCTCTGCAAGATGAGCTTTATTAGTCTACTATTCGCTTTATGAATGCAAAAGCTAGCTTCTGTGCATCCTTTATTTTAGGCGACAGCTTTGGGATACACGGTTGTCTCTACCGACGAATTTTGGTCCCATCAATGTGTCCTGGTTGCGGAGGAAGATTTGTCAAGCCAGGTACGAGAACCTGCGCATACGTTGACTGCAAGCGTTGGATTGACCGTGATTCGGTGGGCAAACAAGGTAACTATTACTCCTTGTAGATACATGTTTTTGTGACTCAAAGACGGTGGAAAGGATAAGGAGAACTATACACTATTGGTACTTTTTGGAGGTGCTACTCTACAGGGCTATAATACAGTACAGGAATAAAATGAATGCAAACGACCACGCCTTGCCAGCCATGTCAACAACATGCAGGCCTCAAAGACAAATAACCATGTTACAGTAAAACAAGAACAGACGACAGAAATAAAAAATAAAAAAATTAAAGAGTAAGGAAAAAAAAATTAATATGAATAAAAAGAAGAAAAGGAACTCGCACTCGCACCCTTCACTGACGCATGGATAATGGTTGCACATTGTTGGTAGCAAGAGCCAGGGTGTGCAGCTGCTCCAGTGCATGAACAATACAGATATAATCTTGATGCTCGACATCCGTATGCTTTTTCAGGTCCTTCAGTAGCAGGCAATAACGCGTCACTCGCTGAATAGGAAGGATAAGAAGGTCCGTAAGACTGAACCGGCTAGTCGTCTCCTTGCCTCCTACACAGTTGCGGAGGAAATGCTGGTACTCGGAGAACTCTCCGATGGTCGTTAGCGTCCCATGGTTGCTGCGGGAGGTGTATCCGGTATTGCTCTTGCCGACATTGGCCTGGTCAGAACCAGTGTTGGATTTGGACCCAGTAGACTCCAACAGGGCCGACGATGGTGCCCCTGGAGCAGAGTTTAGCGAAAAGATAGCTGGTAACGATCGACGCTTGTCCATACGAGGACCTCCGGCCATTGGCGCTTTTGAGGAGATGTCCGTCGGCGAAATCACCGGCGAGAAAAAGGGTGCAGCAGAGATCGATGTCCGCTTGGATTTCATAAGCGTCCTGAGAGCCTTCATGCCCTTGCCATACGACTGACCGTACTTCAAAAAAATCGACAGAGAGTCTTTGACGTCCAAGAAGATGGTTCCAATCATACTAGATTCGTCTGACCAGACTTCATCAAGAACACAGTCCCCCAGCCGTTGGGATATCTGACTGGAAACAGCCGTCAATGCAGAGATGTGGGACAACAACTGAAAGAGAGGGTTGGATTTGGGTATAATTGGCTTATCAGTCTCGAGCGATCTGAGGAGGGGCTCCACAAAGACCTGCAAATAGCGAAGCAAAGAACGGGATACAACAAGTCAGTTAATAAAATGCATTCCAATTGTCTCTTACAAACACTCAGCTGATAATCTAAAGCAAAGCAAACAGCAACTTTACCTCTTGGATGATGCGCAAGTACTGCAGATAGTTCACTTCAGTTGTATGGATCTCCTGCGAAATGAACTTGCGAATTTCTTTGTTCCTGGCGATGGCTTCGGGTGTGTCAAACTAGCGTTTTGTTGCAGTCAGTATTATAAAATGTTAGATTGGGGGTTTTTTTTTGTTTTTCTTTTTTGGAGGAAGGGAGGGAGGGAGGGAGGGAGGGAGGGAGGGAGGGAGGGAGGGAGGGAGGGAGGGAGGGAGGGAGGGAAAAGTGTTCATCTTCAGGTGGTCAGTCAAGTTTACCTTGGCATGTTTAACAACTTCGAGCTCTCCGCCGCCATATGTCATGCTCAAGCGACTCTTGCTTCTTGGCTTTGCCTTCCCAACTACAGGCAGAAGCTTGGGCGAACAAGCACTCATGCGGTGGCTCATATAATCATCCTTTTTGGAAAGACGTTTGGCGGGCTTGCTGCCCTTTTTGGTTGGCAAAGGTGGAATCGAAGGAAGGGTGAGTGATCCGGTGGAGGTGTTGGCGGAATGCATTGGAGTGTACAAAAATCGATGGGTCGGATCAGCCTTATACAACAGCGCCTGCAATTCCTTCAGGTCGGCGTTATAGCGCGCATTCTGTTCCCGCGCATGCTGGGCCATACGACTGAGTCCGTCCCACTCGTCCGCACTGCTGTCGACTACTGAAGAGTCCACTGATCCGCACGTAGATGTCTCACCGAGGGATGTGACGCTAGAGGCGACGCCCCTGCTGTAGAACAGGGGTCTGGGTGGAACCAAAGACGACGTACTGGATTGTTCCTTGTACTGGAGCATGTCTGTAGCTGGAGACTGCTCTCCCCACTGTGGTATAGCGCGTCTTGTATTTGGCGAACGAAGAGAGGTGCTGCGGGATACTGTTGCGACCTCGGCCGAAATCTCCTCTAGACTCAAGATCGAGTTGGAAAGCAGCACTTCAGAATGTGGCCGCACATCATGGGACTGGTTCTCGATCTCTGCAGCAGACAATGCCGTCCATGATTTGAAGAACCTGGTCGATCTCATGGACGAAGGCTTGATAGCGAGATAGTGCTCTCCTTCGAAGTCTTCGGGCGAAGCAGTTGTGGGCGGTCCTGGCTCTGAAGGTGGCCCGTCCAAAAGCTCCTCGATGCTTTCTCCTGACCATCGACACTCGCTGGATTCCCTAGCCTTGTATGAGATGATTGATTCGCTAACAGATTCCTGGAAAATTTCGTGGATTTTGGGACGACGGCGGTTGTTTGATGTGTTCTTGACGCAAGCCTTTCCTAAGCCGAGCTCTGCAGCGCCAGTCAACCTCTGGGCAAGGCTGTTCAGTGGCGATGTATTGCTGACAGCTGGCTTTGTTTCAACTGGGAGCGCCGGTACAGGCTTACTGTCGAGAACGCTCAGAGTGTTGAGTGGGAGTGGCGGCTGCGGCTTGTCCAGATGTTCGAGAGAGAGAACCTTCCTCAGTGATTTTCCGGCAGTTGGTCGCGCGGTAGACGACGACCCGTCTGAAGGAGAGACAGACGACCCCAGAAGCAGGTTCATCGTCAACTCAGATTTTGACCGAGGCAAGATTGAGGATTGTGCTGCTTCTGCGAGTTCAGTCTCTGTCCAAAGGTCGATTCCATGTTCTCTTCTGTCCTGTCCCGAGTTCAAAAGCTTGGCATCGGCTGTTTCCTCTGGATGTTCCTGTGCTGTGGTCGATCTGGGAGGCATAGATACCTCCACAGGTAGTTGACCAAGCCAGGTAGTGACTGCATCAGGCGCAGCCGCAAGAGTGAGTCGCTGCGCAAGATCCAGAGCCCAGTTCTCGTGGTCGAGTACATCCTGCGAAATACCACAATCCAGGACGGGGGGGTCGGCCATCACGACGGTATCGATAGATCCCCTGTGAGAATGGCGCAAAAATACTTTGCGAATACTACGTCCGAACGTCGCCAAGGACGAGCTCCTCGTAATTGAACCGCCATAGCCGCTGTCCTTGCGTTCGACAAGGACAACGTCCGAGGACTGGGCTGATGACTCTGAAATGGTTGGCGGTGGAAGCGGTTGATCCTCGAGAAACTGGAGTTGGATCTGGGGCGGATGAGGTCCCAGGACATGGAGCGCAGAGATGGATGCGTGGCTGCTGTCGCTTGAACGAGGGGGAGGCTGTGTGGAGTTGGGAGAGAGATCCATGGGATCCTGGACATGTGGGGTGAGGAAGACGGGCTTTCGGCTTAAGGATGGATTCCGAGATCTGGGGGGGGCGAGGGAGGCAGCGGGGATGAAGTAGCAGTAGCGGATCTGGGGGATGTGGCTGGCAGGGGAGGGCTGTGTTGCGGCGGAGGATGCGGCGGCTGCGTGGGTGCTGGTGGTGCTGGTGGTCCTGGAGGGTATGGGCGGGAGCGGCGTTGCCTTGAGGGGGAAGTCGAGCGCGCGGAGCGTGGAGCTGGGAGCGTCGTCTGGGTGTGGGGGAGGGGGAGGGGTGTAGGGGCTGGCGACAGAGGGGTTCATTTGGGGGGTGAACACTGGGGCTTGCGAGTACGCTGGTCGCGGGCGCCGCGGCAGGGAGACAGGTGCTCTGGGAGTTGCTGCTGGCGCTACAAGGCATGGGAGGGGAGGGGAGGGGTTAGTGGCGGATATAGACGTGCTCAGTGGGACCGGAGGATAGGAGTGCTGCACAAGGCGATAAATGAATCAGAGCAAATGCAATTAAATGCAGTGATACAGAGGGACGAGACAGGAGAGGGGGAGGGGGGAGGGGGGCAGCACTTCTTAAAAGGGGGGGGGGGGAGACTGGGATATACAGATGGGGTCGAGGGCAGGCACAGGGGCCGCTTGCATCGGTCTCCAGGGCTACTGTGCGAAGGCGGAGGGCGGGCATCGCCTGGGACCAGCAATGGGCCCTCTCCTGGTAGATCCCCTGCACGACTGCGAACACTTTTGGTGCCTGGGACTCGGTACCAGGGGAACAAAAGGGGGTAAGGAGGGGTGATAGGGGATGCACATGTGGAATGGGCCCGGGAGGAGGACAGTGCAGGTTACGCGCTGAGATTATTGGCTGCCTTGAAGGGCGCGCACTTACCACCAGAAGAGATGGTAAGAGGGGGGGATATTTCTTCCTTGGTTTGATCCTTACTTCTTTTGTTTGTTCTTGGTTCCACTGCAGACTGTCGGTTGTTGCGGTCTGTTACTTCAGGGAACGCATTCGCAAAGCGTGGCAAGGACAAGAGGAAGACGACGGAGGGAGGGAGAGAGAGGGAGAGAGGGAGGGAGAGAGGTGGGCTAAATAAACGGGCTGGTGTGTGGGTGTGGGTGTAAATGCGGATAGGATTAAATGAGGGATAGGCGGCCAAGGAGAGCGGGGGAGGGGGACAAGGTCATTAGATGATCAGTTGAGGAGCAGCAAGCAGCGATGAGAATGAGATTAAGAATGAGAATGAGAATGAGGATGAGAATGAGAATGAGAGCGATGTGTGCTGGTGCGTGTGTATGTGCGAAAGAGCGGGAGAGAGAGAGAAGAGAGCGGGAGAAAGAGTGGGAGAGCGCAAGAGGAGTGGTGTGGTGGGCGAAAGAGTGCGAGGGAGTGCGAGGGTGACGGATATGATGCGATGGTGATACCGCGTCCCATACACACCGGAGGTGGACCGCACAAGGTGGAGCCTCAGTCAATCAATATATCATATCGTATTGAACCCGTTTATGAACGTGATACTGAAGTCATTGACCATTGCCCTCGCAGACTGATTACAGCAGCGAGCTGCAACCACTGCAACCACTGCAACAACAATAACAACAACAACAACAACTGCAACAACAACTGCAACAACAACTGCAACAGCAACAACTGCAACGACAACAGCAGACGCATACAACGATACATTCACACTCCCCCCACCCATCCACTCCCACCGCGCACCCGCGCAAACGCCCACGAATGCACCCACTCACTCTCAGTCGCAACGCGGCAACCGAAGCATCCGAGAGCGATACCAGAGCTGAACTTGAATTACTAAGAGCAATCGCCAACCGAAAACCCAAATAAAGCCGCTCATATACCTATCTCTTGTAGAAATCATCTTTTCATCTTGCATCTCAACAGCAACAGTCTTAGACTATCCTGCAGAATCTAACCCGCATCTTGCAAGACCACGTCCATCCTGTCCGGGCACACGATCTGCGACGTTTGCCGCTCTATCTGATCCTGGGACCTGTCCGGCCCCCGTAAACCTGACTGACTGTGTCTGTGCTTCGTGTTTCTGTTTTTCGCGCACATACATCACCCAGGAACAACCAAGCGAGTAAGGTATCCATGCTTGTAACACTTCATTCAGCCAATTGTTTTTTCCGTTCAACTCTTGCAACCTTCAAGGCCGTTAAGAGCTTTAGTACGTTCATTTATTCATCGTCATGATGATAGAGCAACACTGACTATGTATTTAGGTCAACCTTTGCATCCTGCAAATCTCACTAGCCTTGCGACCACTAACAGTATTGCTCAAAAAAAAAACAATCTTTCTTTGAGCCCCTGCCTTGCATCCGACAAAAGATAGGCGGTCTTTCCGCCGATATCATGATGATGAGAGAGAGACATGTGTGAGTTTATGATGATTCGCCCACAATCCTCAAGAAGGATGCAGTTTTTTTTGCTCTGGAAGGAAGGACATGTTAGTCTAGCTTCGCATTCAACATCTGTGCACCGCAGACTACATGGTCTGCCATGCTTCACAAAAAAAAAAAGTTCCATCTTTTGATACAACTGAGCAACAAGAAAGTGCCGCTGTGCTCATTTTCTGGACTTTGTCGCTTGTGCAACCGGATCCAGAACCAATTGCTCATTCCTGGTTTTTTTTTTTTTTTTTTATCGTTCTCTCGATCACGATAATGGAGCCTTGGCTCTTGTCTGTTTTTTTTTTCGCTCATTTCTGCTTACGAACACCCCTAGCAGACTTTAAGTAGAAATAACCCAGCAATGTGGATATGGAGCTTTGGACAACCGGAACCTACACCAAAATAGCAAACAATCATGCACACACAACAAATCAGAAAACAAACATGGCAAGAAAACAAACGGGTCAAAGCCATGGGTGGGATACCCTCTTTTGTGCATCTGGAGTGGCATGAGCCCCTACCAAAAAAAAAAAAAAAAAAACACACACAAGAACAAAAACAACAGTGCGCTGTATTCCGCAAGGTGGTGCCAACGGAGGGTTTTTGTGTCACTGGTCTTCCACAGGCTCGCCAAAGCAAGAGTCCTCTAACAACCCTCTCCGATTGTACAGCTCGATCGACTTAAAGAGGTATAACTCTTTTATCACAAGCCAAGCCTATCAAAGACTCGGACAGTATCAACTGTCAATGGCGGGGCCTCAAACCTCTCCATAATAGTAGAGATTAGAAAAATGAGATGCAGGGTGTTCCTCTCGTGTCACCATTAGACGATCACATATATTTTTTTTTCTCGAAGACGGACATCTAAACAGTTTGAAGAGTATCCGAGTCTGTACCGACATCGTTCCACACTCCTGCTTTAGCCTGATAGAACGCAATTCCGTATCTCGAGATGCTTGTTTATTACTCACTTCCTTCAGAGGAAAAATTATATAAAATTACAGGTGGCGGTGATAGTGGTAACGGTGGTAATAGTAATGATGATAGCGATGTGGGGTAAGCAAACGATAAAACCACAAATTCAAAAAAAAAAAAAAAAAGAAAAGAAAAGCACGATCCGAGGCTCTTGCACTATACAATTAGAAAGTTGGAGAGGAGAATATGAAAGAATAAAGTCTCTACAGGAAGGATACACAAAAGTGACGGCACCGATCCCTCTTTTTTAAATGATGTTGTCCAGGTGGGCAAACTTCCAAGCAAACAGTCCAGTCATGACGAACATGGCCGCGGCCTGAGCAGCATAAACGTAGACAAAGTTGGGGTCGTTCGACCAGATAGCAAGGATCATTCCGATCAACGATCCAAAGGCGTTCGTGGCCAGGAATAGTGACATGACCACAGACTTGAGCTCGGGCGCAGCGGAGCGGAACGCGAACTCGAGGCCCGTGGCGGATGCAAAGATCTCAGAGATACCGATCAAAATGTAGGCAGGCAATTGAGTCCAGATCGTGATGTCATTGATAACAAGGCTGATGTCCGAAGGGATGTCGATGACGACACCGGGGTTATGGGGGTCCTTGCCAGTAAAGTCGTAGTAGGGTCCTGCCTTGTACAGAAAGTGCTGGAGAACTGTAACGTAGATGAAGCAGAAGGTGACGATAGAGAAACCAATGATGATGCGGTTGATGGGTCCAAGTTTGAAACCAGCCTTGCGGAGAAAAGGGAAGATAACGATGTCGAGAATGGGAATGAAGATGACAATGACGGCCGAATTGACAAAGGACAGCTGCTCGGGCTTGAGCCAGCTTGGGCGCTGCATGTTGATGGCCATGTTGACAAAGTTGTCGTTCATGTTGTTGTAGAGAGCCCAGTAAACGGGGTAAACCAAGAAAACCTTGCAAGCGTGGTAGGTGCGCTCAAGATCGTCCACAAACTTGGTGTTCCATTCGAGCGAGTCATCCGTCTTCGGGGCTGCACCCTGGATCCAGTGAGTGCCAGGAACACGTTCCTTGCGGTGCTTGAACGCATAGATGAGACAGCGGGAGGTCTCGCCGAGAACGTTACCCTTGGGAGGTCGATCATAATACTTGGACCTGCCGAGCGCAAAGATGATGATGCCGATAACAAAGACGATGGCAGGGATCATGAAAGCGAGGTCCCAACCCTTCTCGGAGACAGCGGGGGTGATGGCCTGACCGAGCATACCGCCGATGTTGATGGCCATGTAGAAGTAACGGAAGACGCGCTCGACGGTGATGGCATGGTTGATGGTGACACCGGTCTTAGTGGGATGGGGGTAATCCTCAGCAGGGATCTGCTCGGCAGCAAAAGTCGAGACATTGGATTTGATACCGCCGGTTCCCCAGGAGATGGCGCAGTAAAGGGCAACAACGAACCCGGGCAAGCCCACGGTGTCCTTGAGCGAGTCGATGGAGGAAACGGTTAAGAGGACGAGACCGAGGGTGTAGAGGATGGCGAAGATCAAGATGGTCTTGTACTTTCCGAGCCACTTATCGGCGACGATCGCGCCAAAGATGGTGGTGATATAGGAAAAGAAGGAGAATCCGCGCGAGATGGCGGTGGCACTGCCCTTGGTGAGGTCAAGGTGCGTCAGCATATAGCGCTGGAACAGCATGGAGGCGCCATAGAAGGAAAAGCGCTCACACAGTTCAGCTAGGTAGAACAAGGACATAGAAATTTATTGTGTCAGAGCTGATTCATGTCACACATGAGCCAACGGATACCAGACGGCTGACTTACTGACGATGATGAGCCAGGCGGCAAAGGGGATGGGGCCGGGGACCTGGAGGTTGTCGGGGACAAGGTCCTCGCTGACTTCCTTCATGGGGTAGGCATCTTGGATCTCCTTGGTGCCGAGGACTTCGTTGCGTCCTTTCTCGTGGTCATCCATGGCTGGGGGGAGAGGAATGTGGGGAGCGAGGGATCTGGGGGCGGAGGGGGCAGAGGCGCGATGAGCAGAGAGACAAACAAAGAAATGAAAAAATGAAAAAAATCCGAGAGAGAGGGAGCAGCGGAGAGAGGGACGGCCCCCTCTTATAGTTGTACGCGCCTGGGGCTGCGCCAATCACAGGGAGGGCGGGCACGGCTAGGCTGCCGATTGACAGGAGGACCAAGAGTCTAACGGACACGGCTCGATTGGTGACGACACCCTCGCCCCTTCCAGCGCTTCTAGACGTTCCCCAGCGGTGTCTGACTCAGGCCTCCATTCTGGCCCAGTCCAAACAAGGGCACGAGCAAGCTCGATCGCCCAATTTAGCTCGTCCTTGTAAACAGTTCAAGACAACGGTGTGATCATACTGCTCATTCCTCGGTACTAGCCCGCTGCGACAACAATGACTCTCTCTCGTCTGCATGCTCTCCCGGGATCTAGCAGCCCAACCCCTTCAACCTTCGCGGTTATTGCACCGTCATAGACTTCCCATAAGGAGCAACTAAAGAGCTTGCTGCAAATCGATTTGCTACACTAGCCATAGGATGATTGACAAAAGGGCGAAAGGAAAAAAGGCAGAGAATCCTGTGGGTGCGCCTCTCGGAGCCACATCCGTCGTTTTCTGAATCCCGCTTGCAATTTGCTGAAAGACCTTCCTTCGATTAGACAGAAAACCTTGAACAGCTAAATCCTATCCAAGCCCCGACTCCTCCATGTGGAGGTGTGTCCGTTATCACTGATTGGATACTGGCATTCAGACGGAGAATGGAGGCTGCATCCAAAGGAACAGTGTCGCGTGTTCTAGAATTTCATCTCATTTGGAGAGACGCTTAGCGTTGAAACCGGATATGAATGGATAGTCTATGGCATCTCCTGCACCGGCTACAGGCGTTGGCAATTGAGGATGTTACACAGATATGGTTGTTGGTGTTTGACGTTCATGTCCGGTGGTACATACATGATTCCGTATAGGCACAATAAGCAATTAGCAACTAGGGCAGTGGTATTTGCCCCACTCTTGTTTTACTCGCTTCGTAGCTGTAATTTGCCAGGAGAATCTTATTGGGATAGTCCAACGGGTACCGGGCATTAACTTCCTCGTTACAGGCCGCAAATGGACACCATTTACCGTGGGTAAATCGATCTAGTCTTTTTGTGCGACAAACATGAGCGATGGCCTTCATTGGCGCTGCCCAAGTACCCTCCACGATAAAAATTCATATCAATTTTTAGCAGAATTGAGTTATGCCGTTTACGGTTGATTTGATCGCCCATCGTGGGACAAAACTACATTACTACATTCGAACAGTTTTACAGTATCGTACTCTACCAAACATGCGGCTGGCTCCAGGTTGATGTCCTGCACATCAGTCCCTATGTCTATGCCACACTTTTAACTGTCTCTGAATATTTTTGGGAAGAGCCTCTTGCCTCTCACTGCAGTGCTACTCTGATGAACCCCTCCTGCCAGAGTCCAGCCGCAAGCATGGCATGGTTTGTTTCTACTTCGAGATCCACTTTTCAACCGTATTTTTAATAGCCGCCGACGATGCATTTGATCCTCATTTTTGGTTTATATCAAATCTCCGCAGACGCCTCATTGGACCAGTTCAGGTACCAGGATCCGTTTCTTGTCAGCGTGCAACAGGTAATTTCCTCGATCAGCCCTGACCCAAGGCTCTCCCATCCGGATGCCTGAGACCACTACTGACTCTGTAACCAATCGCTTTGCGGGTGTCAGATTAAGAACAGATATGCACAACGAATATTTCGGAATATTGACGAGGGACTGAGCATGCCATACTATGGGTTCTTTTCACTTTTTTTTTTTTTTTTGAAAAATATGTCTGGTGGCTCCATAAAATGCTTGCGCACACATCTACAACCTCATTTCCCTGATCAACGCCTTCCTAAATTACCACGTGAACTTCTAGAATTGATTGGGCTGGGGTTCGAAACATCTGCGACGACAAAGGATATGCAATTATACCAGTTATACCTCACTGTTTGCCAAGTATAGTCGAAAATGGGTTTTACGCATTTTTCGAATGTAAATCGGTCCTCTCTGAACGGGCTATTCTTAAGGTGAAAAATACAGTCAGATATTTAGTCACATGTTCCTTTGCCTAGTCCAATACCGAAAGCTCTGCTGTCGCCTTGTACCATTCGTTCAACCCATCCATCTCAGCATGTTAGGCGGACAATGGCGCTCTGGCACCAACATAAGTACTCGATACATCTCTTTTGGTTGTTCAGCACTTTATTTCTAGGGCAGACGGGCACCTTATAAAGCGGTTCCCGTCTACACCACATTAAGGGTACTCTTCTCTGCTCGTACGTACTACATAGGTTAATATAGTGCAGTTATCTCTTCAATGGCGGTAGGATTGTTTAGAGTTGGTAGACCAGGACGTTAGGGAAGCAACGTGAGACAACGAAGAGGAGGAGTACCATCATGTCATGAAGATGATAAGGGAGTTGAAGCATATCTGTGAGGATATTCCTACAATATGGACGCCGACCAGGAAGAGATCGCTGTAGCAACGCGAAGCCTTGAGGTATTAGCTCGGAACTGATTTGTTTTATGCGCTTCTAGCTACAGGACCTTATAAGATGTGCACATAGCGGCTATGCACGCTCACAGTATGTTAAATCTAATACTCTACAGTGCTGGGTATCTAGTCGCGGCATAAGACTTTTGATTAGAAACGCCTATTCACTTTCAAATACAACCGCTGAATCGAAGTTTGGGTCATTAAAGTGCGCATTACCCTTCCCTCTACAAACCAACGTTCGCCGTTTGTCAATATGACCTCTAGTTCAAAGGCTTTTGAGCTTCAACGTTTTCTGTGTACAGTCGCGACTAGATGTCCTGCACTATATCTAATAAATATACTCTCCGGGAGGCATGTAGCCTAGGTTGTTATGGATTTGATACTAATAGAACACTGACTCTGGCGATGACAGTCAGCATTGGAGGATTCGCTAGGGCTTTCTGTGACGAGCTCGATCACTAAAAACGATGCTTTGATCAGAGCGCTTTGGTTCTGTGGATGTTACCAAGTAGTCTGCGCCCCAGAGCTGGACCACTATACCCATCACTTGTGCTATTTGTCGCATTTTATAAACTACTACATCGCTCTTCTCATTATTTCAACACTCGTTACTAAATGATATTTTTAACGGACCCACGCGAACAATTCTTTTAGCCTTGGTGTTGTGGTCCCTCTTCTCTGTGCTCGTTTGAAAGCAACATGCCCAAATGTGATTTGCACCGTGCTCAGTCCGCTAGCAGTTCGTTATGAGAGAGATCACGAACTTGGGAACAGCTGCAGGAGCGCCCTCAATAGGGCACTCGTGAAAGCAGTCAGCGGGACCCCAAAAAGAGAGCATTTAGGCAATTGGTGACTCGCTCGACGATAGGCCCCCACAAGTCTAGGCACACATGGCGGCGGAATTTGGACTGCCTTGTGGCTCCTATAAATTGCTGCCTCAAGCGGGGCAAAGCAGTTCTTCTTTGAACAATAATCTCCCGTCACACACGGGAGACCTAGGGAGATAAAAGTTGTCGCTCGGTCTTTCATTGGCCTTGCGGCCGTTCCCCTCTTTTATAGCAAGCCCACTCCCTCGAAAGGGGAGAGCCTCCTTCTGCGGAACGCCCCGAGATCAGCCAGGGTTTTCCTTCCTGAAGAGGCTGAAATTGTCTCGTTATTTTCTTATCTTTTTATTTACATACCACTGTCTTTCTCATCCAATTCATACAGCTGCTTATCGTCGTTGGCACCAGGCTTTGACGAGTCCGCGGTCTTCGATTATGGGGAGGAAAGAGAGTTGCGGCCGATCACGCATCACCCAATCAGTCACGGTCCTGGTCAGCCAGTGCGGCATCAGATTCAGTGCGATCTTGCGGGCCCATTTAGCCAGATATCCCTTTGACACCACAAATTGACCAAAGAGGCGAGATCCAATAACGGCCTTGCGCGCAGATCTTGACCTCTGCTGGTGGTAAGATTGGAAGGCCTGTTCAAAATCAGCAGTGGTATTGCCTTTCAGGTCGTGGAGTAGGTTCGCGAGGCAGAGGCTATCCAACATAGCCTGCACTGCGCCTTGACCAGCAAACGGAAGGACCTACCATTAACCAAAAAAAAAAAGAGGAAGCAAAGAATTAGAGTGCCAATTCAATTCCGTTTTGCTGTTGATAGTCCTTGCGAAGAGTGCGCCTTACCTTGTGGCATGCTGATTGATTGTATCAAGTCGAATTCGAAAGTGAGAAAAAAAAAAGAAATGAGATCAACTGCCTTCCAATAAAGAATGCATTTGCCTCCATCTCTATCATTCTAGCTGTAATAAGCATTACCATCGCCCAAAAGCACAACACGCTTAGTGTGCCATGTCTCAAAGTACTTCTCCTCTAAGGCCACAGAGGAGACGCGATCCTTTGGCGTAGTGTTGATGATGTCGCCAACCTTGCAGCCATAGGCTGTTGGCAGCTCGGAGATATCTTCGAGCAACCACCGAGTTTTTGCTGGAACTTTGCCCCAGCGCCGATTCACGCCTTTGTTACGAGGACTCTCCGGACTCTGGTCGACTTCACCTCCGTAACACCACGAGATCTTGTTGCCTTGGACGGGGCTCAACCAAATCTTTATGACAAGGAAGTAAGGTCGAATAAACTTAATGCTCGACTTCTTCGCCTTGAGGGCAGACGCTTTTAGACTTTCATAAGGTGAACAGGCAACTTACCGAACAGCGACGCTCTCGAAATAGCATGAGTTCGAACTTCGAGAACTTGTCCATTACTGCAGGGAAGACCTTTGGATCCAGTGCGCTGGACACTCCGAGGACGCACAGGTGCGTGAGTTTTAAGGGTTGGTCATCCTCGGAGGGCAGCCGGTTCTGGAGCCTCAGGTGATGGTACATTCTCTCTCGCACCTTACTGTAAGCGCCATCGGCACCAACTAGGATATCACTCCGATATTCCGTCCCATCCGCACATCTGCAGGTCACTCCGCAGTCATTCTCAATGACATCGACTACGGCTTTGTGCAGCAACACCTTCTTAGTTGGGATGCGTGACTTGAGGAGCTCGAAGAGATCGGGACGGGCCATGACGTATCCATAATAACCGTAATGCTTCTCGCCAAAAGTAAAGTCGATGGAGCCGATGTGGGATAGATCGTCATGCTGGAGGTGGAAGGCACCGATAGGTTTGGCGATCTTTTGGATCTCTGGCCAGAGACCGAGTTGTTCGAGGAGGCGGAGCGAACATGCATTGAGGGCGATGGTGCTACCTATGGTGCGCAGACTGGCAGACCGCTCTAAGACGATGTAGTTGATCCGGGCAGCCTCGAGCATGATGGCTAAGATGAGTCCGCCTATGCCTCCGCCAACGATTGTCACCTTGATGCTTTGTGTCGTTTTTGACATACGAGCGTTTTGTGCGAGTATGTGTGTATTGGGCTTTGAAGTCAAAGGTGCGAACCGAAAGGGAGAGAGTGTAGGCTGAACAGGGCTGAGGAACGGGACGCGAGAAAATGAAAGCAGAGAACAGAGGATGAGGAGAGGAAAAGTACAGATCATGAAGGTTGCATGGCGGGAAGTACCAGGTCTGGAGTGCTTATATATGGATAGCACTGCAGACAGGGGAAGAGACCTTCATCTAGAACGATATTGACAGCACAAGTCCCTTTAGTTTCTATACTAAGAAGGCCTATCGACTCTGTGCCTATCATCTCCTCAAGACACGCGCATCTTTCTTTCCAAAGATGGCAGGTCTTTCTATGGCGCGCGCGTTCATCCGCAGCCAAATCGTCACAAACATAGCCCACCTTTATTCGCCACCAAACGGTTGTGCGCACAATCAACCAGCCTCAATGAGACAATCGGCGGTGGCCAGAGCGAACCTGCGCCTTCAATTATTGCTTATAATACCATCATCATTATTGCCACTATATTCGCTTCAGAGGGCTGAGTCCTCCGGTGGTAGGAGAAGGATAGGTGGATCGGATCATTTGTATATGTAGATCGTCCATGTCCTTAGGTGTTCCCTCATGCTTCATACATGTAACTGTTGCCGATTCTCTCCCCTAAGAGCTGGAGGTGAGTTACATTGATTATGTCTTGAGGGCCAAGGCTCCTCAGACAGCCATCAATATTGGTAAACAATAGATGCCTGACTTTGCGGCAGCCTTGGGACCGCTGCCTTAAATGAGCAGGCGATATGGATGCGGACACGGAAATAGATCCCTAGGCTGCTGGTATCCCCTCGTGCAAGGTCGTCCCTCGATACGCGCTTTTCTTGGTATGTGCAGTATATTGGTCATGTTCTTGAGGGCCTTCGAGGAGCAGGTCCCCTCTTGCCTATCATTGGCGCAGAGGCATCCTGTGTGTCTGCTGAGAGCTGTGTTCTGCGGAGGAGGTCCAAATGGACTGACCCCGCAATTTTACGGCCGTGCCTGAACTGGAGTACAAGTACTCTGAAACGTCATTCGTTTTCACAAAACACGCTTTCCAACGCTCCATCTTCCCCCAACTCTGCTCATCCTTCCATCCTTCTCATCTCTCTCCATTCTACCAGACCTTCTCCAGCCCCCCTCCTCCTCCCCCTCCCCCTCCCTCTCTCCCACCACCCGCTCCTCCTTCTCAAACCTCCTTCCTGAACCAACCCCGTCCCTACTTATCTTTCCTGCACCCGTCAGGTCTATCGTATAAACAGTCATTATGGTAATGAACGTCGTCTCTCACAAGTGCGCACTGCTGCACACCGCTCCCGGGAAGACTTCTCCAAAGAGGGGCCCGCCCACGTCTAAGCAAAGGCCCCTGTCACCACTTGTCGCTGATAATACTGCTTGCCTCTCTGCTGCATGTAGGCGCCAAAGTCGAAAAAATCCAGCGCGCCACAAAAGGCCAACTTTTTCCAGGAAAGCGTTAAGAAAAAGTCGGCCGGAGTGAGCGATATGACCTTGCTGACCAAGATTCAAAATGAAACCATCAATGAGAACCTGAAGAAGCGATTCGAGAACCAAGAGATCTACGTAGGAACCTGTCAATGATATTTTCCAATGGCATGTTTGATCTGCTTCAGTGCTCTCCACGGTTCATGGTCTATTCATGGATTCGTAGAGCTATTGAATGGATTCCTCTCAATCATTGATCCGTTCATACTTTCGGCTGCCTGCACGGCTCTACTGTTTTTTTTAGACATACATCGGACATGTGCTGATCAGTGTGAACCCTTTCCGCGATCTCGGGATCTACACGGACGAGGTCTTGAAGAGCTATCAGGGCAAGAATCGTCTCGAGGTATGATGATGACGCTTTTGTTTGTGCTCTGACTTGTGTTCTGTGGGAGAATTGGCAGTGAGAACAATGTTGAGAAGCAGAAAGTATTTTGGCCTTGTGGAACCTAAATTATGGAGGAAAGTATGTTGACAGTCTGACGTCTTCTTCATATGAGTGAAGGTGCCGCCCCACGTCTTTGCCATCGCAGAAAGCGCCTACTACACAATGAACGCGTACAAGGAAAACCAGTGCATCATTATCAGTGGAGAATCTGGAGCTGGAAAGACTGGTAAGAGAGCAAGTTCTGTTGCCAGCGCATGCGGTCCAAACGCTCCGGATCACGAATATTAAACTAACCAGTGTCACTGAAATGTATTTTTGCCTATTCTACTTGCGATGTACACAGAGGCTGCCAAACGGGTAAGTTGCTGCTTCAGATCATCTCTCAAAGTAATCGAAATGTGTGAGGTTAACCATTTACTGTGCTGGCCTATTGGATCACGTTCATGCTTGTAGATCATGCAATATATTGCCACAGTCTCTGGAGGAGAGTCTTCGCAAATCAAGGAGATCAAAGATATGGTTCTAGCAACCAATCCTCTATTGGAATCGTTTGGATGCGCTAAGACGCTGAGAAACAACAACTCGAGTCGCCATGTAGGAGCCGTTCGGTTTTCGTGTTGCGGATGAGCGTTGCAATGTACCGTTTTTTATGAGGCTAACAATGAACTCTCTCCTGCATGGATATGGCATACCATAGGGTAAATACTTGGAAATTCAGTTCAATTCTCAGGGCGAACCAGTTGGAGCCGTTATCACCAATTATCTTCTGGAGAAGGTTCGGTCATTGGCCTGCATAAATGCAAATATATGGTGCATGATGAACTCCAGAGGCAACTTTGAGCACAATTAGAATTGACGTTTTGGACTCTTTATTCTCTTCATCGCGCTAGAACCGTGTCGTTGGGCAGATCGAGAACGAGAGAAATTTCCACATCTTTTACCAATACTGCAAAGCAGCACCCTCAAACTATCAAGGTATATTTCATCGGCATCCGTTGTTTTTGTAGTCGTTACCGTGTTCAAGCGCAGCAACTGATCTGTACTCTATCCAAATTCACAGAGCAATTTGGCATGACGGGACCTGAAAGTTTCCTGATCACCAATAGAAGCGGATGTTTGAGCGTGGACGGTATCGACGATGTTCAGGACTTTAACGAGACACTGGTACGCGAAGCTAGATGTAATCGATGCATGAATTGGCAACAAGCTGAGCATTGCTGACCAACGCTGCTTAACTGTTCGTCGCCTTATAGCAAGCCATGGGTGTCATTGGACTTTCACAGCAGGAGCAGGATGAGATTTTCCGCATGCTGGCTATTATTCTGTGGCTCGGAAATGTCCAGTTTGTCGAGAACGACGGAGGGTACGCCCAGATCGCCGATAATGAAGGTATGGGATCCAACTACGGATTTACAATGTTGCGAAGGGTCATTGTCCATCAAAGACAGGCCGAGCATTAAGTATTTTTTTCTTTGTCTGCTACCTTTGCTTCCAGTGATTGCCTTTATTGCATACATCATGGAGGTGGATGCTGAGATGCTGATCAAGACCCTAACCATCCGTGTCGTGGAGACTCAGCGTGGTGGACGACGCGGGTCCATTTTTGAGTCTCCTCTCAATTGCGTTCAGGTACCATTACCTTCTCAGCATTCACACGATTGACACTCAACCTTCAGGATGGCAACAGCGGTACTAACGTGCAAAGGACTCGACCAATTCCCTGGAAATTATCAATTTAAATGCTAGGCTAGTGCAGTCCGAGATGCGCTTTGCAAGGCCATCTATAACAACTTGTTCGAGTGGATTGTCAGCCGTGTCAATGTGTCGCTGCGTCAACGTGGGGCCCATGCCTACACTATTGGGGTTTTAGATATCTACGGATTCGAGATTTTCGAGGAAAACTCGTTCGAGCAGCTCTGCATCAACTACGTCAACGAGAAGCTGCAGCAGATTTTCATCGAGTTGACCCTGAAGACGGAGCAGGAGGAGTACGTTAGGGAGCGTATCCAATGGACTCCGATCGACTTCTTCAACAATAAGATTGTGTGCGACCTTATTGAGGAGAAGCGTCCTCCTGGAATCTTTGCTGCCATGAATGATGCCTGCGCGACTGCACATGCGGATTCGAACGCTGCGGATAACTCTCTTGTTCAGAGACTGAATGGGCTCTCGTCCAACCCTCATTTTGAGTCGCGCGGCGCCTCGTTCTTGGTGAAGCACTATGCGGGTGATGTGATGTACCAGATATCAGGAATGACCGACAAAAACAAGGATCTGCTCTCGAAAGACATCTTGACTACGATTGCCTCGACCAGCAACCAGTTCCTTGCCGGCCTGTTCCCTGAGCCGGTCGACGTTGACAACAAGAAGCGTCCCCCTACCGCTGGTGACAAGATCAAGTCTTCTGCAGGTCTTCTCGTCCAGAACCTGATGCAGTGCACGCCTTCGTACATTCGCACCATTAAACCCAACAGCAACAAGTCACCTACGGAATTCGATTCCAAGATGGTTCTTCATCAGGTCAAGTACCTGGGACTCTGCGAGAACATTCGTGTCCGCCGCGCGGGCTTCGCCTCCCGTCAGACGTACGAGAAATTCTTGGAGCGATTCTATCTGCTCTCACCAAAGACCTCATATGCAGGAGAATATACCTGGCAAGGAGATCCTCGAAGCGGCGTTGAGCGCATCCTGAAGGACACAAGTGTCGCGCCCGAGGAGTGGCAGATGGGAACAACCAAAGTCTTTATTCGCCACCCCGAAACTCTCTTTGCGCTTGAGCATCTACGCGACCGCTACTGGCACAACATGGCGATCCGTATCCAGCGAGCTTGGAGAAACTATATGAAATACAAGAATGAATGTGCTACACGCATTCAGCGGTGTTGGAGGAAGAACAAGGACCAGATTGGATGGCTGCAGCTCCGTGATTACGGCCACCAGGTTCTTGCGGGAAGAAAGGAACGCAGACGGTTCTCGCTCGTCAGTATGCGCCGCTTCTTAGGAGACTATCTCGGAGTCAACAACAAGGGCGGACAGGGTCAACTCATCAAGGAGGCCATCGGTATCTCTGGTACTTGAACAAGCGATATCGCTAATGACAGCGTCTCCACAACACTGGGTTGTTCCACAGTTTCGTCACTAACGAGCGGTGTTCTCCTATTTGTACTAGATAATGACTTCTGTGTATTCTCTGCCAGAGTGCAGCTGCTCGTTGCTCGCGCGATGCGCTCGAGTAAGCCCAGCCCAAGGACATTGGTTCTTGTAAGTGTTTTTTCTCATACCCTACACATGTCTCGCCACTGCAAACCAGGTCCTTGTTCTTAGTCCTGACGCTATGAGCTCTCCGTATCTTTAGACTGCGTCGAATATGTATCTTGTCGTTTCTCAGCTAGTCGGCAAGGTGCTCACCATGAAGTGCGAGAGAACTGTCATGCTCAATGCTATCAAGGCGGTGTCGATTTCGAACCTTCGCGACGACTGGATGGTAAGGAACTGATAGTACCCATTGGGCAGGAAGACTCTACGGTCAATCAGACCGATCTAATTTTACGCGGCTCCTCTATGCTATACCAGGTCTTTTCTATCGACACCATGAATCCGGAGGAGGGTGACATTGTCCTCGAGTGCGACTTTAAGACGGAGCTCATCACCCATTTACTTCAACGATCTGGCGGACGCATTGGCGTCAATGTTGGACCTCAGTAAGTTCAGCAAAAATATGATTTCGTCCACATATCTGGGGCACATTAGTTTGGATTCTAAGCATTTTGTACTATCTAATAGGTGCGAATACACTAAGAAGAAGAACAAGACCGGAACTATCAAGTTTGTCAAGGACGACCGCATCAAAACTGAGACTTATAAGAGCCATGTTGTCACAGTTCCCAGCGGCGAGCCTGCAGACAGCCCCTCATGGCCTCCTTGTGGAGGTATTGCCAAGCCTCCACGACCCATCACATCGGGCAAGCTAATCCGAAAGGGCGGCCCCTCGAAGGCGAGTTCGTCTCAGGGCGCTCGTCGTCCTCCAGCCGCCACTAAAGCTGCGACGCCTACAAGTCCACGTGCCTCTGTGCAGGCACCCGCGCGCACATCCATTGTGTCGAGCGGGTCTTCAACAGTCGCATCTGCCAAACGCCAGGCCCCACCGCCTCCACCACCCGCTCCGGAGGCTGCTCCATCGCCGCCTGGCAAGCCCATGTACAAGGCCGTGTACAATTTTGAATCCCAGGACGCGGGCGAGGTTTCATTTGTCAAAGATGATCTTATGGAGATTCTGGAGAAGGACGAGAATGGATGGTGGCTGGCCAAGAAGGACGGCAAGGAGGGCTGGGTCCCGAGCAACTACTTGGTCGAGGTACCCGTTCCCAAACCCGCTCCCGCCCCGCCAAGTCTCCCTGCGAAGCGTCAGCCTCCTCCTCCCCCTGCAGCACCAGCTGCCGTAGCAGCAAGCACATCGAAGACAAGCTTTGCCAACAGTTCTCCAGCGACGACTCGGCACACAGCGATTTCAACTAACGAGGATCGGGCACCTATAGCTGCGACTAGCAACACGAATGCTCTTCATGCAGGATTCGGCGGGCCCGGTAACGTTGGAGGTGTGCCAGGATGGAAGGTGGCCCTCGAAGCCAAGAAGGCGGCCGCGGCGGCTGCAGCTGCCGGTGGCTCCCACACAGCTCCAGCTCCAGCTCTTGCAGCGAGTTCAAGTCCTATGCCGGCTGCTCGTCGCCCTGCACCTGCGGTCGCGGCCAAACCGTCAACTGGACCCAAGCCCGTGGTTCCGCCACGTGCACCCGTTGCAGGACCAAAGCCCACTATCCCAGCCAGACCTGCTACTGGTGGAAAGTCTCTGCAGGAAATTGTAAGTTTTTTGACGTTTTTGCTTTTGTCGAAGGGATAGTATGTCAATGATCGACAAAATTTCTCATTTCATGGCCCTCTTTATTGGTGTTATTGTTTATAGCTTGCGGCTCGCCGTCAGCATAATGATGACTAAAGCGCTGAGGTTATGAGAGACTGTTTGTAGACAAGGAGTGTTATTAATGCAACAATGAAAGAGAGGATAGGACCTCATATTCATCATGGTCTAGAGGATGCTTGTTCTTTACTCCCGATTCCAATGTTTGTTTGGCAGCATTCTGTATTTAGTACGCTGGGGTCTTTTGTTTACATGCGCAGACATATTACCTATCAGGGTGCTCCTTACACGCGCCGTGTATATGGGGCAAATGACACGCGTAGAGACTGCCACGTTGATACTTTTCGAATGTATCCGAAGTGGACGAGGCTTTCGACTCTTACAAATCATGGAGTGGTCATCTGCTAATACGCTTGACCCTCTTATTGGCTACCAAGGAGTCGACGAAGTGTGCGATTGATCGCTCGACAGCCCTCTGAACTATTTAAAAGTGCTTGGTAGTTTTATCAGAGATACAATTTTAATAATCATGATTCACAAGTTTAATTCCGATGCAGAGACGGCCTTCAATGGCGCATGTTTTCGTCAAGACAGCACGTTCAAGCTGCTCTACTTTCCGCTCCATGGCACTGCTTATGCCCCGCGATTGATTCTGGCCATGACAGGCGCAAAGTTTGAGAGCATCTTCCCCACTGTAGGCGGATCATACAAAAGGGCTTAATTAATTTGTGTGTGTTATGTCCCCTAGCAGTTTTTGACCGGAGAATCTCTTTCATTTTCTGTAATATAGGATTGGGTTGCAAAGGAGCAGAAAAGTGTTCCGTTCGAGGTCCTTCCAGTGCTCTACGAGACCCTTCCAGCGAGCGCAGAGGGTGCGGAGGATCAGATCCTTGAGATTCCTGAGAGCGAGGCGATCGAGCGGTACTTGGCGCGCAAGTTCAATCTCCTGGGCGATACACCGTGGGAGGAGATGAGGATTGACGCGTTTGTGTCATCGACAAAGACACTGATCTACCTGGCTTTTTCGCGTGTCCCGACCGTCCGCGACCCTGTGCAGAAGCAGGAGATGGTCGAGCAACTGCTTGAGAAGGCTATCCCCAAGTGGGTCGGGCTCCATGAAAGGTACCTGAAGGCCAATGGCACAAACGGACATTATGTCGGACTCAAGGTACGTGCAGAGGGGACCCGGAAAAAGAGGCGTTTCCCAAAGTCCAGATCCTACTGCTGACGATGACATGGTACCGCTCTATTTCTTCTCTGTTCAACAGCTTACATTGGCTGATATTAGGGCTGTGATTGTGATTCAGATGATTCTGGCCCTGACCGAGAACCGAGTTATTTCCGCAGAGTCGACGCCTGCGCTTTGGAAGTTGTGGCAGACGATGAACGAGATCCCGTCGTATGTGATCTGGAAAGAGAGCGCGGGCTACAGGCAGCTGGATGCCGGCTACCAGATATTCATCAAGACCCTTCTGCCACCCAAGGAGTGATAATTATCGGGGACGCGGTGCGCTACCGCGCTCTCTAGATATTAGGCAGCTTTTGCACTAAAAACTGTTAAAATAAATATCCAATGGCGAGAAAAAAAAAGGAACGATAGAAGAGTGGTCTGGAGTCAAGAGCATAGAAGGACCGACCATCGTAAAGTGCAGGGTGAAATATGGATACTGAGAGGACTCGTATCGCATCGACCTTGACATCTCAGATGAGGCGATCGACGGTACTTGATCTGTCGGTGTTGCGCTACGGTTCCACAAATCTCGCATACAGGTATTGGAGGTGCTATCGTCGCCATCGATGTCCGGTCTGCTGAAGTCAACGCTTTTACCACCGTCGCCATTGTCGCAACGTTCGCCACTGCTGCCACCATTGTCGCCGGCGTGCTGTCCATCGCTATCGTTCGTTCATAATTCATCAAGCTTGGGCTCGATAGCTTTCGCCCAACACTCAACGCTCCTTTTTGCGTCCCCCATGCAGCCTCTGAATTGGGCGCGCTCCGAAATCGTTGTCTAAATTGTACCGAACCCTAAAAGCTCCCGGTGCTGTGCTCGATAGTTCCTTTTGATAACCTTATCTGGCTCCTCAAATTGTTCTCTTAGGCTTGTTTGGCAGCATTTGAGGCGTACATCGTGAAATAAATGGCATGACTATCGACATTACGCCAAAAAAAGTGGCAATGTCAAGAGCGATGCTTATGGTGCTTTAGTATTGCTTGTCGAATAACATCGTTGCTGTTTACCAGGCCTGGACATAGATTTCAAGACAGATCCCTACCTCAAATCTCGAACTTCGTTGAGGTTAGGCCTGTTCACCTTTCTAGCTGATTGTCATGCCTCCTCCTGGGACTTTGTATGCTCTACCTCTACTTCAGCGTCAAAGGGACTCATTACAATATATTGATTCAGAGAGGTTGTGATAAGACACAGAGCAAAAGTGGACTCCTCACAGGATCTTCGCGACCGGATGTTGCCATGTCGACACTGAAGTCGTGGTTGCAATAGTAGCAGCTGTTGTCTAGACATTCTTTGGTTGGTGTATAATTGAGGGATTTGCTGCGGATGAAGGGCTCCAAAGGACCTGATGAAGCCATGCGTTTTGCTTTGTCGACCACCGCCACCAATCTTAGCAACACTTCTAGGATATGGAACGTGTGCCACTCGGATGCTCTCATGAGCGGCTGAGACACTTTGCTGGGCCTTACCCTGCGTCGAACTGCAAGGTAAAAGTGGGCCCATCTTAGGGCTGGAAGCTTGGGGAGACATGAGATAGATAGGTCGCAGCAAATAGATCAGATTCGCTGTATATGTAGACATGCCAGGGTGTAACGGCGCTATGCTAGACGATCTGCTGCAGACAAAAAGACAGGTCACGTTTTGTTCCTCCGCGTACGCGTTTTGGGCCCTGTCTCCTTTGTTCCCTCCCTTTCCTTCTTATTCAGTTGTTCTCCACATAGTCATCGTTCATCTCTTTCGCACCGCACCACAGTACCCATAAACCCCACCTTCAGAATGCGTATTTCTATTCTCACCGACCAGGGTGACATTCACACCATTGAGGTCGATTCGCAAATGGAGCTCGAGAACATCAAGGCTCTCCTCGAGGCTGACGTACGTCAGTCAACACCATCTCTGTCTGCTTTGGGTCCACGATACCTCTTACATAGTGCTCCTAACACTGTAGACTATCTCCTACATGGCGATTAGTGTCATATTCCAGCAGACGAGCAAGTGCTTATCCACAATAATGTTGAGTTGAAGGACCCGAAATCAACTCTCGAGGGCAACAGCGTCGCACAGGACGACATCTTGACCCTTCAGAGGCGATCCAAGAAGCAGCGCACGACTGATATTGCATCGATCGGTGCAGGGGCCGGCGCTGGACCGTCCATTCGGCCCGGCCAGATTTCTCGGAGTGGTGGCGATCCGCATGACGCCGAGCAGATCCGACAGCATATCATTAGCAATCCTAATATGCTCCGTCAACTGCGTGAGGTAATAGACGGCAGAAAAAAGAAAAAAGAAAAAAAAAAAAGAGACAGACGGTGGAAGGGTGAAAGGTATTTGGCGAGTAGAGTCGACATTTCTCTTACAAAAACTTTGGTCATACTGCAATAGACACAACCTGAACTGGCAGCGGCTGCTCAGAACGATCCTAACCGCTTCCATGAAATGATCCGCGAGTTGGACGTGCAGAGACGTAGCGCCGAAATGGCCCGCATTCAGGAAATCGTATGGTGTTTTATTCTTTCATTCACCGTTTCGTTGACTTGCTATGTGCTTATCAGGTGTACTATTAAGTCGTCTCTGTATATTTCCATCTGTGGACAAGTTAACAAAAAAAAGGCCACACTTCCTTCTACTAATAGAATCAACTCAACGCAGATCCGTTCGATATGGAGGCGCAGAGGCGAATCGAAGAGGCTATTCGACTGGAAAACGTAGCAGCGAATATGGAGGCGGCCATGGAATATAATCCAGAATCCTTTGGCCGCGTGACAATGCTCTATATCGAGGCTGAGGTCAATGGACATCCTGTCAAGGCTTTTGTGGACTCTGGTGCACAGGCTACTATCAGTAAGCAGGACAAAGACGGCGTATTTCTGTGCTCTATCTACTGATTATTCTAGGTGCTGAGATGTTGCTTGCTGATGGAGCCGACGGTCTTTCTTGCATACTTAGTGAGTCCCGAGTGTGCGGAAGCATGTGGCATTATGCGTCTAGTCGACACGCGGTTTGCGGGCATTGCTCGAGGAGTCGGTGTTGCCAAGATTTTAGGACGTGTTCACAGTGCCCAAATCCGTGTGGGCAAGGATCTATTTTTGGCATGTTCATTCACCATCATGGAGGGCAAGGGGGTTGATCTGCTGTTTGGGCTGGACATGCTAAAACGACACCAGGCGTGCATTGACCTGAAGAAGGATTGTCTGATCATCAACGATACGGAAGTCAGGTTCCTGTCTGAGCACGAGCTGCCAAGCAGCGCCAGGGAAAACTCAGAGCTCACGCCCGAGGAGCTCGCCGCAATTGGGAAACCCGAGAATGCACAGACGTCGTCATCGTCATCTTCAGCCCCTGACGCTGCACAGGCAAATACAGCGTCCAGTTCAGCACTATCATCGACTCCTGCCCCAGGCGCTACCGCGGCGGTCCCTCGGCCTACAACTAACGCTACCTCGGCGCCGGCTCAGACTGCGACAGTTGCCTCTGCCGCTGCGCCTGCAGGTAAAGGGCACAGACGGCGGCACGCTATCGATTGATACTGGTTGTTGATTGGAACATCTGGCCTAACTCACTCGAGTTATTTCTTTGCCTGACATTAACATTGCACAAATAGGAGCACACCCTGAAGAGCACATTCAGTCATTGATGGCACTGGGTGCCACACGCCCCGAGGTCATAGCTGCTTTGGATGCCGCAGGTGGTAATGTCGATGTTGCTGCAGGTTTTTTGTTTTAGGATACCTCACAGAATGATAGACTGGATAAGCACAACCCAGTGCAGACGGCCATAAACCAGTACCATCTGATAAAGCCTTTTTATGCAAACAGTGCTATGGTTATGAAATATGTACAATTTCCGTCCTGAGGTGTAAACTATGATGTGTGTGAGGACAGACAATTTGGCAAATGGACGTGGACTTAGATCGCGCCCCAGAGGTCGTCCTCGAACATCTTGTTGCTCGTCTGGTTCAGCCGCTCAAATTCCAGAATAGACCTAAAAGATTAAACGACATTGTCAATGGCGACTATGAGAATATCAATAACGGTATCCTCGCCTAAGAACAACCACGCGACTTACGAAAAATCGACCGTCGAAGAGACCCCCACGAAGAGGCCATCGCCATCAGGAGTCAGACTGATCCCAGAGATATCGCCTACAAAATCGATCTTTTGCGCTTTGGAGTAGTCTGAAGCGGTATCAACGATATGCACATAGTCGCGATCCTCTATGCGATCATTGGAACACGCATCACTCATTAGTTACATCCTACGTCCTGAATCGTCAGAAATAAATGCGACTTCAAAAGGGCATGGACAACGTCAGTTACCTGCCATGACAAGGTACCGCCCACAGGATGAGTATCTCAAAGATCTCACGGACTCCCGTATGTCTCTGCTAATGATATGGACGGGGTTTTGCATCATTCTTGTATCGTAAATGCAGGTTGACATGTCGTCGCTTCCCGTGGCGAGCATGGTCGAGTCCGGGGACCACGCTACTGCAAACGAATAGCGCTGGTGTCCTTTCAATGTCGCAATTGTTTCCCGTGAGTTAACGCTCATGACTCGTCCATCTTGGTCATCTCCAACGATTCCAATCATATGACCATCAGGGCTTTGTGAAGTGTACTAAAAGGTAGGGAGTTTCGGAAATGCCCGATACAGCAGAGATATGTTCAAAGTGAAAAAGTTGAGCATATGGTGCATTTCGTGTTCGCTGCTCAGGCGTAAGAGAGTGTCTGGAAGCGACTCGAAGACAGCGGATAGGTACATACGTTGACGAACCAGTCTGAAGAGAAGGTTGCATATGTCTGTAAGGTTCCCATATCCACGCATCGTATCGCATTGTCATTCGTCGACACGTATGCATGGGGCGCTATATTGTTTTAAAATCGGATATGAAGTTTGTATTTGCAAGGGTAGAATTGTTCATTGTAATGCTATTCCTTATCATCATACCAGTATGACATACCTCCGGTCCTGGAATATGACAGTTCAATGCCATTCACCTCCATGTAGCCCTCATCAATGAACGAACCAAAGATCGGATTTTCGCAGGTCTGTAGGTTCATGAAGGTAAACGACCCATCTTCACCTCCGACTAGGAGGAATTCATCCATTGCTGCCATGGTCGTTATCCGGCTGGGAACCCTGGCATGCGCAGTTCTGAGCGGCGGACCAAGAATGGTTTTTGAGATTCGAAGTTGCGGGCACCAGTGTTGAATAGAGTTGTTGCCTATGCGGAAATAACAAACGAAGATGAACAACTGCATTTTGACGGTTATGCTTCGCCCTTGGCTGTGACGTTGAACTTACAAAGGTAATAAATGTCGTTTTTGCTTGTTGCACAGACCAAATTGCGGAGTTGCGGGTGTCGGTGACTGCAGTGGATGTTGGTGTCCGTGTATCGGAATCTGTAAAACTCATTGCTGTTGTAGTCGAGCACTTCACGACTCTATAAACAACAAACAAGGACCTCGTTAACATCTAATCCCATGTAATATACTGCGCTAACATTCCACACTGTTGTTGTGATATCCTGTACCTCCTTTAGTGCGGCCGTGCCGCTATAGTACATGTGAGCTGTCGAGCCAGTGCTTCATTGGGAGTACGGAAACAAGATTAGATATAGAGATATAGCATATGTGAGTCTCCACATGTTACAGACTTAAGTAAGGCTAGACTCAGCCGAGGTTCACGCAGTACCTGTCTCTGTAATTGCGATATGCTTCCTTTCCTTGCCTACCGTCAAGCCAAGTAATGCCTTGCTATGTACGATATGAAACGGCATCATATGAAAATTGAAAACGGTTAGGGCTCGTGTGCCAATTTTTGACACATGCATACTCTCTCCAAATGCTTCATTTACAACTTGCCATGTCTGAATGGCCCTTGGTAACGTCGTCCTGCTCTACAATAGTCTGCCGGGAAGTTATCAAATGCCTGATTGGATAGATGTATGGCTTGTGGTGGGACTAGCAGGGCGTTCAAGCGAGATGAGGCTGGGTGAGGAACGGGTAGGACTCAAGTACATAGCATGGCCTCACTGAATCTGAGAGAGTCAATAAAGAGAGAAGACGAAGCTTACAGGAAAGAACATGTGCTCGAATCCGTCTTCGTCCATCAGAAAGCTCTGTTCCTGCACGACGGCCTCAATTAGGTCATCTATCAGAGAGAGGGTGTGAGTAATATGAGTAGAGAGGAGTCAATATTTGATACACGAACAAAGAGACGGGACAGACAGCATGAGAGGAATCAATGGAGTGCTGGACAGCTTTGATAGCCAGCTGTTCTCCTGAATGATGCTACATACCGAGGTCAGGTAAAATGGTGCCCTCGAGCGTGTAGAGCGGAGTATCGAAGGACATGAGGAGAGGGAGCTGCTGACGTATCGATATGTTAGGGAAGAGTGCTTGTTGAGATGGCTTGATTTCCTTGGTTGCTTGGTTGCTTGGTTGCTTGGTTGCTTGGTTGCTTGGTTGCTTGGTTGCTTGGTTGCTTGGTTGCTTGTTTGGTTGGAGATAACAAAGGAAAGAGAGAACCGAGTAGTAGTTGACAGACAGAGAAAAGGAGGGCCATGTGGTACAAGTGGTGTGGGACTGCTCTGTCATTTACACGTCTTTGTCTATTTGGGAATGGGCAGCTGATTCCCTTCACAGTATCCGTTCATAGTGTTCAAGACGACCAACTCTCCATGGAACCAGTGACAGACAGCAACACAAACAACAGTAACATGAACAGTAACTAAGCAGCCAGTAATACCCCAGCAACGAGTCCACGATTGGCAGCAGCAGTAGCTGGCAGCCAACCACTGATCACCACGCTAGCGCCGCTTGTGCTCACGGCTGAAGGTCCCCGGCTCTACTGCACCGCAAAGTCCTTGCGATGGATCCCAAAGGGAAAGAAAGCAAAAATGCCAGTGCTTATCCTTATCATTGCGCAAACGTTGAAGAAACGACTCAAGCCAAGTAAGACCCTGCCCACTGCCCTCAGTGTGCACGCCTTGTGAAAGGGATAGGGCATCTTCGCCGAGGACACGGAAGACAGAATGAGTCGGCCGCTAGTGATACCCAAGCGCGATCCTGAAGAGGGTAGACTGTATCATCACTACCGGATCACCGCCGCTGCCTATGATTGAGACATGAAAGGCGTAGAGCGCATCTTCCAGGACCTTGCCCTCGTTGCGGATCGTCATCATCAGTATAAACATAACTGCAGTACCACAGGATATAGTCTGGGAGCGATCTACGATGAGACCACCATGTCGACCATAACGAACGAGCTTTTCGTGGAAACAACCGCGGGAAACGCAGAGTACAGCACGGTCGCGTGCAACTCGGAGGACGAGGACTACGTGACAATACACGTCCATAAGAACGGCAGCAAAAACATCAATAGTCTCAGACGATTGAGAACCGAACAAAGAACCTTTTAAATTACGATAGCAAAAATGAACAACGAGGGAGCGAAAAGCATTGTTGCTTGCGTAGAAGCAGCAGAACGACCAAATAGCCCAAGGATGTAGCTGCAGTACAACGACATGTACCGAGACAATGTCGCCGCGCAGGTAGAAAAGAACCTAGTGGCAGACAGGCAGCTAAATCGTGAACCGACGCGGAGCAAGCAGAGAGCACTGGGATGAAGACAGTGGCAGTGCGAACGCGATCCGCTGCTGTGCTCGACCACGGTATCAAAACAGAAGATCAAGAATGTGTACTCTTTATGAAAAAGATGTTTTGCTCCTCCACATGTAGGCTAAATAGTCTAGCATGAAAGTGCGGAAGCTTTTTAACGCCAAATTTTTTTTGAATTGCTTTTCTTTCCACAACCTTCCCCTCCTTCCACTTTGTCATTCACACATTCCTCAAAATTCAGAATCATGGTCTCCAGCATCGTTGTCTATGGCGGTTCGGGCGCACTTGGCCGTGCTATTGTCACAGCCTTTGTCCAGAAGCAATGGGTAATCCTCTCCTGCCGGTCCTCTCATTCATCCCTCCATTTGCTTGCAGCTAAACTGTCTTCCAGTTTCCCACGCTTTGTGACAGGAAGTTAACGTGTTCAGCTGCGGTTTTTTTTTTTTTTTTTTTTTTTTTGTTGTTGTCGCTTCGTTGATAATTGTAGGCAGTGACATCGATCGACTTTGTCGCCAACCAGGAAGCGACCACCAACATCCTGCTTGAGAAGAGTGATTCACTGGAAGAGCAGGGCAAGCGTGTCATTGGTGCCGTCGGTGGCCAGGTCGATGCAATCGTCTGTGTTGCCGGTGGATGGGCCGGCGGAAATGCTGCTTCCCCAGGTAAGGACGTCGCTACACATAAATCAATGACGGCACAGGACCAAACCAACTAACAAGAATATACATCGCTTCCATAGATCTGTTTGCTAACTCAGAGCTCATGTGGAAGCAATCTGTGCACTCCTCTCTGGTTGCCGCCCACCTCGCGTCCAAAACCCTGAAGTCGTATGTAACTCATGCGCTTTCTAATCCCTTTGTACTGATATTTATGGTCCCCAAACTGCAAACGAGTGAGCTGACGGACAGGACTTTTTGTTGATGGCCGATATAGGGGGGGTCTGTTGACATTGACTGGCGCCTACCCTGCACAGAAGGGCACGCCCTTCATGATTGGATACGGCATGGCCAAGGCGGCTGTTCACCAATTGGTCGCCAGTTTGGCTGGACCCGACTCTGGAATCCCCGCAGATGCGAAGGTCAATGCCATTCTCCCGTAAGATATAAGATATAAACTGTGGTCGCGTTTAATTTCTATGTAAAGAAAAATATTGATTTGTCATGGTCTTTCCTTTTTCTGATCGGTTCTTATTGCATTTCGGATAGTGTTACTCTGGACACGCCAATGAACCGTTCTGGCATGCCCAATGCTGACTTTACCTCGTGGACGCCTTGCTCCGAGGTCGCCGAGTACGTAGCAGCCACATCCACCCGATGATACAATGATAGTGGTACTGAAGGTACTAATACTCCATGTTTATTCTGTCGTGCTGTGTCATAGGACTATCTACGCGTGGGCAACCAATGCCATTCCTGTTACCTCGGGTAAGCTTGTTGAGATCGTCACCAAGGATAGCAAGACCTCATACACCGAGAAGTAAAGGCTCGATCGATCTTAAAAATGCAGTATTCAGCTTCCATACATACAAGTCAATAAAAGAAAGACCTACCGATCATCAACAAGACCTTTTGTGGAGGTAAACCGTATTAAACAGCGACGCTATTCCTGAGTTTAGCGCTCTTCTTTAGCGCTAGGAAGACATTCTGGCGTTCGAAAAACACCACTTTCTCCTTCGCAGCTCGTCCCCTTCACTCTTTTACTATCTCAGATCAACTTCAGCCTCAAGTACACAACAGGTCTTTGAGGGACCAAACACAAAAATACCCCTGAATAGTACTCAAGGCGCACTCACGCCGTCTGTAGCCGAGTACGCATCCTTCCGGGAATACCTATACAGTTTCATTGATTTCGATACAACTACCAAGTCGCGCATGCTTGCCTCACAGATTTTGGACCGCAACGCTGCGATACTACTCTTGGAGCGTTAGCGCAGCAATGCCATCGCCGCAGTCTTTAACGTAACAACCCAGAGTTCACGCGAAGAGGTGCTCAAGCGAAAGGCTGCCATCCATCTACTCAAGGACGGCATTATTGGCAAGGACAGCTAGACCAAACTATCCATTCAGGTTGATCGCGGCAGAACCATTTTCCTTGGTAATAACGCGGTGGCTAAATTCAAGCTGTGATGCCAGGTTGTGCGCGGGTTTCGACCGGTATCAGGATCATGTCGGAGCCTGGTATCAAGCTATGGACCCTTGTAGAGAATCACGACAGGAGGCCAGTTCCAGAACTGGAATGTAGGTAGACCCATGAATGAAATCGAGGGTGCCGCGCATGAAACCCTTAACTGCATCCATCGAGTGAGTCACACTTCTATGGATTGTTATCCATCGCATCCATCGTTGTCCAACAATCCATCCTTCCTTCATCCGCATCAATCCCATCCATCCCTTATCCAAGGCATCCAAGGCATCCAAGACATCCACAGGCATCCACAGGCATCCACAGGCATCCATCTGTCACTGATCGACTGTCTCCTCTACCCAAGGTAACCATTTCCATCCTCTTCTCGCCCCACTCTCGCAACTGTATGCCCTCCTTTCCTCATCAGCGGCCAGGCTTTCATCCGCAGTTGTATTTGCATTCAAGCCTTTGGGCAAGTCCTTCTTTGACTCAAGCGTCCAAGCTCCTTTCCAAATGAAGCAGGGGCCAATTGGTGGCGCGGAGTTGTAACACGTAAAAAGATACTCTACCAAACGAGACAGCGACGGAAGGAAAAGGAGGTGATGACTTTATTCATTCCCCACTCTGTCATCTCCCATCCTTTCTCAAGAAACAATGATGATGGCTCACCCACCCACCGAGCTGAGTGATGAGCTCAATAAGGGACCATAAAGAAGAGTTTGGCCTTATACTTCCTGGCGACGCAACCACGTTTGAACCACTTTACTCTCTCGTGCGCCTGAGATATGGAGGGGAGAATCCACATACTGATAACTGGAGTGCTGCAATGCCCTGGTTATAGTCCACTGTATATACACAAACAAGGACACAATGGCTTCCTTAATATGGTGCCAAGGGCCGCGATCGCTTACTCTATTCACTTATTGACAACCGCCTCCTGTGGTGGGCACAAACTAATGTTAATTAATTTAATTTACGACGTCCACATCCTCACATAGTCCTAACCTGTCGACATCCAGTCAAGTCGTCATTCCCATACAAGTGCGATGAGCGACACTGCAAACATCGATCTCGATAATATTATCGAAAGGCTGCTCGAAGGTACATTATCTGACCTGTCTTCATTTTCCTGTTGGGTTCATTTAACACGCTAAGTGTCTTCAACACTCATTTGTTCCCTTCATCGTCGCTCTTTAAAATGCAGTGCGCAGCTCGCGTCCAGGCAAGCAGGTGCAGCTGGCTGAGCAGGAGATTCGATTCCTGTGCACAACCGCACGCGAGATCTTTATGTCTCAACCCATTCTGCTCGAGCTTGAGGCCCCAATCAAGGTCTGTGGTGATATCCATGGTCAATACTACGATCTCTTGCGTCTCTTCGAGTACGGAGGATTTCCACCCGAGGCCAACTATCTCTTCTTGGGCGATTATGTCGACCGCGGCAAGCAATCGCTCGAAGTCATCTGCCTGCTTTTTGCATATAAGATCAAATACCCTGAAAACTTTTTCATTCTCCGTGGTAACCACGAGTGTGCGAGCACAAACCGAATCTACGGCTTCTACGATGAATGCAAGCGCCGCTACAATATTAAACTCTGGAAGACCTTCACAGACTGCTTCAATTGCCTGCCGGTCGCTGCAATTGTTGACGAAAAGATCTTTTGCATGCACGGCGGCCTCTCGCCGGACTTGCTGAATATGGAGCAGATTCGGCGTGTGATGAGGCCAACAGACATCCCTGACACTGGCCTCCTGTGCGATCTGCTGTGGTCAGACCCTGACAAGGACATTACAGGTTGGAGCGAGAACGATCGCGGCGTGTCCTTCACCTTTGGACCGGATGTCGTGGGCCGATTCTTGCAGAAGCATGACTTGCAGCTTGTTTGCCGTGCGCACCAAGTCGTTGAGGATGGATACGAGTTCTTTGCGAAGCGTCAATTGGTTACCTTGTTCTCGGCCCCCAACTACTGCGGAGAATTCGACAATGCTGGAGCGATGATGAGCGTCGATGAGACCTTGATGTGCTCATTCCAGGTACGCCTTTTTTTTTTTTTTCTTCTCTTTATCTCAAAAAGTAAGAACTGTTACTGTTGCCGCTATTATCAGGGGACGCCTTATTCACTTTTTTTTTTGACGAACAGATCCTTAAGCCAGCAGAAAAGAAGCAAAAATACACGTATGGCGGCCTTGGAGGCACCACGCGGGGCAAGAAGAAGAAGGAGATGGCCAAGGTCACGTAGAGGAGCTTCCAATAGACCTTGGATGTTACACAAACATATTCTTTGTACGTAAATTTGATATAAATGCGACATAATGCGCTTAAGGGTATTTTCAAAGAGCAAGGAACGATTTTTTTTGAGGATGCCATCCGCCCATTCTTTTATTTTCATCCATCACATCCATCACATCCATCAACCATCCATCCGCCTATCCATCCGTATCTCCTTGAACACAGGTATGAAATCATTCATCCTTCAATAAGCCTTATGATGACGGCTCCTGTATCCTTCCTACTTGCACTTTGATACCATTCCGATGGGCTTCTGGTCATTGATATCGATCGCTCCAAGCACCGACCGTAGTCTATTCTCTTTCCTTTCTCTTCTTCTTTTTGGTTTTGGAGAACAGGCATGTTGTTTGGGTGCCCTCTCCCGGGTGCCGCAATCTTAGTCCTATAAATGGAGCGCAGGCGGTGGCGGAGATTGAATGCATGACGACGATATTCTCTTGAAGACTCCAGTCTACACATGGGGCCAGTCCAACACTGCCTTATTTATTTTTTTGCCCTTCATATTCCATGGCCGCGTACATCGTATGAGTACTCGTAATATCTTTTGTATTGCCTTGTGTTCTCTACACCGCCACAGTGATCGCAGTGGCGAGAAGAGTGACAGGTCCGGGAGATATCTTTTCCTTTTCGACGAGCTGAGAAGTGAGGCAAGCTGGCAGATCAACTGTCTACGGGCGTGTGCTATGCAAGCAAGGAGACGCCTAGGAGTCAACTTTACTGCCAGGGCATTAGTTTCTCGTGTTACCTCCTCTAGCACCACGCCTTGCTATATACGGCCTCCTTTCCTCTTCTCCAGCAACGCTGAAAGAGAGTACAGTGCAGTAGTATGCAGGCTGTCTGTCTTGGAGTGCATTCTTGTTCGTTATATGTCCGTTGCATTCGTGCTTTTCGTGTTTTATTCCATTAAGATGCTCGTTTGTGTCGATCAAGAGTGAGAAAGAGGAAAATAGAGAAAGAAAGAAAGCGTATCCTAACCTTTGACCTAGACAGTCAACTCTTCTTCATTCTTCCCTTCTCAAGCAAGGAAATAGCCTCAGCAGTACCAACCACCCAGACATCTCCCCCGTGGTCCTGATTCGCCATGGCTGAGACTGCAGATATCGACATCGACTCCATCATTGAGCGACTCCTTGAAGGTAAGTCACCGCACAAACAAAACAAATAGAGAACCCACTCATACACTTCGCTCTCTCCCTCTTCGTTGATCTACTATAATCGTACTAAACGTCCCTGCACCTCGTTCGTGTTGAAATATTTCTATCTCGACAGTTCGTGGCTCCCGTCCCGGAAAGCAGGTGCAACTGGCCGAGTACGAGATCAAGTTTTTGTGCACGTCAGCGCGCGAGGTCTTCATCAACCAACCTATCCTCCTAGAGTTGGAGGCACCAATAAAGATCTGTGGTATGTAAGTCGTTAACGCATTTTCTCACTAATTTTACGAAATCTACCAATTAATGCTATGTTACTAATGCCTTCTTCATATCTAATTGCTTGTGTTAGGTGATATCCACGGACAATACTATGACTTGCTTCGTCTCTTTGAGTACGGTGGATTCCCACCCGAGGCCAACTATCTCTTCTTGGGCGATTATGTCGATCGCGGCAAACAGTCATTGGAGACCATCTGCTTGTTGCTTGCCTACAAGATCAAGTACCCAGAGAACTTTTTCATCTTGCGCGGAAACCACGAGTGTGCCAGCATTAACAGGATCTATGGATTTTACGACGAGTGCAAGCGCCGATACAACATCAAATTATGGAAGACATTTACAGATTGCTTCAACTGCCTCCCAGTTGCTGCGATCATTGACGAAAAAATCTTTTGCATGCACGGCGGTCTTTCGCCAGACCTGTTGAACATGGAGCAGATCCGCCGGGTGATGCGTCCGACAGATGTGCCAGATACGGGACTTTTGTGTGATCTGCTATGGTCGGATCCAGACAAGGACATCACGGGCTGGAGCGAGAACGATCGCGGTGTGTCCTTCACCTTTGGACCGGATGTAGTGAGCCGATTCTTGCAGAAGCATGACATGGATCTGATCTGTCGTGCACATCAAGTTGTTGAGGATGGATACGAGTTCTTTGCGAAGCGTCAATTGGTTACCTTGTTCTCGGCCCCCAACTACTGCGGAGAATTCGACAATGCTGGAGCGATGATGAGCGTCGATGAGACCTTGATGTGCTCATTCCAGGTATGAAGGATGGGAGCGGCTTGATCCTCAACATGACAATGCCCACGCTACAACGGCATTACGTCGATATGATGTTATGATATATGAACGAACTGATTTTTATCTTTCTCTAACCATATATTTTTTTCTCCTTTGGTTTCTACAGATTTTGAAGCCAGCAGAGAAAAAGCAAAAGTACTCGTATGGTGCATTGGGTGCAGGGAGGCCGGTGACCCCCCCACGCGGCAAGAAGAAGAAGGAGATGGCCAAGGTCACGTAGATATGCTCGGGGGTATTGGATACACTATAGTGGCGCACCACATTTCCTCAGTGAACACCACCAAAACTACTCCATCCCTTCCAGCAGCTCTCGACCCAAACACGCACACCATTCATTGTTCATAACTCATCTATTCCGACCTCTTTTTTTTTTTTTTTTTTTTTTTTTTTTGTTATAAATCTGTCGATATTAAAGACCGTAATGCACAAGTCGGATTGCTATTGCTTTGTTGGTTCATGTCAACATGATGTGTAGTACAAGGCGAAGCAGCCGTTTTATTTCAGAGCAAGAGGATTATTTATGTGAGACAATTCCAGCGTTTGAGAAAGCGTTCTGTCAAAAACTGGTTCTTTTTGCCCATATATTCGACTTGGATGGCCTGGAATGGATATGCCCAGCGGATCGTGTAGGTGACCTCGGGATTATCAACCACGATCATCTTGCGTAGGAAATTGAAGACCGCGTCCAAAAAGTTGATGCATATCGTCGTATCCTGCGACGCCGCCAGAAAAAAAAAAAAAAAAGAAAAAGAAAAAGGAAATGAGACGAACTGGAAATCGCTATTTTTGATACGCTGACAAAGAAGGCGCGTGTTCTTACCCATGCGCCTTCTTTCCCACGGACAAGACGTGGGATCTCCATGGTCTTTAAGGTCTCGACCTTGACCACGTTACCATCATCGTCTCGGAAGCCGACAATGATGGTTGGGATTCCGGGTAGGAAAGATTGCGCCCAGAATTTTAACAACTTGTGCCTGCCAGTTAAAATGAACATACTTGGTTGGAAAAAGAAACAGGCCAAGGAGATAGGATGATCAATACATTCTCAGGTCATTTTACCTTTCGAAGCTGTTTTGTTCTCGCGTATTAGAAATCACCCGCGAGGTTTTGAGTTCTATATAGCTCGGTAATGGGTTGTGTAGCGCCTTCTTAGGCTCTTAATCCATCCATGGTTACACGAATGTGTTAGAAACAGTGTAATTGCTCCGCGTGAAAGGTGCTTATACGCGAGTAGAAGATGTAGAACATAGTTGTTACCAGATATGCAGTCAACTTCCGCGCCCATGATGACACTGTTCTGTCCTATCCGTGTCCGTGCCACTGTGCAGTATTGTAGGTTGGTGTCCACAATCCCGTCAAGTCTTCCTGTTAACTCTGGATCCTCAGGATCAATCTCTTCAACAAGCTCATAGTCATCTTCGTCTTCGTCCTTAGCAGAGTCCCCTGTTGATGCTGATGATGGTGCAACAGCTTCTTGATTTTCAGGCTGGTGCTTGGGAGTGTCGCCTTCCTTGTGTTCAACTTTTGAAGTGGCCCCGCTGTGCCGCGGACTCGAACCACTCGGTATCGCAGTAGTTGTAGCGCCATCGTCGGTTCTTCCATGCCGCCGCTGTTTACGCTTAATCGTTCGTAGTTCGGAAATAGGCTTTGAGATATTGCAGATGGTCTCAAAACGGTAGCCCCAGTACGACATGAGTTTGTGGCGGTCATTCGAGCCCGCGGCATTCTCGCGTTTCTCTTGCGATACGTGCTCCTCTATATATCTACAGCGTTCAGGTAGAAGAGGTATATAAGGAACTGTATAAGAATTTAATCCGCCATATTCCATCGCGAGAATGAATTTTGCTGGTCTTACATTGACCCTCTGTAAAGAGTGGCACCGAGTTCCCAAGGCTCGTTTCTCGCATAGGGTGTACACATGATTTTGGTGAGGACGCCTCGGTAACAGATGAAGTCTGCCTGAGTTGTTGAGCTCGTGGGTTTGATTTCGTCCTTTTTCTCCTTGTCGCTGTCCTTGCTCTCTTCAACAGATGTTGTTTGGGCGTCGTAGACTTGCTGTTCCTCACGATCCCGAATACAGATTAGTGCATCGAGCAGGGCGTCAATGTGCTCGTCCACGGTTTGGTCCCGAGAAATGTATTTTTCGTAATTCACGGACAAATTGTTGGGTTTCCTGAGGTCAGGCGGGAAATAGTATTTCTGGTAGAAGAACAAGGGGGATAGCGAGATAAGCTTCATGATGTACTTCTGTTGCAAGATAGATATGTCAAGCATTAGAAATCCTGTACACCTTTACCAGCTGGGAATCGTCCATGATAAAGTTTCGTTTCTCATCATACGAAAAACTGCCAATCTCGATTGGCTGCTGAAAAAGTGCGCACTTGACTTTAAACCGGTCTAATGGTTGTACAGGAAGTTGGTTTTCGGGGAAGGTCCGATGGGTATCCTGACGACGATACGGATGATGACGTTGCTGCGGGAAATGATGATTGCGATGCGTTTGGTGTGCTGGGCGCGATGAATGCTGATTGTCGTGGCGATAAGGCTGTGGCAGAACTGGAGGTGGGCCCAAGAAGGGTGGAGGTTGACCAGGGATCAAACGGATTGGCGGCAAAGGCTGGGACTGAGGATGGGGGTGTTCACGCGGCACAGGCCGCTGCTCCCTGTAATGTCCTCTTGGATCAGAGCGAGGGTGCCGACCATAATCTGGATATCCATGGGTTTCATAGCGTGAGTGACGGTAATGGTCATGGTCTGGTTGTTCTGGTGGCTGTGGTATCTTAGGTCTGTCATCTTCTTGTGATCCTTTCCTCTTGCGTCCAGCACGCAGAGGCGAAGGCTCCTGCGAGGGTGGTTGTGGCATTCCACGAGGTGGTGGTCTAATCCAGAATTCAGAATCGAAGCCTTCCTCAACCAGTCCTGACTTGATCCTTGGTTGCAATTGGCTGTTGAAGGCAAGCAATGGGCGAAGAGATGAAGAAACAGGATCCACTTCTCTGTTCGAGGAGCGCAGGTGTGATGGACTGTTTCCTTGTCTGCTGTGCCATTTTCGCGTATCGCGTCTTCCAAATTGAGTTTATTTTTGGTACAGTTCTAGAAAATGCTTCCCAGAGCATCAAACCAACCCAAGATACCTGCGTCTGTCAGTACATATGCTCTGAACTCCTCCAGTGTGATGAATCCTGGCTTGGACGGGTGTTTGATCGCGCTAAAAGTCTTATCCACCATTTCCTGGATGGCATCCTGCGAGATGGACTCCATTACCGGGAACGTGCTCGAAAAATACGACGCATTGGCATACGACCCTGTTGGCACCGATGACGACGATGTGAGGGGCTGGTAGGATGTTCCTATGGAGGAGCGACGGCCATTGACATCTGTACTCATGCTCGCGGCACTCCCATCTCGGTGCTGTGGTACTGTGGCCGATGAAGACGATGCCGTCACCCCCTGCGGTATCCCGAACCCGATAGCTAATGCTGGTGCCAGCGACGGCGTTACGGGCGAAGAATTGAGATAGGATACTGAGGGACCAGTGCGATGGTGAGGGCGATCCCAGGCGAGATTGGTGCTGGAGATTGAGGGTGCCACCAGGTGATTTGAGGAAGTTATCGCAGGCAAGGGCTGATCTTTTCGCGGCGTGCTGGAATTTTCCTCTCCAGAAGAGTTCTCTTGTGTTTCTATAATCCGCGACGGCCTCGATGAAGTGCTGCTGATTCGATGGCTGTACGCTGGAAGGTTAGCGGTTGGTGATGTGTTCTGCTCGCCCGGGCACTGATCCGAGAGAGCCGACGCATTAGCGTGCCATCCATTATTCTCGATTTCAGAGTCCTCTGCCTCACTGGCCTCACTTGCCATATCTTCCATTGTTTGCACAGGCGAGAGCAGAGCCTCCGACCCATTACCATGGCTTTTCTCGGTATCGCCATCTGTTGCAGCCGAGGTACCAGCCTCCTCGTCATCCGCATCTTCAGTGTCATCAATAAATGCATCCGGGCCTATCAATCCGTAGGACCCTGGGGGAAGTCTCTCGCTGATTGACGCCTCAAGGTCCCGCTCAGACATCCTAATAGCACTTTCAGCTGCAATAGACCCATTTCCGGCGCGTGTCTCTATTGAAGAGCCCTCGATAGACGGAGATGTTGATGTGGTTGCTGAGCTGTTCTCGTCACTTGGAGTCGTCGATAGCGGCCACTCTGCCGGCAGAGAGGCCAGCTCTCGGTCCCGCACTCGTTCCTCTGCAGATCGATTATTATTACCATTAGTGTTGTTGGTACCGGTATTATCGTTCGTGGTGGTAGTATTATTGTTACCACTGTTGTTTCTGACACCGATCTCGCGAGGGATGGGGGCTGTGAACGTCGAGGAGATTGGCATTCCGGGCTGATATTCAAAATTGCCGATGAGGTCGTTTTCCATGGTCTTGACCACATCTCTGATGAGCTCCATAGATAAATAGAAATACGCTTTGAACATTTCATGAAGCTCCTCCTTTGAGATGTAACCATCGCCATCCAAATCGTATCCTTGAAATGCGACTAAATGATCAACCGCCATCTGATATCAGCAACGACTAATAGATAAAAAATGACCTCAAGCAGATTCAATCCATAATGCATGACATTGTCTTACAGTCGATCTTCTCGTCGAAGTTCCCTTTACAGAGGACGCTGAGTCCGCAGGCCATCTCCTTAAAATTGATAATGCCGTCGTCGTCTTGGTCGAAAAACCGGAAGATGCGCTCCGTAATCAGATTCTTTTCGAGCCCGAGAGGTCCAAGCGCCTGCTCGAAGGTCAGCCGAGTGATTCCTCCACCTTCCTGATCCAGCGTTGATAGTGAGAGATATTGGCTGTACATGGCGTCCAATTCCACATTGTCAACTAAATATGTCGTATGTAAAAGTCAAGTTAATATTCAACTGTCCAGCACCTGAAAATCAATTTCGAGCGATGAATGCACTTACAATGTGTCTTTTGTAAGAGTTCTTGAAGCAGATGCTCTGGTGTGGCAGTGTTTCCTTGTGGGATACCTGGGTAGAATGGCGGCAGTTTCTTTGTGCGGCTGTTGTTGAGCGGTGGGATCGGTATCCTGATCTTCATAAAGACATGGGACTTGATATGAACCTCCGCAGCCTCGCACCCCTCGCAAAGATCATAGTCCTGGCAGTTGGCGCATTTGTAGCGGAGGCCCCGGATCGGAACCGTACGACAGCTATTGCAAGTGATACCTCCTATGGGAGTAAAAACCATTGTCAGTAATGCTGCTAAGAATCAAACCTCGCTGAATAGCAACCATTTCACTTACGATGAATATGGCCTTCTACGGTGAAGAGCAGCGTATGGGGATAGGTAATCGGATTAGAACATTGTTTTCATTCGCTGCACATCGCTGGCTTTAGAGTAATATATCCTGGTGTTACCTTTCCCTGCCTGATCCTCAGCAATGGCATAGAGCAGGTTCATAAGCTGAAGGCCATCATTCTTGCTGTCGCCAAAGTCGTCCATCCTCAGCCGCTCGTAGCCATCCTCGTCCACTAGGGCTGCATATTCATGGTCGGTTGTATCGCCATCATCAGAGTCATTCCCGTGCCCTCTTCCACGAGAAGGCTCGTCGTCCGAAGTGGATCCATCACTGTGATAGTGTCGGCCATCGTCTCGTCTCGATGTATTTGTCTGTTGCTGCTGCCTGTGAGTGTTGGATCGACGCGTGGCGTTACTCCTGCGTAGGCCCGGACCTGAACCTGAAGATGTTCCTGTATTACGGTTGGAAGATGATTGTCGACGTCCATTTCTTCTGCTGCCCCTGGAAGGGCCAGGGTTTCGCCGCTGGGCTGGCGGCCACACCCAGTAAGAGACGTAGAGAAGTGCACCGCCTGTGACCAATCCAAGGAGCAGGAATGGGATCGGACTGGGCGTACTTGGGTTTGTCATGTCCGCTCTGCGATGTATTGCTCCTATTCAGATGATTTCGTGATGTGGGGTAGAGTGCAGGTTTTCTTCGTGCTTTGCCATCACCTGGTCGCATGAAACAAAGCCCGCGCCTTGCAGCTCTCGAGTTCGCAATGACTGGCCAGTCACGAATGAAAACCCGCCTCTAAACGGATCAGTTGACGAGGTCGATCGGGGTCAGGCCTCTGCCAGGTAGCACCTCAACACCATGCCATTCAGCCTGCAAGTCATTGCGGACGTGGACGAGAACAGCCTTTCCGCTAGGGGGTTTTTACTAGGAGCGCGGGATATCTCATCCTCCAGTAGACCTGTCGTCTATATCTCTAGGGAGCACTGCATTCAACATAAACTCAGGAACGCGGTCGTCGCCCTCACGCTTCCTGGCGCACCGTCAAAATGTCCGCCTGTGTACGCATCAGTTAAGATCTATTCCAAAGAAAGCAAGTTGTTTCGCCACGACCCTCGATTTCCAGAAAAGCTCGGTGTTGAAGTTATAGGCAATGGATCGACAACACCTTGGCCTGTCGTTGTCAGTAGCCTGCTATGGTGTGCGATCTCACGTATTCAGTATCATACCTCAAGGGTCCCGGAGGAGTTTCGCGGGGATGTCTCCATGTCAGCTGGACAAGAACCCGTGGAAGTTGTTATGGACGTGGTATGCTGGCATGATAAATCTATAACTGCTTGAGGATGAATTTGCTAGCCTGCATTAATGTCAACATATCCTATTAGATCGCCAAGCTGGGGAATGCCACAATGATAACACTTGAGATTGAGGGCAGCAATAGCGATATCCTGGCCATGCCCAATCCTGCATCCATTGCACAATCGCTCTCGGGGTTCATCGCGTCTCGCCTTGGCTGGATCGTGTTCAAATCTCCTCATGGAACGCAAACCTTTAGGATAACACAGATTACGACAAATGGCAGCGACCATGCGAATGTTGCGCTCATATCAGGTGGGACATGTATGAGGTACGCATCACCCGTGGGTGAACTAGCGACATCATCAGTCGCCGTTTTAGGCTCAGGAACTCTGGGCCTGCTGTCAAAGGAGGACTGGATAGCGGCAGTCAGGTGTGTTATCGGAGGATACGACGATATTCTAAGGGAAATTATCGACCACATATACGGTTATATCGAGGACGCAGTTCATGGCTCAAGTAATTCGTCAGTAGCGAAACCAGACTCTTGCTTCCAAGCACCCTTCAAAGGCGTTCTTATTTCAGGACATCCTGGGACAGGGAAGAGCGCTTTGGCATCGAGTTTGGCGGAATACTCTGGATTACCATTTACAGTTATTAATTGCCCTGATGTTTTTCAGACAGGTAATGAAGAAGTTTTGGGGACGAGGGTTGCTGTACTGGACTAGCTTACATGCCGTCGAGGTCAAAGGACTGAAGGCTAATATTGATAATTTAAGATGCGGGTGCTAGTGAGAATTATCTCCGCAGTGCGTTTAGCTCCTTGCTTTTGCGTGGCAGGGCATCTTTCTTGATTCTAGATGAAGTTGACATGATTGCAAGCGGAAGGGCATCAAGGAAAGGCGAGTATTCGCAACACTGTTTTTTGTTTTTTTTTGATGCTGCTGAAGGTCGCCTGATCTGACAATTGTTTTTCTCGCTTCACATAGGCGTGGAGGCAAAGTTGTTTGCGACTCTTTTGCACCTAGTGGACTTAATTAATACGAATCCCAGTGGGAACAAGGTTTTTATCGTTGGTGAGATACACCTCTGTTGAAAATAATGGTGAAAGTACTCGGTAGCAGTGCATTGATACCGGTCCTGATATTTGCTCGACATTTTGGGTTGGCGAACTTACATACTAGCACTGACAAATCGGCTCCACGCAGTGGATCAGTCGCTCGTACGTTCAGGGCGGCTAGACAAGGTGTTTGATTTGCATTTGAAGGGTGCCAGACAGCGACTGGAGGTGCTCGACATTGTGGCCAAAGGTGAGATCCATAGCCCGTAGATTGTGAATAGAAAAGAAAAGTGCAGCTACTTATACACTCATATTGGTCATGTCGTTATACAGATCTGCCCATGGATCCAGGACAGCGGCCCGAGATACTACTCCAAGTTTCCAAAGCTACGCACGGGTTTGTGCCGACAGACCTACAGTCGGTTTGTACAGAGTCTGCCTTGCTATTGATCTCCAGGATGACAGCTGGTGTCAAGAACAATATGGTCGACTACTCTTACTTTGAGAAGGCGTTAAAGACGATTCGTCCATCCGGAATGAGTGAATTCCAGTCGAAGGTATCCACTCTTTTTCATTTGTTCACGCCGAGAACCACTTTAGAGAGATATCTAATTATGCATTTATGCCACGGATTTTCTGATTCTTAGATCCCTGTGGTGACATTCGACGACCTCTTTGGCATTGAAGACGCGATAGCGGACCTGAGAATGTCTATCATAGAACCATTTCACAATCCCGGAAAATACATCAATATAGGGATCGCACCACCACGAGGTCTACTTATTTATGGCCCACCGGGCGTCGGTAAAACAATGCTATGCTGCGCGTTGGCTGAAGAACTTGGAATCAACTTTATGCTAGTGGAGGTAACATCTTCAAGTTGCTGTGGGTTTCAATTTGTAATTCGGAAATTTGTCCCGCCATTGACCCAAAGCGCTTTCTCTTAATGTGATATACACTGTAGAGCTCACAAATCCGATCCAAAGTTGTTGGTGAATCAGAACAGAACATCGCAAGGATGTTTTCACAAGCCAAGGCCAATGCGCCCTGCATTCTTTTTATTGACCAGGTGTGTACCCTTGTCGCTCTTTACTTGAAAATGTAGTGCTGATGGGTAAGACATACCTGCGCTCACTAGTTTATATCCTGCATTTCCAGATCGACGTCCTGGCGCCATCAAGAGGGTCTACACATACATCAGAAAACAGCGGATATCGCATCGTAACGGGGTTGCTGACAGGTAGGCGGTCCCTTCTCTTGATCTATCGATAGCGAAGCACAATTGTTCAATGGTTTTATTCTTGCTCTTTTGTTAGAAATGGATGGTTTCTTTTCTGGTGACTCTGGGAAGGGCACTGAGGTAGATGTCCTAGTTCTTGCAGGTGCGAACATATGGAACCTATATGTTTAATGAGGCTATTATGATGACCTTAGAGTACTAATGCAGATTCACTTGCTTCACCTTGTGGGCGCCTCCTACAGCTACCAACCGCCCTGAAGTCATCGACTCTGCCATTTTGAGACCAGGCCGTCTCGATCAAATTGTTCATATCCCTGTCCCTGACCACAAGGTGACCCCATGACTCCTCTTCGCTTTCGTCTATGCATGGCTTTGCTCGAGAAGGAAAGGCTAAGCGACTTTTACATGTTCGTTGTGTAGACACGACACTCCATCCTGAGGGGATACACCGCAAAGATGCCTCTTAATATTAGCTCTGACGAGATGCAGGAGCTAGCCGCGAATACCGAGGGTTATTCGGGCGCGGATCTCGAAGGCCTCTGTCGTGAAGCAGCTTTAATCTGCCTTAGAGAAGACATCAAGAACACAGAGGTAAGTTTGTACCTCGCTGGTAAAAGCAATGACAGAGTCTCTTAGGGGATCAGATTACTTAACTCGGCCATTTTGCTTTTATTGCTTCTTCGTAGATTACAATAGAGCATTTGCAAGCTGCCAAACAGGTCTCAAAGCCCTCGCTACTCGGTTATAAGGACAAACACATCTTCACTCGTTGATCGACCATATACCCGGTAGACATGGCCTTCTCGAGATATATGGCTGCAATAAAAATTTATTATTCTACTTCGTAGTCTATGTTGTTTGACGTTTTTCGGTACTATTTAAAGGCGTTAACCCCTGTCCATCGCCGTCATCTGGAGAAGCGGGAACCCATTGAAGAAAACGGGGCTGTCCGCCTGGTGCAGCCTCGTCTTTTTCTCTGCCTCTGTGTTAAAGAACTCTGAGTATTCAAACTCATTGGGATTGGGACTCTGTGCCAGCAAAATGAACCGATCGTCCAACTCTTCTTCCTCATCTGTGCCGAACGACTGAGTTGCTGAGCCGTCCTCCTCCTCCGATCCAGAAGAACTGCAGCCATCGGAGCATTCGGCCGAGCAGTTGATCGGTCTGCGGTACATAATATGGCCGTTAGAATGGCGGGCCAAGAACCCCTGTAGCATGAACGTTTGTGGGGAGGTCGCACGGGTTAGTGATGGCCGTCTGGAGAGAGTTGGGGACGAGGCTGTGGAGGAGAAGTGGGTGAACCACGGAGTCGAGCTCTGAGAGGTCCGTACAGCCTGCGGGGTATAAATCATTAGCGTCTCCTCCGCAAGAGAGTCCTCTGTTATTGGGTCCGTTTCGGCGTCTGCTGGACTCAGGTCGCTGATGCTGCTTTTGCTCTCGATCATGGTACTGGCGAGGAAAAAGGGTGTGGGGGGAGCGCTGTCGCCTGAATAGCCGTTGGGGTGCTTGTTTGATCTTTTGCTCTCGACCGCCGTCGCACTCTTGGAATGTATTGCTTCAGTGGCGAGTGTCAGAGGAATGATGTACGAAGCTGAACGTCTGTGCCATCGATGTGGTCCTTCTCTATGGCGCTCTGTCCTGTCGTCGTCATCATGATCAAATTCAAATCCATTGTCGGTGTCATAGCCACGGTCGTCGCCTTGGTCGCTGTTCTTGTGGCTCGAGGATGGAGGAGCAGGGGTGATATGAGAGGAAGACCAGGCTCTACCAACATGCTGATGAGACCGCTCGTGTTCGTTGTGGTGGATATCCTCCATGGACCATTGTGCAACCCTGACCTCCAATGCCGACGGCCAGATCCTGTCAACTGTACGGTGGTGGTGCCAAGATCTAGAATCGGATTCAAACTTGCTTGCCTATCATTAAAAAAAGGCTGTCAAATGGTTGTTGCCCATATGCTGCTTGAATGGTTCTTGTTGCCTCGATAAGTGGTATTGCTGGTTCGCTGACACCGACCTGGTAGTCCTGAAGGAGCTGTGTAGTGTTCAGTGCAGTCGACATCTTTTTGTATATGCTGTGGAAAACGAACAGTAAAAGTGATAAAGACGAAGAAAGGATGTGGAGAAAGAGAGTTAGAGCGCAAAAAACGCTGCAGAGGATATATGAGTGTATGGATGTTGGGATATGTGGGGGTGTGTGGGGTAAAGTGGAGATCAGAGAGAGGATCAAACGAACTTTTGTTTATGAAATAAGATAACGATAAAAACAGGAGAGTCGTTGGATCTGCATTACGGATTTTTTTTTGAGTCAATGCACGCCCACCATTCCCTAAGTGCACTCTCAACGAAACGCCTCTTATGAACAACAAAAGGCGTTTATCGAGCAAGGACGATAAACTAAACGAAGTCAATCTCTCGCTGCGTACAATTTTGTTATAAGACTTCAATTCCAAGTATGAAAGGGTTTGCAGACACGTTGGGATGTTCTATGCAGACGGCAATCCTTCTGCCATCCTCGAGTGCTGGAGTTCGAACCTTCGCTACAAGGATTACGATACGGCTTTCGCTGCTACCGCCACGGACATTGCCATTAGTCGAACAAAAGCAGAAGAGACGAAACTTTCAGACGACCCAACGCTTCGACATCTAGCCAACAATCTTTCACGAGAGAAAATCGACAACTTTTCATTGAAATATGTTGAAGAACGACTCGATGAAAAAGGCCCTCGGCTCGCAGAAATCATGAGAGGTCTACCGGCGCCAACCTCAAAATCTGTCGCGATTGTTCCACTCTCGCCAGCATGCTATTATTTTTCAAAAGTCAGGCCTCCAACTACTTGTAGACGATGATAGGATTGTTTCTGTTCAGCTCCGGTGTGATGCGGTAAATCCACGATCATACCCACGGGCTGCACATGCAGTTACGGGATGTGCAAGTAGAGGGGCGTGCATTTATGGAGCAGTTGATCGGTTTTGCACTCATAGTCACTAAATAACACAAGACCGAAAGGTTCCTGGTCTGTCTCCTCCCAACACCTCTGCACAACACTTACCCTGCGCGACCCCCTAAGTCACTCCACGCGCCCATTGTCTCACTACACTGCACCCCAAGTTGTATACTCTGTCATAGCTGGTCATCATAGCGCATCGCCCAGCAAGAGTAGGGGCGGGATCTGTGCGAGTCCCCCTCGCGTAGCCTGGAAGTCCCTCGACCAGGTAACGATCATGGCCTTATAATGAACGAGCGCGGAGGACTAAGAACAGTATCTCCTGATGTCGTCGCGTAGGCAGAGAGGTCAAGACTGAGTCCCTTTAACCTTGCTGATCCCTAACTCGAGTGTGTCGTCGTCTTCCCATTCTTGTAAATAGTCCTTGCTGTCTTTCTTTTCCTTCCGCTAGGACCAAGCGCTTATTCGAGATCCCGTCCCCAAGGATCTAATTGTAAGTGTTCTCTGCGTCTGGAGCCTTTATTTGTTTCCACTGTAGTCCAGCAACTTATCTCTAGGTCTTTTGCTTCTCAATTTCTTTCTATAGTCCTTTGTTATACGGATCGTATCCTCGACCGAGAACCCCCTTCCCTCGTCGTCGTTCATTTATTCGCGACATACATTTACAGTAAGGCAATTATTATTTAGAGACTTCGTTGACCAGTAGAGACTTTTTTTGAGCAACGTATTTACAGCTAGTACTTTGACCTGATATAGAGCCACAACACCACACCGGATGTCCACAGATGTCCTCGCCCATGCTGGTCTATCCGTGTCGCGCCACATGATCGCTGCTACCCTTAGAGCAGTGACAAAAGATGCTCTGCAAGAGGTCCAATCCGTGGTCTTGAATACGCCGTGGTACCTAGTTTACGATAACATAAACATCGCAAACCGTAAACACGATCAACGGAGTGACAATACTGATCGTACCTGGAGAGGACCTTGGCAAAGTGGGGCCCGTTCAAGATCTATATGCCCGACTCCGCGTGGAACATTTCCTGCCCAACGAAAGGAACCGCACTCATTTCAGGAATGTCTATCGATCCCACCTGCTTGACGCCCTACAGAGACATTCCGAAACCTATCGACGTTGTTCGTATACATTCCTCCAATAATGCCTCTCGAAGTGAAGCAGCCACTTACATATCCGTTCCCTGCGAAGAAGCATATTGTGATTCATGAGGTTCAAAAAGTAAGTGAGAAAAAGATGTGTCTTTATTTGAAAGCATGTTTTATCGCAGATGTTCTAAATTTTTTTTTTCCTCCCATAGTGATCATCTGATGTCCCATAGACCAATGAGATGATAAGGATGGGCATGAGTGATGGATGGGTGTTCAAGGTGAGGGATGGACGAGGTTGATTCCTCATTCCTTCTTTGTTTCTCATTCACCTCCTGCCCAACACAAACACTCTTCCCACAAATTTTCATAACATTTTTCATTATGTCCCATCGTCGTCCTATCATCGGCTTGCGTAAAGCTAAGCGCGTTATGGCGCCGCCAAGTCGGCAACCGGTGGAATCCACTTCGACGGCGGAGCCAGTGGAGATGTTGTCGAAGGAGATGGTACCTTTTACACAGGTAACGAGGGAAGATTGGTCTCCGACTATTCCTTCGGATGAGGCACTAGGCAAGCGTGTATTAGCCAAGCCTGAATTTGTACCAGCGTCGCAACCCGACAAGGAAGATGATAATTTGCCACAGGATCAGGGTGGCACGGACGAGGATTATGAGCGCCAACTCGCCGTAGCTCAGCTGGAAATCGAGGAGCTTCGTAGTACCTTGAAGCGTGAGCGGGATCGAAGTTCTTTCGTTGGACGACTTTTTGAGCCGCGAATTTACAAGGACGAAGGCACTCAGGTGGATCGAGAGACAGCGGAGCAGGGGGTTCAAGTTGAGGTGGAGGACGATAGCAGAGCGGAGCAACGATTTTTTTTTTTTTTTCAGAGATGCTCATGACCAACTTGCGAGGGACGCTTGCACTGCTCGGTGATCCATCGGAGGCGGCAGAGGAACAATCACAGCCGAACGACAAAGCGCGGGCTGGCGCTGAGCCAAGTCCTTCTCGAGAGATAGCCAAGCGAAAGCGCGAAGCGAACGACGACAACAGTGGTGACAAGGCCAAGGCGCGTCGTAAAAGTATTTGAAGAATTATTTTTAATAAAGCATTGTTTTCAACAAGTTTCAAGTTGATGGTCAACAATACGATGTATTCGCTCGTTAATTTTCATGCATTTAGTTGGCTCTTGTGCAGTAAGATATTGATTATAAACGTGTACTTCGAGATCGTTTGCGCCGCGTGGATGGCCAGCCAAGGGTACCTGTTGCCGTGCCATCGTATACTCGCCTATTCGACTTCTGTTGCGCGGTATGATGCTCGGCCCAATAATCATTGATACACCGCCGTTCAATAAAATGATCTTCAGGTTCCCATGTATTTTCATCAGAGGAATAATCCTTCCATTTGACCAGATATTCATTCGCGTTGGGCGTAATTGTATTAGCCCTGTGGTCAGCGATTTTTCCCACCTCATAGGTATCAGTATCTTCAAAGTCGTCCAGCACAAGCTTGAGCTGAGACGGGGCATAATGACGTCCTAACAAGGCTTCTATGCCATCTTTGAGAATACAATGAGGATTGAAACGGATCCGACAGCAGCCCCCCCTGTTCGCCCGGTTATTCGTCTATCAATTGCAGAACTCGACGAACTGAAGAAGCAACTCACAGATCTCCTGAAAAAGGGCTTTATATCCCCCAGTACCTCACCATACGGCGCGCCTGTTCTGTTCGTAAAGAAGAAGGATGGATCTCTTAGGATGTGTGTCGATTATAGAAGACTCAACAAGATAACAAGGAAGAATCGACATCCACTACCGCGAATTGACGGACTCATTGATTGCTTCAGAACAGCACGCCACTTCACCAAGCTGGATCTTTTGTCAGGATACCATCAGATACGTGTTCACCCGGACGACAAACACAAGACGGCGTTCAGGACACGATACGGTCACTATGAGTTCAACGTCGTCCCATTTGGTTTAACCAACGCCCCGGCCGCTTTTTCTACCATGATGCGCAATATGCTAGACCCTGTCTTGGATAAGTGTGTCGTAGTATATCTGGACGACATATTGATTTACTCTAACAGCGAGAAGGAACATTTGCAGCACATCCGGCAAGTCTTAGCCCTCCTGCGCGAGGCAAGCCTCTATTGCAAGTTGTCCAAGTGCTCTTTCATGCAGGACGAGACCGAATTCCTGGGCCATGTTATCTCGAAGGACGGACTCAAGACTAATGCTGGACTCGTGAAGGCGATCAGGGAATGGCCAGTTCTCTCGACTCAGCGCCAAGTTATGCAGTTTCTGGGCTTGACAAACTTCTACCATCAATACATTGACCGTTACGCAGATATTGCTCTCCCTCTCACCACGTTACTAGGCTCCACGACTCCGTTCACTTGGGACAAGCCCCAGCAGGATGCCTTCGACGCTCTGAAAAACGCTGTGACTACAGCCCCAGTCCTCCGCATCTTCGACCCGGCCCTCTCCACAGCTGTCGAAACTGATGCCTCCGGCTTTGCCATCGGTGCTGTTTTATTTCAGACGGATAGCAACGGTGAATCTCGACCCGTCGCATTCACTTCACGCAAATTGTGCCCAGCAGAACGGAATTACCCGACACATGAGCAAGAATTGCTGGCTGTGGTGCACGCCCTCAAGACATGGCGGTATTATTTGGACGGATCGCACTTCATCGTCTACACGGATCATGCGACTCTACAGCACTTTCCAACCCAGCCTAATTTGACGCGGAGACAGGCTAGATGGATGGAGCTCCTCCAGGAATACGATTTCGACTTCAGATACAAGCGAGGCAAAGACAACATCGTCCCGATGCACTTTCAAGAAGACCCGACCACAAGGACGAGAACCCTGCCGGCACAGCATTTAATTCCATGGACGTTCAGGTGGACCTCGACTTACGGAAACGCCTGATCGAGAGCTACCCTTCAGACTGTACCTTAGGCCCAGTATACAACAAGTCGTCCAGCGCAGGCCCAACAGACCGCTACTTTGTTGCAGATGGACTACTCTGGATCAATGCTGGTGGCGAGCCACGCCTATGCATCCCAAACGACAACAAGCTCCGAGCAACCCTCCTCCATGACGCACACGATTCGCCCATTGCTGGCCATCTGGGTTTCGAGAAAACATACGAGAACATGAGACGAACCTTTTTCTGGCCACGAATGGCTCGTGACACAAAAGCATATGTGGGATCATGCGAGCAATACCAACGCAACAAACCATTGCATCAGCACCCTGCCGGTCTATTCAAGCCTCTGGCATACCGAGCCAGCGATGGGATACAGTCTCCATGGATTTCATCGTGTCACTTCCCAAAACAAGCCGTGGAGTCGATGCGATCACGGTCATTGTAGATAAGTTGTCCAAGCAGGTTCATTTTTGTGCTAGCCATACCACGGACTCCGCCACCGACGTCGCCCGATTATTTTTCGAGCAAGTCTTCCGCTTGCATGGTATGGCGCGCGCCATCGTCTCGGACCGCGACTCTCGCTTCACAGGCAAATTCTGGACGGCATTAATGAAGATGATGGGGACCAAATTGAACATGTCAACGGCATATCACCCTCAGACGGACGGCCAAACGGAACGTGCCAATCGAACGCTCGAAGAGATGCTGCCTCTTACATTTCGTATAATCAAAAGGACTGGGATCTGTTCTTGCCGATGCTCGAGTTTGCGTACAACAATTCGGTAAATCCCAACGACAGGATTTTCGCCCTTTTTTCTCAATTATGGTCACCACCCTCTCGTGCCTGCATCACTCCTGAAGCCGCCACCACCAATGTGCCATCAGTCTCAGACTTCGTAGCTTCTCAGTCGGCTGCTCTCGCTCGCGCCCAGGATGCCATCGTCGCTGCTCAGGACCGCCAGAAGCAGCAAGCAGATAAATTCCGCAGCAACGTGCCGTTCGGCGTCGGAGACAGGGTACTTCTCAGCACAGAACACCTCTCGGTCGCAGCACATGCCAATCGACCCTCAAGAAAGTGGAACTGCGATATATCGGCCCTTACAGGATTGTCGAGCAGGTCAACGACAACGCATTCAAGATCGACCTGCCACCCAATATGCACCAACATCCTGTGTTCAATGCTGATTTGCTCCGTCTTTACACCGAGTCACCAACTGAGTTCGGCGATCGCATACCGCCTCGACCTTCACCAGAGCTCATTGATGGAGAAGAAGAGTTCGAAGTAGAACGCATTCTGGATCACAAGATATTTGGTAGAACACCTAAATGGCTCGTTCAATGGAAAGGATACCCACTGGAAGAGGCAACCTAGGAGCCAAAGGCGTCATTGGTCAATGCTAAGGAGGCCCTAGCAGAGTTCGAGGCCAAGCGCGAAAAGGAGTAACGTTTTTTTTAAGATGGGGAGGTGCAACAGGTACAACTGTTTATTCGAGAATGATGTCATGGTCATAACCATGCTGCGCCTAGTTTCTAGAGCATTCCAACACAACTGTGTCTAGTATATAAGAGCCCTTCAAACGTAGGATTAGACAGCAATGAATCATCGAATAAACCTTTGATTCCACCCTAGAACCCCTCCGACCCCTGACTATTTGCAATCCTCCCTGTAAATATTCTAAAACCGGAGAGACACTGCGAAAACATGTCGCCAACCATCACATGGACGTCATTGTAACTGTTGGATCGTTCCGAGCCCACGCTGTTCCTGAGTTTCATGGAGACAAGCCCGTGTTGCGGTGCTTGAAGTGTCAAGATTTTTGTGCGAACAAGGATTCATTTTTGAAGCTGCACTTGTATTCGATGAAGTGCATCTGGTGTAAGTTCATGTCAGAAAGAATGTGTTCAATCTGTCAGCGGCTGACAAGCTGTCGTTTCTTTTTTTAGTTGCCACTGAAGAGGGTTTAATCGAAGTTGCAGCCCTAACTCAGGACGAAAAATGTAAGACCTCAAAAACTGCATTGAAAAAAGCCAGGACTCTCTCCTTCATCCGTTCTCTTCGCTAAAATTACGTTTCTCATTTTCTTCTTTTTAGTTGGTCCCGCTGCTTCTGCTTTTCTGAAGAGGTCTCCTGCTGTTGTCGGCGATGGATCTTTCAGTTCCTCAGTTTCATCTGGTAAGTTTGCTAAGAAAGTCAAGGAAATCATGAGACGCGTTCGCGTTGTCTGGCATTTGTTGTTAAAGGATTTCACTCTGTCAATGGTACTCTAGAAGATAGTCGCACAGCACGCGACGTTGCTGAACTCATTGAAGTTGCAGACGATCCTCCGATGTCGCAAGTCAGCGAAATATCTGGTGAGTTTTGCCGAATAATGTTATATTGGTTAATCGGGTTCAGACCAGTCAAAAAAGCGACGCTTGGTCCATTCTTAACCTTGTATTCTTTCTTCTCTCATTTCGCTTTTCACCTGCAGTCTTTTTGCCCTCTTATGAAAGCCTAGGTCCCTCTGATAAAAGTACGTCTAAATCACGCTAGTTGATCTCGTTGTATTGATGCAAATTGTTTTACTGAAATTGCGGATCTCCTTCTTTTTTCTTTAAAAATTAAAACAGGGCCTTCCTCTCCGGGTTTGCTGTCAAGTGCAACAAAGCTCTTGAACGCATCTACTGAGGTGCTGATTTCTCGCGTTGAAGATGGAATTGTTAGCCTTGATATCAAGTTGAATTTGTCAGCTCAAGACCTTGGCGTACGAGATCGTCCTTCTCAAATCGAGCCTGCTGAGGGTCTGTTGTCGCTTTTGGCCGATTCGCCTTATGAGGGAGTGCTATCTCGGTCAAGTTGGATTGAGTTTCCAAGATGTCAGCGCCTTCCGGGAGATTGGGACAACTTAATTTCTGGCTGTTGGCTTAAAAACCCACTCCTGAATTATGCTACCGCTGTTTTGTTTGCTGGTTGTGTACTTTACAATCCGCGAAATAGGAACGCAGTACTCTGTTTGGTTGCCGAATCGTATGGCCGAGGTCTTGATGTTGACGTTCACGCTGAAAAGCCTATTTCCATTGGCCAAGGCGTCTCCTCCATTTCCCAGCCTTCAGCTTCCGGGTTGTACCCCCATGCTACCGTATGTCAGATTCAGCACGACAAGAAGGACCATCGTCTTGTTGTTGGATGCAAGATCTTCAACATCCTTGCCACTGAAGTCTGGCGATTGGACAAGGATTGTTCCTCTGACCGCGCGTTTACTGCCGGTTCTTGTTGCAGCGCCTTTCCTATCCCTGGTAGCGAGAACATCATAATTTTTGTTGATAGGCGTTCTTTCGACCTAGCGTCCGACGTTGTCTCTGGCACACACATACCGCGGTTCGAAATCGACCTCCTCCGGCAGATCCGATCTAATCTCTGTTCGGAACACTCCTACCGAATGGGTCGAGCCTCCTCTTACTTTATCACTAATATGGTGTCTGCTCAATCGGCGTCGATTTTTACGCTGACTATGGTCTGTCCGTCGTCTGGAGATGCTTCTTTGGTGTCGTCGCTTCTGAGCCGTATCGCCAAGGAAGTGAATGCAAAAGGAGATGACGCTGTTTTGGAGAAGAAGGTGCTGTTGAAGATCCTACAAAAGGTGAAGAGTGGTCAGTCCTGCGACGTACTCCTCCGGAAAATATTGAGTTTAATCGAAAACAAGCTCGAGATCAGCATTCTTGGTGTGGACAGACCTTCTGGCCTGGAAGAGTTGATGGGTGAGCTAGCGGGTTGCGTCTCAGCCGCCGTGTACCGCTGTAATGAAAAGGTGGTGGTCCCACAACTGAAAAAGGAGATGCCCCGGCTCTTGTGTTAGAGTCTGATGCCGAGGAATGTTTTTTAAGTTCATGCTTCTTAAAATAAAAAAAAATCTGTCACCGTTTTTGGAAGTTCTTTGCGCTGCGTGGAAAATGCGACGGGCTTCACAAAAAAAATTCCAATGCAAAAGGTTCTCCCCTGCACTGCAAGAAAATGGTGTGTTTGTCTAGCCAGAAAAAAAAAAATTCCAGCAGAAAGAGTGTCCACCGGACAAAAAAAAATTCCAGCAGAAAAGGGTGTCTCCCGCCCTGCAAGAAAAAGGCGTGTTTGACCAGTCAGGAACAAAAAAAATTCCAGCGCAAAAGGGTGTCTCCTGGCCTGCAAGAAAATGGTGTGTCTGACTAGCCAGGAAAAAAAAAATTCCAGCAGAAAGAGTGTCCACCGGACAAAAAAAAATTCCAGCGCAAAAGGGTGTCTCCTGGCCTGCAAGAAAAGGTGTGTTTGACTAGCCAGGAAAAAAAAAAAAATTCCAGTACTTCCAACAAAAATGAACAGAAAAACAGACATGCACTGACAAACATGGCACTGTGTGATTTTATTGCGGGACCCCTTGATCGCTGCCTTTAGAGACGTTGTTGACGGGCCAGTAGTTTATTTCGGCTTTGGCGTTCTCGAAAACTTTTCCTGTACTTGCCACCTCCTTTGCCTTTCGAGTAACGAAAGGACAAGGACAAGGTGGATCCGAGTTGCTTCCAGTGACATGCGCCTTGAGACTGCGTGGGCTTATGAAACCCGTTTCGCAAAAACAGTGACACTTCTCTGTGATGCGACGGAAAGTAAAAAATACGCCAATCTGTTGAGAATCTTGACTGGGAGACACATTCACAGCAATGTAGCAAGTCCATGGCTCGTGAACATTTCGGATATGTTCTTTCTGCTGTTTGTTAAGGGAATTGATGTCTTTTCCGACAAGGCCCTGTTTGCAGATCTTGAAAGTGCATCGTTTTGGCAATTGCGGTTCCATTGATGATGTTTCGACTAGTCAGAAAGACTGATGTGCCTTAGGGCCTTTTGATAACGTTTGTTTTCTGCCTCAAGACGTTGCTCTCACCCCTGAACAAAGTTCTGTGTCGACTTTGTTCACTGCCCCATGAAATTGCTCTCACGCTGTCAGAAACAGACATGGGAATTCTCAAGGTAAGTGGAATATCGAGGATGGATAGAACAGGAAATAGGTTTATTGCAGACTGAGGAATAAATAACAAACTATGAGAACTATTTGTCTTCGTCGTCAGGACTGTCCGACTTGCCATGACTTAAACTAGAAGGGGTCCCTGAGTAAGGCGTTAATGCTGATCAGTTGGTGATTGGAGTCTGTCGAAGGCGCGGGAAGTGTGGGCGAAGTTCGGGACAGTAAAGCCCAAGGTGATCTCTAACTACTTGGCGCAGTCTCAAGTGGCTTGTACTCCGCTGAGCACACGCTGCAGTTAAAGTGATCACCTTTTCCGTAGTTCCGTCTTTCTGATCAGACTCACACGCCACCCACGCGTTAACCTGCTAACCGTTATCCTACTAACTTTATTTTCGTGACACACCCCTCAACAGAGACATGTGTCGACTTTGTTTACTGCCCCATGAAATTTGCCCACAACCCCGAACATTTCTGTGTTCCAAACCAATTTTGCCACCATTTCCACGCCTTCATCGCCTTTGCCGCTCTTTTCATCCCTTCTTAGATTTCCTTTTATCACCTCTTTTTTTTCCCTTCTACCTCACCTTCACTACAGCTCGCACCTTCTTCGCAACCCTCACTCTTTGTACGACCTTCACTTCTTTTCACTTCCCTACTTTTCATTGAAGCTTCGCAACACCATGACCGACAGGCCTCTGACACCGTTCTGTCTTGTTGAAAAGCCTCGATTGTTCCTTTTGGGTCCCTAACCCTACTAATGCAATTTCCATACAAAAAGTCATCAAAACCCACATCGTTTCCATCAACACCAACACACTTTCTGTAACATTTCCTGCTCAATCCCCTCTACACCTTCAAAACGCGCCAAACTTATCTGATGTCCCCACCAGCGAACACAGCCATTCCCTCAAACGTCATTCAATCAGCCTCGGTTGCGAACAAGGGTTCTTCTCCTTCGGTTACGAATGCCGTCGGTCAGCCTAACCATGACAAAGTCAAGAATTCTCTGCCACTCTCCTCCGCTTCCCATGATGGCTCTCAGGACCTCGATACATCGTCTGATGAGGACGATAAGAACAAGGAAAATATTCCTCCAGGCACTCATAATGGACTTCACACGGCCACTCCAACTGCTGGATCGAAGCGAAAAGGGACATTTCAAGAAGTTTCAATCCCAAAGAGATTAAGGTCGCCTTCAATCCTTGGACTGCGCCTGCGCCGGGGCGGAGATGACTTGCTCAATCAGCCGATACTATGAAGATGTGTCACTGCCTCTGGCTCAGGGATGTCGCCTGCCTCTGCTCTTATTCAAGTAAATGCTCCCACCTCTGCCGCCACCGAGGATACTCAGCCGGTCATGCCATCACGGTCTGTTTCCCCGCAACACTCAAGTCAAGGTTGTCCAGTGCAAACGCAAACTCCAGCTCTTGATTCTAGTCCAGAAGGTGCTCCTGGTGTCGATGATAATTGCACCATTGAGTCACAGCACGATCATGAGTTTCTTACTATGGGGTACCATTCCATTCCGCAAATTGTGGAAGGTTGCAAACGCTGGGGAGTCGAAAATGGTTATTTATTGGGTACAGATCATGATGAGTTTACAGTAGGTGGAATTCAATTAGTGGGTTCACGTTTGGTCGACAGTCTTATTACCAGAAGGATGCATCTTCGGAGCGAGACGATACATGGAGTAATTAATGGCAATATTCCCATTGAAGGTATTGAGTCCTGCGATCTCATGAAGGAAAGTTGTAAAACTTCTGCCGCCATACGCTGTTTGAACAAATTGATAGCCAGTGTAGACAGAGACGAGAAGCACCTCCAAAAAAATATACAATAGACTATGTAGTGCAAAAAAAAAATATGCTGTGGTACTGTGACAAACTTCATTTATTCTTGATCCATGCAAAACCTCATCTTCTTCCGGAGCTCCGCTTCTACATCTTCGTCACAATACGCTCTTTTCCTATTGCTACCATCGACTTCGTTGCTTGAGTCGCCAGAGTCACCATCATCTTTTGAATCAGATGAATCATCGTCACTGTCAAATTCCCATCCGGCGACAATATCAGGGTCCAAAAAATCACTGGAAGATCCATGCTCAACACGTCTCCTCTTCCCCTTATTTCGCTTCGAGACAATAACAGCACCAACTTCTGAATCCGTGCTATCGCATTCAATGCTATCGTTTCCAAGACTATCGCTGTCATAATGCCTTTTCTTGTCTTCGCGAAAAGTAAACCAATCGTTCTCTTGTTGGTCCAACAGGTTATTGTCATGGATACTTTGTCTTCCTCCTGAACTGCATCCGATAGCTTCTTCAAACTCTGGCGTGTTCTTTTCATCAATGGACAATAACAAACCACTTTCATCAAGTTGCTCAACATTGTCCTCCTTTTCTTCCCACCATGTGTCGTCATTGACCGACTGTTCTCCGCCACTCTCTAGATCAACAGTTGAAGATCTCTGAAATAAAGACCTATTGCCGGAAGTTGGAATCGCCTATCCACTTCCATAAAGCAGATCTAGGACTGAGTTGGTGTAATCCTCCCATCCTTGCAGCCGCAACTCGTGCTCTCGCATATTAGAAACCTCACCTCCTTCTGCCTCGGAATCGAGCTCTTCTTGCTTGTCCATCTCTTCATCTTCTTTTGTTCTTGATGCCTCAGAATCCTTTGTCAAACGAGTTATGACTGCATGTTTTACAGTCAATAGCCCCTTTGCCGACCAATTCTTGATGAACAGATCCTTACTGGTGCGAACCCTGCTCAATGCTACATAGGCTTGTCCACTATGCAACAGGTTTATGCTCGGTTAAGTGCATTATGATGTCATCAGCGCTTCGCCCATCTTTCTACGACTTTCTAGAACACTGTTGCTATCTATCCAGCCAGTTTATATAAACCCCATCCACACGTAGAACTAGACAGCAGCATTGATACGAATAAAGCCTCCTTTCCACCCTAGATCCACTTCCACCTGATTTGACCGTTTGCACACTAGCAAACACATCACGTAGATTGACGGCGACTTTGTTTAACGTCAGCGATTGACATTTGCGAATAGTTAATGCCCAAGCAAGAACCAAAGGAAACTGGCGTCGTTCTTGACCATTAAATTTCGTTCGTCGGCACTCTTGTTGAATATTGAAAATTCTTCCAGTGTTATCTTCTCTCACTTGAACGACATGTTGATCATAAAATCGAACCACAATACCGGTAGTTCCATTAACGACACCACCAGCAACGTCGACGTTGGACGTGCACATGACTCTCGCGCCAACTTTTAGCCATAACACAGAGGCGAGTCCAGTCTCTGATTCGATAGCTCTCCTCTTATCTTCGTTCTTCGTTATCCTGGCGTTATCATACGCAATAGAGTACCAATCTTCACCAGGAAGATTTTGCAATTTGTTCAAATTAAACCTGTCCACATCCCTTTTGAACGGATAGAGATGAAGAGCATCTTCAGGAATATCACTGGATTGAGTACAAATATTCAAAAACATGGATACCGTGGCACTAGTAATCATGCCACATCTGATATCATCGAGCAATGACTTGAACTCTACACCACCAGACTGTCGACAGGGCTGAATCAGATCTACTCGTTCAAACCAACGATAAATCTCAGAGTTCCAAATCCAATCCGTTCTATCAAATGATTTGTTGACAGGCCCAAGCTGACCAAAATCACCAAAGAGAATGACTGGAATTCCCCCAAAAGGGACACCTATTTCCGTGTTTACTGCTTCCTGTAATGCCTTTGATAAAACACTCAAGATATCACCAGATATCATGGACGCTTCATCAATCATAAAAATTGGAGATACACTGACTCCGGGAATTGAGTAAATGTTTTCTCGGTTTATCATTGGCGCTCTATAATTTTATAACGGAAGGTAGAATGAACTTACGTTTCATTACCAAATTAGCATTACTACGTATAACCAGTATAGTGAAGTTTGAAATCATTCTGACATCATTCCAAGGAGAACGCAAGGTATTTGTCCATCTGCTGCATTTACTCAATTTCCGGCCTCTCATTCCAAAATATTTAAATCGTTTACACTTCCCTCGCCTTACCATCTGCATTCTCGCCGTTTCTCACAACCTGTAGCTCCTTCTACCATTTTATCTCCTACGCAATGAAGAAGCTCAGTTCCATCGTTGAGGGTCTCATCATCGAGAACCTAAAGTCCGGTATGACCACAAGACAGATTGCTCGGAAGCACTCTGTTTCTCAGTCCAAAGTGTCCCAAATTGCGCAAACAGTCAAACAGAGCATTCCTCCAGCCAAAGCCGGCCGTCGAAGCCAGGTATCCCCAACCACTCGACGCGCAATCGTACGACGTATCACAAACGGCGATCTTAAAACGGCCGTTGATGCGCAGAAGCATCTCTCTGAGCAACTGGGCATCAACATCTCTACCAACAGGGTCAGAGAGATCTTCAGGGAGGAGGGACTGACGGCAATGCGAAAGGTCAAGCGCCCCAAACTGACCGCCAATCATCGCAGGGAACGTATGGATTTTGTCCGCATGTATGAGCATTGGACTATCGATGACTGGAAACGGGTTCTATGGACAGATGAAACCAGGATCAACCGATACGGGTCCGATGGGAAGGTCTGGGTTTAGAAGAACACAAAAATCGGCGACCAGGACCGGCTCGTTGACGAGACGCTCAAGTACGGAGGAGGTCATCTTTTTATGTGGGGTTGCATGACGTATGACGGGCCAGGCTTCATCTCTCAAATCCATGGGACAATGGATGCTGAGTTGTATGTCGAGATCCTTGAGGAGTGCGTTGCATTGACGCAAGAGTGGTATGGGATCCGGCCACAGGATATGATTTTCCAGTAGGATAAGGACTCCAAGCATACCGTGGGAGTATCAAGGAGATTTTTCGAGAAAAAGAACTACAACTTGCTCTTTTGGCCCGCACGCTCTCCAGATATGAATCCGATAGAGCACCTCTGGGAGCATCTCGAGAGGCAACTAGCCAAGTATCCTAAGCCTCCTGAGGGAATGATCGAATTGTGGGAACGATTGCAGGTCGAATGGAACAATATTCCGGCTTCAGTCTGCCAGACCCTAATTGAGAGCATGCCGCGAAGGAATGAGGCGCTGAAGAACGCTAATGGAGGTCACACTGGCTACTGAGAATAATGACTTGGTAGGGACTTGGTGGGAAAGATCCGAGTACGAAATAAAAACACCAGGGGCCGGAAATTGAGTAAATGACATGGTATCAAACATTTATTCGTACCTTCTTTAGTAATGTAGTTGGCAGTTCAAATGAACTATGCTTGAAGCTTTGGAGGCAACACTACAACATGGTTGAATTTCACAAAGGAGGGTCCATCATATAAATTATTCTGATAAGAAGAATGAAAAATCGGAAAACATTTACTCAATTCCCGGAGTTAGTGTAAGTACCTTCATTATCACTAGAGTCTGAATCTACATCAGACTCTTCATACTCGGCTTCTGGATTTTCGATCTGGTCTTGATCATCACTGGGCTCGTCAACGCTACAAGCATCGGACGTCGATCCATCACTATTGTCCTCAGATAACAACGAAAGATCTTGAACACTTGCCTGGTCATTTCGATAATTAATATCTTCTACTTCGAACACTTCAATTTCGTCATTGCATCCTCGTTTTACACCACTGTAGTCCAACGAAAAGAACCCTTGGCCGCTTGGGTACAACGTCGGGAATAAATAGCCCAAAAGACGGGGGTTTGAGTATTTAACGACCTCTTGATCTCGTCCCAACAAACCAAAAGTCAAGTTGGCTAGGTTGTTTGCCTCGTCGGCTGTCGTGGGACCACCAGTGCCTACGGGTCCCATATGAAAAGCCTCAAGTCGTGACATATTGGCAGATTCGTCAACCGCTTCAGCATTGTATTCAAGAAGCGTTTCGGTAGCATCCGTTAGATCGCTAGGCTCATCGACATTCAATTCTTTTATCAGCGGATGGTTTAGCTTCATCCAAAGCCAGGCAGCGCGGATCCTAATTTTATCTTGAATTGATAAATTTGCGTCCATGTCCGAAAGCCTGATCAATCCTCGAGTTCCTGCATGAGCTCCAAGGTACTGCTTACTCTTTCACAAACCAATCCTCCCAGACACAAAATGATAGCCAGCACGGAAGGAAGGGGTAAGTTTGCTACGTGAATTGGTCAATTCACAGAATACCAAAATTGGACTCAGATATCCCTCACCGACTGGATTAAGGTCTCTAATTTCATCAGGTTGTTCACCTGGGTACATCCAATTCTCGTTGACAAACTTCATCTAATACCCACATATTCACAACACATCAGTACAACCGTATCTGAGGAAATAAATCATCATATGTCTGTCTCCAACTTACGTAACTAAAGACACCGTCCAAGTCTTTTCTTCTCCCTGATTTATGTCTAGCACAGACAACGATTGAGCCTGAATGTTTGCCACCAGGTTTTACATCAAGTTCACGAATCCGCATTCCATCATTGTCACAGTAATTCAGCAATGGCCAAGTCATCGATTGCGCAAACTCGGGAGTAGCTCCTTCCGCCAGTGCTTCAGCCCTTGCTTGAAAGAATTTCTCTTCGATTATGTTTTGATCATCTTTCCGGAGCGCAAAGTACTCTTCCTTGTATAGCAGTCTACAGCAAACAGCACATCGCTTCACGGGGACTTCCTTGTCTTGTTTGGCCTCATTAGTAAAGGTAACTCTCCGAAAGCTAGTCGGCACGCGTCTAATAGTGATTGGCACCTGTGGATCTATGTCAACATTTGAATGGCCCTCTTCTTCGTTTGATTCTGGCGGCATTGGAACGAAACGATAGACATCAGTCGATAGGAAATTTGATGATCGATATAAAAAAAGACTCGGTCATATTTATCGAAAAATGTTACTTTGTCAGAAGGAACAGGCTAAAACCTTGGAGCTCAAATTGCCGCAATCGAACACGCATTGAGCCACACTTTTATGCTTGGCTCCAGATACCATATATAAAGCCTTCAAAGGATCTATTCCTCAATTAACCAATTAACGAACAATGTCACGCAAGTAAGAGAGTCGAAAAGAGTCGAAAAACAATGCACTAAGAAAGAGATCTAACTCTGAAATATATCATTCTTTTCTATCAAGGTCCAAGGCTGTAAGAGAACTTTTCTTAGCATTTCAGAGAATCGAATCATCCACAGAGTATATCTTTTTCGAGATACAAGATGAACTAGTTGGAGCAGAAACGACCAATGTTCCAAAGGAGCGGAGGAAAGTGACCTTGAAAAATAGAAATGGAACAAGGGTTACACTTCAGGAAGACATTGCTTTGCAGCGATTCCATTTGTTCTGGCTCGTTCCAAACCTGAAAGATTCAAAACAAGTGTTGTTCCCGTACACGAAGGTCGAATGGGAAGATTTATGGGAAGATTTAATTGTGAAAACAAGAGAAGCTTCCAAATTCATCCCACTCGCGCCATTGAGAATGTTGGAGGCACCCAACGAAGAGGGAACAGATAGACTTATCCTACAGATTCTCCAAGACACCATCCCTACACAGCGACCCTCCGTCCTCTGAGAGCCGTAACTGCCAGTTGCTGTCACGTTGTCAGATACACGGTTAATTAAACCGTGGTAAAAACGTTGCTCAAAGGATGTGGCTTACATCGTTAACGTCATTTAAGCTCGCCATTTTTGAAGTAAATTCATGAAATCTCTCACACACTCTTGTTTTTCTCATTCCGCAACACTGTTATCTTTCTCATTCCGCAACACTTTTCATTTTCAACATGTGTGTTGATTTACTTTATATATGCTGCATCTGCGGTAACAGAGATGAAGTCAAAATTTCCTGCAGTCTGAAGATATTCTGTTTCGAGCAAACAAAGAGTTCGAGAACCATCGCCTGTATAGGCTGCTTGATTGACAGACTTACGACGAAGGATGTTCTACCACCCCACCGGTATCTTTTTAAAGACACTCTACCTGAACCTGGTTCCCAGAGGGCGGAAGAAGCTTCTTACATTTCAGCAAATGAATAAAGACAGACATTTCATGTATACAATCTACCCGAATTACAAATTCTGTCAACTTTTCCCATCGATGTTTGGTTTCTGTGAAGCCAAAGAAGCCATTGCCATAGCTGTCAATGTTGTCATTTCCCTCATTTTTTTCCCAAGCATAGCAGTGGGCTCAAATTGTAGCTTTAGCTGTAGAAACATCAATCCTGTGTGCTGTTTCGTTGCTGGAGGAAAGCATTAAAGACCAATCATGCAAATTCCTCATTACACAGAACTGAACCCATCAAGAACTTGAGTAGAAAAATGTAAAGTGAGCCAATGAAAGAATCATACTCTCTGTACCTCACAATGAGCGCCATCCCAAGTGCCGTCCCTCTTTTTTTTGTCACATCTCACAATCGATCTGAAGCGCCAACTGTAAGTAACAAAAAGTCTCCTATCTACATTTTTTGTCTCTCGTGAACTACAGCACAGAATCAACTCAATTATATTTCCTTGCCTTTTTTTATATTTATTTAGTTTCTTGAAATGCTGCTAAAGAAATTTACTCTCCTGGCTGCTTTTGTGTTTACAGTTTGCAGTGGTGCTGTTCTACCTAATATTACAGCATTAGAAAAACGTCCAGACGATGTTTCAGTCGAAGCTATTGATTTCTCTATCTGCGGTGCTACGATTGCAAAAGCTGCAATTGAAATATTCAAGTTTTCCAAGAACACTGGGCAAGCTCATCTGAGGGGAAACGCAGAAAATTGCATCAAGAAACTTCAGGCACAAAACGAATGTTCAACTGTTAAAAAAAGAAGTCGAAAAGCGGATGCTGGTGATGATAATGTATCAAGATGCTTCTGCGCATATTCAGTTGGTTCCGCCGTAAACGTTGAAAATTTTCTTGGAGAAGGGAGTCAAGCTACTCAAGTAATGCTCGATACAATTAATGGTGGATATTTTACAGGTGCCTACAATTTGGAAGCGGACTGTGGCGATAAGAGGCAATTTACAAGTATTGTTGTGAGTTGTGCAAGTGACTCAGTGCAGGATCGCGTCGATCAGTGTAAGGGAGGCACTTATTCACCAGTCAGCCAACTTGTCCAAAAAGCTAAAGCGACAGTGCATTTAACAAGACCAGATAAACCAGCACCATGCGAGATTCGTCCTCCGTACCGTAATCGTACTCCTTCGAATAATAACACAATAGCTAATTAAGAGGAGATGAAAAAGAAATATCTTTAATCATCAATTTTGAACTTAACCTGGAGGATTTAGAAATGAAAATTTTTTTTTTTTTTTTTTTTATAACAACTTGTCTCTCGAGTCAATTGACTCTGCGAATCTATCAGACTAACTAGCAAAGATCTACTATCGCTGTCCTCACCACCAAAGCGGAACCGATCCACAGTCGCCAAAAGACAGGTCACATTCCCCGGGCCTGCCCCTAGGGCCTGCGCAACAATTGCCACACCTCATCAGTGTGTTAAAAGCTGAAAACACCTTGTTACAAGAAGGGTATCTTCCCCATCCCCTCCATGGTTGTCAACCGCCTCCTCCCTTGCAGGCAATCCAGCAGCGTCCGATCCGCTGCGTCTGGGTCAAGCACGGGGCCAGGGCAGCTCCCATTTACATGGTCAGCGAGTAATGCACCACACGGACATTGGTCATCGTCGCTAATGTATCCATACCCATCACTCCAGTCCCCTCTCGGTCCCTTGTATGGAGTTCGTTTCATCTTGGCTGTGATCCCCCATTCTCGCTCTCGAGCAATGGTGGCCTTGCAGCGTGGTTTCCAGATCAGCTCCGTAGCTTTCTCCTCAATAAAGCCGACGAACTTGTGAATGACCTGGCGCGCAATCGACGATGGCGAGGTAAATAGACTGCCCCACTCCTTGATAAGGCTTACGGGTGTGATGCCACGGCATAAATCGCTGATGCTCCAGGTCAGATCCGGAGAGCGGTCATAATACTCGTCGCCTTTGAGCATTGATCGGGTCCCGGCGATACAGGATAGACCTCGGATGTGGGTCTCGTTGTTAGGACAAACCCATCGAATGGGTTTCGGTGCAGCAGCGGCGGCTCCAGCGCGGATCCTATCACGCTCTTGCTGCTTCTTGCTGTTCTTGTTGTATGCGGTCGTTGCAGCTCGTCCCCACTTATCAATCTGCTGTAGCCCTTCGCGCCAGATCTCCTTGTGGACATCTCTAATAGCACTGCACGTCCACAGGTGATGGTTGTCTTCGTCCTGAACATCGCAGACGCAGCAGACACGGTCAGGATATAGACTCGGGTGGCGAGCCTTCATGGTATTCAGGGTAGGCAGCATACCATGCAGCTTCTTAATATGATGTGTCCTCTGGGACGTATCAGCAGCACTGCTGAAGAACGTGTGCACAGAACGCTTGTCGTGGACATGGGCAAGGGTGGGCCGCCACTCCACGTCAGCAAGATCTGGTATCGCTCTCTTGACACGACGTTGGGTTGTCCAGGCCTGATGACGCCTGATTGTCGTCTGCTGCTTGAGTAGCTGCCGCAGATCATGTTTGCAACAGGTTTATGCTCGGTTAAGTGCATTATGATGTCATCAGCGCTTCGCCCATCTTTCTACGACTTTCTAGAACACTGTTGCTATCTATCCAGCCAGTTTATATAAACCCCATCCACACGTAGAACTAGACAGCAGCATTGATACGAATAAAGACTCCTTTCCACCCTAGATCCACTTCCACCTGATTTGACCGTTTGCAATGTTCCACAAGATGGTCGTGGCAATGTGCAAAAAAGCGGATGTCTTGCTGCTCGCTTAAATCAACTGACCAGGGCATTGACTCGACTCGGACGGCGGCTGTCGCCACAGTGTCTGCAAGATTGTTGCCCGTGTTGGTGCTGTGCCCACGGATCCACCTCACCTCCACCGACCCAGGCCGATCATGGACAATTTTGTGTAGTGCTGCCCAGTGTCCGGAGTACGTACTACGGAACCGCTTACGAGGTAACGTGTCCGCACGGGAACGCACAAGCTGCTGGTATTGTTGCACGACCGCTTGGTTGTCGAGCTCCACAATAATGTTTTGGTCTGGTGGTGCAGATAGGATGGCAGCTAGGAGACCCATGAGTTCTGCTTTTGCTGAAGAAGCGTACCCGTCTGTGCGGCCCTGCACACACCTGACCACGGAGGATTTAGAAATGAAAATCCTAAGTAGGGGGGGTTTTTTTTTTTTTTTTTTTAAAAAAAAACAAATAAATAACTATAAGAGCCAAAGTGCCGGGCGGGCGAGCCTGTATGGTACAGTAGTATCACGCGAAGCTTCCAGAGAACAGTGCTGTGGATCCTAGTTTCGGGTCCAGCTTGGTGCGGTTGTTTTTCGGCATGGGGGGCCGTGTATAAATTACCTTTCGGATTGCGGGCAGCAGGGGATTGGCTCCCTCCTGAGAGAATGTTCTATTCTGCTCAGGTTCGTACGCCACCGTGGGCTACGAGGAGATTTTTCAGAACAATCACTCGGATTTGCCAGAGCCGTTCTCCAGCACTAAGGTTACGGGGGGGACTATTGAGAGAGGAGACTAAATAATTTACTTCAGAAATCACTCGAGGGCCGCAGTAACATCGTAAGGAAGCCGTACATATATGCCGGATCGAAACATAAGTTGAATATTTGCCGAATCAAGTCACACAGGAGAGAGCCAGTCCAAAGGATCAAGATATCAAGTTAGCAGGAACAGGACGACCGAGGCAGGCTTGCGGGAAAATACGCGGGATTTATATGGCGCCTCCTACCATTGTTCGGGACAAACAGGAACATCCTGACCAGCGAGAAATAGTAACCCCCATAAAATAACCAATAAACCCTGGCAAAGATTGTCCATTGGAAAAAAAAAAAAAAAAAAAAAAAAAAAAAAAAAAAAAAAAAAAAAACTATAAGAGCCAAAGTGGTTCACTATCTAGTACGAGATGAACAAGGGGCTGGAGTGTCACAAAGTGGCAAGGCAGGGATTGGAAGCAAGGGAAGGAAATGGCAATGATAATATTTTATTGCAAGATAGTGTACTATGGCTACAAGGACAAGGTAAGTATTTATGCTAATGCATTTTCTAGATGCGAGCTGGGACAAGTGGACAAAGGAATAGGAGGACATTGAAATTAGAGTAAGTAGAAAGCTTATAGTGAATAAAGCTTCTCTTCGTGGCAAGGTGATGAGTGCAGGGGCTTTGGTGAGAGTGACGGAGTTGAATGAGGAAGGGAGGGACGCTGATCAAGGGAGGGAGCTGAGTCGAAGGAACCGGGAAGGGTTCCTGTTCGTTGGTGGTGTTGAGGGTGTTGCTAGATGAGGGTGGAGTGTGTCTAGGGGAAGTGATGAGTGTTGGACGCGACGAGGGTGAGTGTGTTGAACGCGTTGGAGATTGTTTACGTGTGACGTGCATTTGTCGCCAAATGCACTCAGGCCCAATTGCTCTCTCGCACACTCCTGTTCCTTCACACTCATCGTTCGTGACATGGAGTGGGAGTGGGTGGGATACCCATTGTCTCTTCCTGTCGAACAATAGGCTTTAGTCGTCACATCGATCAACTTCGCTTTGCACATTCAGGCGACGACAAATAAATTATACATCAATAAGGGTTATCATACAAATAAATTATACATCAATAAGGGTTATCATACAAATAAATTATACATCAATAAGGGTTATCATACAAATAAATTATACATCAATAAGGGTTATCAAAATAACCGTTGCTGTCATGTTGTCAGATAAATTATACATCAAAATAAGGGTGATCAATAAAGGTAGATTATGAGATATTTTGCGGTGAGTTGATGTCAAGGAGATGAAAAGTGGGGGGTTTTATTCAGCCCTTGGTCCTAGGTCGGGGTATTCTGCTACAGACTGTTGGGACATGGCGGGTGGAGGTGGAGGGACAGACTGTTGGGGCATGGCGGGTGGAGGTGGAGGAGGAAAGAAGGAAAGAGGGGGTGGTAACATCGACGTTGCGAGACTGCATTTTCAACCTGGCCGCATTCTGTGCCTCAAAAACACGCAACCGACCTTTAATAATAACAAGCTCTTTTTTACGACAAATTTAGTAGTGTTTCGTGTAGGATCTTGGTTGGAAGTGAGCAACCTTAGTGAGATGTCTGTAGTCTGTTTAAAGAGAAAAATAAAATTTTGGCGCGATTGTGCCTCAAAACACCTCTTTGATTTGTGAATGCGGAAATTAAGTCTATATAAGGCGTCGTGAGGAGTGTCGTGGGGAGCATCTCAAAGCTCGAATTCCTCAAGTCAAGAAAAACAAAATTCCCACTATGAAGTTTATTTCCACCCTGCCAATGATTGCACTCTTTGGAGTTGCTGCCGTTTTAGCAGCCCCAGCAGCCCCAGCAGCCCCAGCAGCCCCAAGTGGTCTGACTGCTCCGTCTGGAAATAAGCTCGATGACATCATGGACGCTCATCACGACGCCGAATTCTCGAAGCGTGGAGACAGTGATGATATGATAGAGAAGCGTTGGTTCAACAAGTACCTCAAGCGCAGCGATGCTGTCGACGACCAAAGTGAGATTGATCATGGTGTCGAAAAGCGTTGGTTGAACAAGTATTTGTGAGAAGTTCCTATCCGATTAACGCCTACTTTCGAACGCTGAATCTATGATTTACCAGAGATTGAAATCATTGATGTCTTCATCGTTAAATTATCCTTTTTCAGGTAGTCTACATTTAGAAAAGATGTGCCGCACTTGTGCCACATTTGTTTAGATGTTATTGCATTTATTTTGAATATACGTATATTGCTTGTCAATCTTATTGTCTATTTTACTTGCTCCTACTTCACTACTTCCTTCACTTGCGCCCTTGTAGGGACCTGAGTCATTGAAGGTAGCAGAGGACAAGGCTCATTAGATTGATTACTTATTTGGACAACCGAGATTGCTTGGACAGTGTGATTATTATCATTCGTTGTGCTCTTACCGGACAATCGAGGCATGTGCCTGTCTCCGCGGCATTCGGCATCGTTATGGCCGCGTCGACCACATTTGGAGTACTGCTTATGGCATGCAGTCTCATGGGTGGGGTTCATTCCACAGAGCTTGCAGTCAAGCAGCTGGCTTGTTCTATTGTTGGGACCTCGGAATGCCTCTTTCGGCTCGGGCTTCTTGTTCGTTGGGGAGAATCGATTCGATCCCCTGCTGCGCTTGTTTCGCGAAGCACCCGTCGAGATACCGGCAGAAGTGCCGTTAGCGTCTCTATTATATGCGCTTGCGGACCGACCAAACCACTAAGAACGCTTGTGAAGTCGTTGATAGAGGCAAAGTCAACTGAGGCTCCCTTCCTAACATGGAGGCGAGTGACCATGTTATTGAGAGTATCAAGAGACACGGTGTAGTGTAGTGGCTCTATATCAGGTAAAAGTACTAGCTGTGAATATGTTGCTCAATAAACGTCTCTTCTGCTTTACGAAGTCTCTACATAATAATTATCTTACGGTGTATGGATAAAGCTCCAGATGTGGTGGCACTGGTAAGAGATCTTTCAACGGTGAGGATAATAAAGACAGCAAAACTATTTACGAGAATAAGAACGGCGACAACACACTCAGGTTAGGGATCTGCAAGGTCAAAGGGACTCTGTCTTGACTCCTGTGTCCAGACGTCGGCATCGAGGGGTACTGTTCTTGATCCTCCGCTCTTGTTCGTTATGAGACCATGATCATTACCTGTCGTGGGGGCAGGCAGGTAATGTGAGCGGACTCGCAGGAACACTTGGGGGGCACTAGAGGTGCATTAGTTCAGACGCACGGGTCCCGTCTCTACTCTTGCTGGGCGATATGCTATGAAGGCCAGCTGTGGCAGAGTATACCGATCGAAGGGTACAGTGTGTTGGGACAGGGATGCGTGGAGCGACTTGGAGTGTCGTGCGGGGGCAAGTGTTGAGCAAAGTATAGTGAGGAAACAGACCAGGAACCATTTGGCCCTGATATTTATTGACCAAAGAAAATTTCTATAAATGCAAACCCTATTGACTCTTGTCTAAATGCATGCTCTTCTAATTGCACATCCTGTAATTGCACGTGCGGCACACGCCTGGTATGATCGTATGAGTGTCCTGTGTTTCTCAAAAATATTCGACTCGTGCTAGGCCAATGTAACTGTCGAATCGAATTTCGAATTTCATTCGAATTTTACATTGGCCTAGCACGAGTCGAATAAAAGTCGAATATTTTTGAGAAACACTGCCTGTACCTATTCCTCCCATCGTATCATATCAGGTGTTGTGTCCGTTCCTTGTACCTGTATACCCCGTCTATGCCCTGTGTGGGTTTACCACACTACAACGGTGGCATTCAATAATGTGAGAACCATTTTATTGTCATCCTTGACACCATTGATGCGAATGTCTCGAGCAGTACGCATGGCAAACTGGCGGTAAGACTCTCTGTTTTCTCGTCCAGTCGCCAACAGCTGTTTTATCTGTTCAATGCGCTCTTGTTCGGTTAACGCAATCTTAAGAAAGATTGCTTCGCACTCATCCCAGGCCAGCTTCGACTTCGGTCTTTTAGCAAACTCTTCTTTGAGGGCTTGACTATGGAAGGGGCTCACGGCGTGGTACGACAAGTAGCGACTGCATTGGTCCTCAAACATGTCATCTCCCACGTACGCGCAGACAATGTGCTTCGCTTGATCCAAGAACGCCCGAGGATCGCTGTCCTTTTTAAATCGTAGCATTGTGGTGTAGTAGGTCTAGAACGATAGAAGAGGACTAATCTGTAAGTATGATGTTTGTTTTTTCAACGATAGATCATATACGGAAAAGAAGAAAGGACGCTTACTATGAAGGTTTGACAACCGAAACTGTTTGGGCGCTGGGGGGAGCTCTCTCAGTTCAGGGAACTCAAGATTACTATACAGAAAGGCTACTCAAGGTATGTATATAACATTATGACAAGGAGAACAAACAACAAAAGAGAAGAGACACTTACTGTTGGATACTAAAGGGATCACTTAGTTCCACAGGTGCCTCTCTCGAGAATGCAGAGAAAGGGAACACTATCTACTGAGGACTAGATAACAACAATAATACAGCCGAGTTAGGGATATATCAGCTCAAAGGGGACTCCTTCTTGGTTCCTGTGCCAGGAACGCTCCATTCTCCAAGGGGTACTATTCGCGGTCCTCCTTGGTCATTATTGTCGGATCATGGTCTCTACCTAGCAAAGGTGCGGGGGTCCACCTTGTTCTAGTTGGGGACAACAAACACCTGGATCGGTCGACACTAGTGCGGGACAGGCCAGGGATCGTAAAGAGCCGTTGCGGAGACTTGCGGAAGGACTTGTATCGGATCTTGTCAGCAAGGTAAGGACTTGTGACCGAGGGAGAAGGTGGCGAATTAAGATGAGGAACGATGGGGGTGAAGAGAGGCAATAGCACACAGAGTCCTATCTCTACTCTTGCTCAACCGACTTAGGGGTGGGCTGGCCTTCTTTTATACTTATTATTTTCCTTTTGATACTGGAAACCTACAAAGACCTGTTGATATATGAAAGCCTGATAAAAGATATAAACTGCTAACGAAGCTAACAACTAAATACAATGAAAACAAATGAGTTGACCGGGCAACTCAGGTCAACTCATTTTGAACCTTAATAATGTCCACTCAAATGTGCCTGCGCCCAAAAATAAAGGCAGACTGGATCATCCATCTCATTTCTCACTCCCACACTCCCAACTCACTCCCATACTCCATTTATTCGCTTTCATAGGTACCACTAAGCTCCGCATCAGCCTGGACCTCTTCGCCTGGGATAAGTGTAGCTCTGTTAATGCATGCCTCTTTGAAGTGGCAGAACATGGTGCTGGTACAGCTTGATCCATATCTTCGATGAAGGATAAAGCGCATGTCTCCTCTTTCAATCTCGCTGCTCAATGGCGTAAGATCATCGCAGCCGAATAATATTTGTTAGATCCCTTTGCAAAGGCTGCATTAACCGCAGATAGTGCAACACTTTGCATGGCTGCGTGAGGTGAGAGGTGCAGAGATCGAGTATGGAGGAAAGGCCGTTTGCGCCATTTGTTTTGAGTGGGCCTTATTTTTTTACGCCTTGTGTAATTGCCTCTGTGATTTGAGCTGACCCGGGTTGCCCGTCAACTCAAATGTATACACCCATAAAAAATCAAACTTTGAAGAGACCTAAAAAAACAGTGAGCTATGTCCTTGATAGCAGCTCTGGTCCCCAGCTTCATAGATGTCCCGACTATTCCACCCAGTCTTTTGGGCGGGACCAGAATGACTTCGTAACAGTATATTCTTCGAATCTTTTATTCTCCGAAAGAGGCGGAGAGTCGTTACCTTGTCGTTTGATATTGGGACCCAACGCTTCATTAAGCGAAGCCCTGTCTTCAATGGGCTCAATGAGTAGGTGGATTCGCTTTTCGAGTGCATTCAGCTCGTGGATGGCCTCTTCATGGGCTTGCTCTTTTTTCGCAACATCGTCGTCATCCGACGCAAGGGCAAGAGAGCGGCTAAGGTCGGCTTTCTTTTCTTTCAGCGACCGTCGGTGCTCGTTCATTTGGACCAAGATTTCTTGGTCCGTTGGTGTCGCCTCAGGAGCATTGCCCGATGGCTAATCCTCGTTATCGATGTTCATCTGCTGGATGTCGAGGGACAGGCTGTTGATATCGTTGCTGTACATGTTGTTTTGGTGGTTGTATGTATGTGTGTGTGTGTAGATAATATCTTCACTTAAAATTAGAGGTACGCTTATCAGACTCAATAAAATATATTGAACTCTGGTGAAGGCAACCTCGACGTCTTGCCTGAGGAGTCGTCCGATAGCAATACGAATGTTATTATTTCAGGAGAATTATTTACTATTTCCAGGGTCGCGTTACTGCAGGAATTGCGCACCGCGGATACTACACCTTTCAATCGACCTGACTCTTCCATCTCCAAATGCTTCTCTGCAGCACAATTCTTCGCACGCTCCCTCACTACCGTCTTTTAATTGATATTTGGCTCCATTTATGGATAGACAAAACAGAAAAACGACATACTCCTGCTGCTCGAGTGCGCTTGTGCTTGGCCGTTCCTGAGTGAGAGACACGTCTGTTTTTCCCGCCCTGTTCTCGGTTCCTAAGAGTCGCTTCACCTATCCCCTCCCTCCTTATCCTTGTCTCCTTGTCCTTTGTCACTCCCTTCCCTCCTCTTCCCTATTCCCTGCTCTTCTCCATTCCTGCCATCGACCATGCTACTCATGATTCATGATTCTGACTCTCTCTCTGTGTCACTCCCTCTCGTTCTGCTTAAGCACCAATCATACCATATCTACCATATCTTACCCCTCGCCCTACCCTCTACTCTAGCCTCTATCAACGCTCTCGTAACAAAGTAAAAGCAATAAAGTTGCCACAAGAACGATTAGCATTTAGTGTGCTCTTGCAAACTGTGATAAAACTGTGCTAATTGTGCTCCAAGTTTTTGCGTCCGCACCTGATTTCATTCCTTGCTGCTTGCAAGAAATTGTTCTCGAGCAAAGTTGATAGATCGACCCTTGTAGCTGGTTGTCAAGGTATCCAAAATGGGCTCGATTGATTGCTTTTCCTTTTCGGCCCTCGCCATAATCAACTTGACAAGTTGGCCCCTGCGTTGGTACGCCCTGTTACGCGCTTTGGTAGACGCCCAGGTCGAGTCTTGCCTTTTTGCTTCCGCCACAGGACCATGGTATTCGTCCCAGGCTTGCCGAGCAGACAAATGTCCACGCCCATTATCGCTCTGCATCAAGTATCCTTTGTTACTATCATCAGTCTCTGAGGATGCCCGAGGCTGCTCGATTGAAATGCAAAGTCAATCCTTGATCTTACCCTTTCCATTGTTCCGGCTAAGGATTCAACGAGGATGCCCCCTCTGAAACGCCTTTAGTTGTTGACGCTGCTTTTCCGACAGGTCCACTATAGCCAGCCTCTGCACTAATGTATTTTTTTACAGTGTATTTGAAGACGACCGATTTGAAATACTAGAGTTTCCAAACTAAATCCACGCTACAGCCCTCTCCGTACTCTGTATCGCAATATACCTAAGACGATCAATTTGGAGCGACAACATAAGTCAATTGCGATGATACAAAGAGGTTCGAGCACAGACAGCTTCATTACCTGCGACAGAGTTCAGCTAGTGTGCAATAGAAGGTCAGTCGAGTACCAACTCCATGTCATGGACATTGCTCACTACGATTTCATCGTAGGAATGAATCTCTTTCCTAGATTTGGGTTTGCTATCATAGGTGTGGTTATGCCGACACCAAGCGAAGAAGAATTTCTATGGATGCCATCCGATGAGAAACCATCGGTAGTGCCAAAAGAGACGCCTTTGAAAGAACGCACGCCTGAATTCATCAAGCAAAAAGAAGATTTTATGAGAGCGCTCGAGCCCTCTCTCAAAGCTAATGAAACCATATACCCAAAACCATATGATTCGATGAAAGTCGCGTAATCCAGGAATGGTCTTGACCGTTTCACGTATAGGTAGAGAAAAATGAAGTAGATAGAACGGTACAGAAGTGGTGAGACACAGGAGTCATTGTGCTCACGCCGAAAGGCAATCCATACAACAATTCTCTGACAATGGCTGCTCGCTGGGACCTAGATGGCAACATCATGAAGTACCGCGTGTGCCTCGACCCTCGCACATTGAATAAACAGCTAGAGGGTACAGACAACTCTCCTTTACCACTCATAGTAGATATTCAGCAAAAAGCGGCAGGACACAAGTACTTTTCGACAATCGATCTCTCAAGCATATGATCGAATGCCAGTGGACAAGGCGAGTCAACCATTGACAGCCTTCATCTGCAATGGCAAGCAATACATGTTTGCAAGAGCACCATTTGGGTTAAGACCTCCGATGAGCATTTTCCAGCGAGGAATGTCTCGTTTGCTTGGTGGTCTGCATTATGGCAGCACATAATCTGATGAATTATTGTTTATTCGAAGTCAATCGAAGAACATCTAGCTCACATCACTGTGGTCGTCAATCGATTAATTGAAGCAAAACTAATCATCAATCGAGAGAAAAGCAGGTTTCTAAGCACTGAGGTCCTTCTCATAGGATTTGTTGTAAAAGAAGAAGGACACAGTA